GCGATAAACACGGCTATATGTGGGAAAATGTCACTACGGGGGGTTGGCACGACTTAAAGGTACACTACGCAACTTTTCTGGGTCCTGATGTCTCCATGGAGCATAGATTAAACCTCTATCTCTAAATCTATCACGAGAGATGAGCAAGTTAATGCACTACGTTATATTATAAATCAGATCTGTGGAGAGTCGTCCCTGTTCACAGAAATAATTATTGTATTTTTGAGCAATAAAAACACCCGTAATGAATAAACGATAGACCGGGAGTGGGCAAACGTTTTGACTCGTGGGCCACAAAAGGTTCTAAAATTTGGCGGAAGGGCCGGACCAGGAGCAGACGGATGGAGTTTTTTGGTCATCCACCTCATAAGAGAAAAAAAAAATATCCCATGTTATTGAAATATCCCATAACTAAAAATCATTACGAAGCATTACAACAAAATTTCAGTCTTTCGAATCCCACGGTTTTTACTATTTATTGAAATGACTTTTAAAACACTGAAAGTTATTATTGTTATTATTTCAAGGCCGGATTAGTTTGCCCACCCCTGCGCTAGACAGATATCTTTAATGCCATACTGTGGAACATTCCAATGTCCATGGAGACAAGCATGTAGGTCCACTAGAAAAGTTACGCAGTGAAACTAAACATTAAATCCACTTTTTTCCACTAATGAACTGTATATATATGGTGTTTTAAAAGCATTATAAACTGTTCCTATGCTATTTTTTTAAGGTGGATTGTCAATTTTAATCCAAACTAGGTGAATTTACAAAAATGCAAAAAGGTCTGAATCTATGTTTGTGCTGCCCCCAATTTCCACTGCAATATCAAGTACTATGTAACATCACACAGGACTGCTACAGCCAAGTGTTTCTGATTACAAACGTCCGGCTGCAGGGGCGGAGTTTGAAGTGTTGATACCTGTTACACCAGGGGTTTCTAAAGTTTTTTCACCCGGGGTCACATATAGAAACATATTTGCAGTGGGGAGCCGCAGACAGATGGTCAATACGAAGAGACTTTAATATAGATCAATTTTACATACATTTTAATTTGAAGTTACCTATGATCATTTGGGCCAATTCAGCAGGATCCCTGGAGCCTCTGGGCCATAATTTGGACAACCCTGTGTTAGACCAATCACCTCCAGACCCTGTTCCTCCAGACCCTGCCCCTTCTCTTCCTTCACTCTGTCCTTTAGTTCCCCAGGTTGCTACCTTTACTTCACTTTAAATTGTTTTTATGGTGTGCAAAATAAGAATAGCAAATAGAAAATCACATTGCCTATAATAATAAAAAACATATAAAACACAAGCATCACCTCACTTCATATTGTCTTTGTGAAAATGTTTATTGCTATATATGCCTGGAATGTTCCAGAGTATGGTACATCTCCATGGAGACAAGAAAGTGGGCACTACAGGGCAAAGTTACAGGTCAGATCTGTGTTGAGGCAAAGTATTGATGCTTTTTGAAGTAACTTTTCACCAGTAAAAACAGTGTAAATTAATTAAATAATACAATTCAGGACCGATGTTTATTGCCGTACTTTGGAACATTTCTGGTAAAGCAATAAAATCTCCATGGAAACAAGCAGGTGGCAGACAAGTTACACAGTGCACCTTTAAATTCTGTAGTTGAATTTACTGTTTAGTGATTTTGGTTTTGTTTTATATCCAGCAACAATGTGGCTCTCTGCCTAAAACAACTTTCTTCTCAAGGACAATACAATTTTAATCAGATCTGAGTTTTAGCATATTTCCGATTGATTGCGAAATACATCTCATTTTAATTATTGGGATTTAAAAAAAAAGGAAAAGAAAAGAAAAAACAAAACAGAAAGATATCAAGTTTTATTGATATTACCCTCCCTGAACACAAGTCGCTACAAAACAACTGTTAAATAATTTGCAATGCCGTCTGGGTGTTCTGCTACCTGCTTAGGGCTAATAAATCTCAACCTAGCTTCCTCTGGCCTCCTCAGAGCACTAACTATGCTAACGTTTTGCTCCATGGATTGCAAGGCTCTGATAATTTAGTGCGATGAGTTGCTAGCTGCCTCGGGCTCTGAGCTATTGTAGAAACAGGACTTTTACTGTAGTGGTAATGAGGAAGGATGGAGGAGAGGAGAGAGATAGGGCATATAAGGAGATTTCAGCTTATTAGTGAGGTGAAAAGGTGTGACTAAAAGCATAATCAGAAGAAGAAAATCAGATAAATCAATACTCCAGCTTGCGTCAAAAGTAGATACTCACTTGAGGAGGTATCGATGTTAAAAAAGACACATTCAGAGGACAGAAATGACCCTTTCCTGAATAGATTTAGAATGATTTTGAGCTGTATCAGAACAAGTATAAGAGCACATAGACTAGTATATGCCCAAGGACCACTATGGACCCTACCTGGACAACTGAGGGATTACACAGATATCAAAGTGTGTACTGTGATTTACTGTCTATTGTCTACATAAAGAGTGTTTTTATTTTCATAGTGGTACTGGAATTCAGGGTTCCCACTCTTTCTCACTGACAAAATTTTTCATGACTTAAAGTGAATTTTCCATGTTCCTTCTGTGTTTGTGAAGTATTTATGAAGTATTTGTCAAACTTTTATTGCTAAATATGAAATGTTAACTCTTTCCACTCACCTTATGGTTTGGTTTTATAGTTTTTAAACATTCAAAATACTCTCAGTGCATTTATTGTCGTCCCAATCAACAAAAGACGCATACGTTCGGAAATAATCATAATAGCCTAATGAGAACTTAAAAGTAGTTGCGTGAAATAGATACAAAAATTCCATGACTTTTCCAGGATTTCCATGACTGTGGGAACTCTGTGGAATTGGTAATGAGTATCGAGTCTTTTCCTTAGTATCAAAATCAAGTTTGAAATTTCCTGACAACATAAGACTCCAAACTGATTTCGATAACACGATGAAATAATAGACACTAGAATTTTATTTTTAAACTTTAATTCATAGTACTTCCTTTTATATTACTTTTCCCCCCCCTTTATTTTATTATTGACGTAATCTGTGTAGATCTGTGTAATCTCTCAGTTGTTTAGGTATATGTCGTAGTGGTCCATGGGAATATATTAGTCTATGTGCTCTTATTCTTGTTCTGATACAGTTCAAAATCATTCTAAAGATATTAGGAAAGGTTCATTTCTGTCTTGTGAATGTGACTTATACCTGCTCAAATTAGTATCTGGTTTTGATACTAGTTTGATTATCGATAAGTATCTGATTTTCAGTACTTCTGACAACCCTATTCTACAGTTCCCATTCATTATCACTGGTTAATTTTTGTATTATAGTTGTCCCTCACTATAACATGGTTCACCTTTTGCGGCCTCGCTGTTAATAGTGTGTGAATGCGCATTGTGTTCCTCCCCCTGTGTCCTGATTGGCTAAGGGTCTGTAGACCATTGTCAATCATTCTCCTCCCTTCTGTGTCTCCTGTACAGCACAGAATGTGTTCAGTTTGGTGAATTTACATAAATGTTCGAAGTGCTGTATGTTTGCAAGTTTTTTCCCCAACAAAACCCACAATGTCGACGAAACGTTCTGCACCAACAAAGGCTCCTGCGGTTGCACCCAGAAGGCAGAGGAAGATGCTCTAACCATCTCATCTCACAAAAAATTTGACTTCTGGACATGCTGAAGGAAGGTAGAAGTTACGTGGCTGCAGGGCGCCATTACAGAATAAAGAAGTTACAAATAGAAGGAGGAAAATAACAAAAGGACGACAGCAGCTCTAAGTTTTAAGAAGGATGCAAAAAGGTTGCAAAAGTGTATAAAGTGTGTGGTGAGGAGTTTACAGCCTTAAAACAGATATAATAATTGTAAAAAATAAAGCTGACTACTTCGCGGACTTCGCCTATTGCGGGTTATTTTTAGAACATAACCCCCACGATAAACGAGGGACCACTGTATCTCAAAAATTGCAAACACACATATTTTAAAAAGCAGTATTACGTTAAAGGTGTACCATGTAACTTTTCTTGTTAGGGTTGCTTGTTTCTATAATATATAACTGCATTTCCTGGAATGTTTGGGCAGGATGAACACTCAATGCAAAACGATGCTATCTCCATGGAAACAGGCAGTCCAGTTTCACTCAGAGGTCTCCAACTATGTGACATCTCGTGGCTATTGTCCAAGTAAACAATTTATGTACACACTAACCACTAATATGCTCATTATCAGCCAAAAAGCTTGTACACAGCGCTAAAATGTCAAATCAATTCATTTATTTAGCATTCAAAACACAGCAGCCAACAGCTAAACCTATTTTTACTATTAGCATAAAAGCCTAAATACACTGTTCTCGCCCATTATCACCGGGACTGTTATTAAGAGCAATACAAAATCCACTGCAATTTGGATAAAATAGAATCAAAATGTTATTAAATATTGTTCTTCTTTTTCTAAAACTGGAAGTCGACATTTCAAGAGAAGCAGGTGTTCCCATTCATTTGTATAAGGAAGCTTTTCCTCAATTAGCATGAAAGAATCACTGCATTGTTCGGATCCATTAGGCTAGACCAGGGGCTGTGATTAAAAGCAAAAAACATTGTTGTTTTGTATTGAAAAACACACAACTTTTTAGCCAAAAAAACCCCTAAACGAATAACTACCTAAGTAACTAAACCACATAAAACTAAACTTAACTAAAATTGAAAAAAAGCTTGTTGTTGTGCTTACAAGGAGCAGACTTGCATCTCCACAAACCTGACTCTTATTTGACAGATTCTTTGTTGCTTGTTTCCATGGAAATGCTGTTACACTGACAATAATGTGATGTGCCGCCTCCAGACAGTTACATATTGGACCTTTAAATACATTTAAAATAGGAATGTGCTGGCCTATTTGGTGTGGAGATTGGATTAAGATAATAAGCAAATCTCTCTCCCTATTTATTAATTTTTTTGCTGATTTAAAACAGAACAACTTTTGGCTCATAATGACTTTAAACTGAGGCAGTACTTACAGCTGGACCAGGAGCTCCGATCACACCCTGAAGACCACTGGGACCTGGGGGACCCTACAACAGATAAAACCATGAAATTAGTGTTTTTGAATGAAAGAATATCTCAATTTTGCTTCTCTAGTGTAACTTATGATTGCTATTGTTAAAGTTGACACATAGTTCAGTAAAATTTATGAATTATATAAAATGAAATCATACTAAAAGCAATTTTGTTAAATTGTCAGTATTCTCAGACAGCAGTCACATTTTTAAAGACTGGTTTCAATTTCACTTTTCCAAAAAGTTTTAATTTCTGTAACTATATAGATGCAAATTAGCCTGATTCATAAGATGGTTTTACTTCATGGAAACCGACTGACCTCGCAGCATTAGGATTCGTTTGTTTGACGGTTGGCGGGTACGTTTTTTATTAACCAATCGCTGCTATTTGGTTGTGACGTATGTAATGTGCCAAATCCTGTAGGAAGAAGGGCAATAACGTCTTTCCCCTTAATAAAATGCACCAAACATTCTCTTTGTTCCAGGTTTAAATCCTCAAACTCAGGAATCATTGCCAACACAGAAAGTATGGCTTCGTCTACATCCATCTCGACCGCTTTATTTACTGTTGTGCTGCACCACAAAAGGGACTCAGTCATGGCTTCGCAGCTCTTTGCTGATTGGCCGGTTTGTGGTCTACAACTTCTTGCAAACCGTCTAGTGTATTCTGATTCCTGAATTAGTCCCTGTAGAGAAATAAAATTGAGCGGAGGCACTAGGTGTCTCCAGTCTGGCTAGATGCGAATATCATAAAGCCTAGTTTTTGTCCAATCAGGAGCTTAGTTAAATGAGAACCATGTACAATTAACTGCCTGTAACTATGCCAGACTGTTGTGTATCTGTTACAATGCAGTATTAGGTAAAAGAAGTGACGAAGTGGGTGGGGCTAACAGCAAAAACAACTCAAAATCAAGTATGGCAACTTTAAGATTTGTTGATTTTGAGAAACTATTTTAGATGCACAGCACATACCAGCGCTAAGGGTGAAATTTTAAAGACAGCTGAATAACTTAAGTCATTCTCATAACACTGTAATTTATTCAGTTAATATTTATCACGTACCTCACCACATAAAGCCAGCTCATTTTAAACTCAATGACTCATACAAAAAACATTAAGTTGAATTCAAAACAATGACTCACGCTTTCACCCTTGTCTCCTTTGCTTCCCTTCTGTCCGGGTCCACCAACTTCACCCTGAAAACAAAACAGCACCGGATTAGTCAGTCGTAGCATAATGAAATGAATGAAGTGCACGGTAGTGGGGAGGGTTTGTTAGTCAGCACTTGTCCTCAGAGTTGGAAAGTTACAGACACAAAAATAGATAGGGATATAAAAGAAACTGTATGCAGACCAGTGCTGGATATTGTTACTTAATTAAACATACAGATACAGGGGCAAAAATCACTCAAGTAAAATATAAACTACTCAAGTAAAAGTATTGAAGAGTAGAGTAAGTATTTGACTTAGATTATGAGAACTGTTAAAGTGTTAAATGTAGTGATAATGAGTGCGTTTACATGCACATCAGTATCCTGGTTATTAGACGTATCCTGGTTATGGCAGCATTTGGGATAATGCGTATACATGCCACAGTATCCCAGTTACTATTGGAATATACCAGCTACAGTATCCCGGGTTCTCATAAATGGGATACTGCCTTATTTTGGATAATGAAACCAGGATACTGGGTATACATGCACCATGACAAAACCAGGATACTCAAAAAACCTGATCATAACAGGGATACTGATGTGCATGTATACGCACTCATTGGTGAAGAACTATGCAGATTGTTTTTTTTTTTTGTTTTTGTTTTTTTAACTTAATTTGGTTTTTAATAGAGAAGGAAAAAAAAAAAATAATATATATATATATATATATATATATATATATATATAAAGAAAAAGGTAACAACATAAAACAATAGAGAACTTGAGGTATTGTGAGGAGGAATACTACCAGTGCTAAGAAATGTATATGGTGACCAACTGTGCAGATTTTATTCTCAACAGCAAACATTTCTTGACTTTTCTGTCGAATGTCACATATATATTTTTGTTTGCTCAAAGCCGAGACTTGAACTCAAAACTTTTTGTCAAGATGTTCTCAAGAATGTGCTAAAACAACCACTCAAATCATACAAAATGTACCTTTTACTTTTCAGTCCATTTAAAAAATAGTGAAATAGAAAGTACAAACACCTGCTCTAAACTGTAGTGAAGTAAAAGTATCTGTTGTAAAATTCACATAAGTAAAGTACAGATATCTACCTAACAATTGTACTTAAGTAGAGTACTTTTACTTGTGTACTTAGTTTTTCCACCACTGATGTAGACTATGCTTTTAATACACATTTTCTCATTCATTTTCTCATGTGAAAGCTCAGTACTTCCAGACTGAGCTGCACTGAGCTGCAGAGGCTGCACTAGCACTGACTCATGATTGGCTGCTGGAGCTGGGGTTTAGGTAATGACCATTCAAATCACAGAGTGTCATTTTTAGAGTTATTGGTTAATTGGATTTCTGGATTGAAACTGGCAACCCAAATGAGAGACTTGGCCATCATATCCAATGTTTTTTTGTAATTAGGAATAAAACAGCATTATAGTATAATATTTGATTTGATATTTGATTTTAACATGTCTTGAGCTGAGTACACAGAGGAAACCCAAGCAGATATGGGGCAAAACATGCAAACTCCACACTGAAAAGCACCACACAGTTGGGGATCAAACTTGGAACCTTCTGGCTGTGAGGTCGGCATGTTAATCACTCAGCCACCATGCTACAATTTTGTTGTTGTTGTTGTTTTTTTGGTCAGTTTGATCTCTTAACATACAAGCTTTAATCTGGAAATAACAGAACACAAAATTTCCAATCTTGTACTTAATAAGATGTTGATAAAAGATACAGAAGCATTAAAAATAAAAAAAAAATCTAATTCCATGTCTGATTTATTCAAGTTTTAACTCTAAAAAAATTATGCCAATTTTTTTTATTTTTAGGCAGTTTTTTCAGTTAGACCTAGTTTACTAAAATACTGAATAAGATATCCAAGATCGTGTATATTTTTAGAATTTAATATGTCCAAACAGTACCAAATTAAACCTGGCTCTTTTCATGTTTCTGTTTTGAATGTCCCAAAAAAAGGTCAATATTGGCTGTTTTTGTGATATGAAACCATTACATGATGAAAACCTTGTAATATTTTTTTCTTACATTTATGTGAGTAAACTACAAGAGAAGTTTCTAAAATTATATCTCTGTATTTAAGATGTTTTTCTATTCACCCGCAGTGTCTTGTCTTAAATCTCTATATTGCAACTAAACGGCTTTAAATAAATGAAAAACAATGCAAAAGAAAATGAAAATAACAAATGTATATCTTAAGGTTCCATCAGTCACGGTTCATTAGCCTCATGTCTTTTGGTCAATATCTTTAAGTGTCAGCTGCACCGTTCAGAGCAGTAAAATATTTCTCCACAGATCCTAATTAGATTGGACCTGCGAAAGGACCTTTTTGCAATTAATTTATTGGCTCCTGTCTGGACCCGCTGCCAGTGTGATTGACAAAATGCCTCGGGAAAGAGACGTGACCGGGGTTGTAAGACTGGAGTTTTTAAATAAAGTATTATATGGGATTGCTCATTGTAAAGGGGAGTGTACTATATCTGCTGGTGAATCAATACGCTGCGGGCTGTATATTATCTTTGAATGTCTTTTGTGTGTATAGTGATATACATTTTCAGCTGATTGAAGCCTGAAAATGCTAAGGTTTTGTCATATATTGACTCTTTAAATATATTCACTGACTAAAATATTGTGCTATAATTGCTGTCAAGTAATAATAATGACTGAAATAACATAATTATTGTCTTTTAAAACTACTTACATGTTTTTTAAGCTCATGAAGTTTGTCTGTTATCAAGTGATTTCAATAGTGCAAACTTTACGTTGCCACTGAATAACAAAATGAATTGGACAAGATTGGCTTCACTTTGACTTTGACTTTGAAAAACGGTTAATTTCAAATGATCATATAGATGCAATTATCAGGAAGAGTAGTTTTTGTCTAATCAGGATAATAAGAAAGATTAAATTAGGTTGCATTTACTAATAGGGATGTAACAATAACCAAAATATTTTTTATCGCCAAAACTCTCATGGCCTTCCACAATATACTGAATTACAAGAGGGAACTACATAGACCATGATCCTTTGCTTCATTTCAATGCAGATTACATGATAAAATAGCTGTTATTAAACACTTCTACATCAAAATTCTTAAACTGAAGTCTTGTCAAGGAATTTTAAAAGAGAAAAGTATCATACCGTATTTTCCGCACCATAGGGCGCACTTAAAAGCCTTTAATTTCATCAAAAAACGACTGTGCACTTTATAATCCAGAGCGCCTTATATATGACATTATTCGGGTGTCTTAGTACGACTTTAGTAAACTACAAAGCCGCACCACTTGCAGCATTACGGCTACCACAGTCAGGAGCATCGCGGAGTAATATACTGTGATTCCTTTTAATATCAAAATGCACCTGTCAAGAGACACACTTACGATGCAGACTTTAAACTCAAGGCTATTATAAAGTTAAAAAGCAAGCTGCGTGGGAGCAGTGGATGAGAGAAGGCGAACACACATTCACCAAGACAGGGAGACAGCGCCGAGCAATTTACACCACAATCTGCCAAGGGATCGTGGACGTCTGGGCTAAGGATCAGTATCAACTGTGGTCCGAGCTTTCATCAAGACCAGAATCATCACTGAACTGCCAGGGAACAGTAACAACACTGACTCGGATAATGACGAGAGGGATGCGGGCGTGCTGGACACTGTAATCGCCCAACTGTTTGAACAATTATGAGTTATTGTGAAAACGTTAACAATTTAGAGTCTCAGACAGTATATTTTTTTTCGATTGAACAAAGTTGAGAGTTATTGTGAACGCATTAAATAAAGTTTGACTGACTTATCTATAGTCCGGTGTGGTTTATATGTGAAAAAAGTTTGAAAATAGACCATTCAGTGACAGTGCACCTTATAATCCAGAGCACCCTATAGTGCAGAAAATACGGTATTCACAATTCTGTTAACATCTCCAAAATATTGTAATAAATATAGTACAGTGAGATTTGGATATCATGACATCCCTTATAATATTTAATAGTTTTAAAATATTGAAATTGTTTATAAATGAGCTTTACATTTTATAATTTAATACAGACTTATCACAAGAATGGTCAGGAACAAAGTAAATATACATAAGCAAAATATGCTAAAAAGAGAAGAGCATATTGTGTTATGGGTAATGATAAAAAAAAAGCGAAGAATCTCGACAAAGTAAGTTGATAAGCAAAAGTAGCTTTGATAACAGCTGACAAGTTAACAATGTCTTCAAACTTTACAGTCCAGAGCTATGTACTGTGTGTTATTCTTAAAAACCTGTGCAGGACTTCTCACATTTGACACCTTGAAACTTGGTTGTCTTGAGCTGATTCTCTGGCGAGTATGATGGACTCTATGGGGTTTCCTCACCTGCTCCGTTTGATCCAGTCTCTCCCTTTGGTCTGAGCTAAACATGTGAGTGTGAACGCCGCAGCTTGGGGCCGACAGCTCCACTTTGGTGCCAAGAAGAAAGGTGTGGAAGAACAAACCCAACTAAAACAAGTTATAGTTTTCTCACGGTGATGAAAGCGCTTTTGAACTTATGGACTTAAGATTAATACAGGAAGTCTGGCTCAATTACTCAAAAAAAAAAACAATACAACATTTTCTCTGCTTTTTAAAGAAATAAATAAATTGACAAATATTATCATAAAAGCAGTGTTTCTCAAACTGTGGTATGTGTACTTCTGGTGGTATTTGCACAGTTCTTCATATTGTGGGTTTATCAAATTTAGAGTTTTATAATTAATTTGTTTGTTTGTGATGTAGTCCACTTTTAGACCTAATTTAGACCTGGTATAGTCTTGTTATAGACCTGGTTTAGATCTGGTGGTATCAAGAAAGCCAAATGTTTCATGATACTTTGTGTAAAAAGTCTGAGAGCCACTGTTGTGAAGCATTTAGTCATATGTGAAGATATTAGTTCTTTTTGTAAACTATGTCTTGTAAACTTTGTCACTCTGCTTATTTAGTGGGATAAGGACGTACCAGCACTCCATACTGTGTGATATAGTTTTACCTTGTCTCCATCCTCTCCGGGGGGACCTTGAGGACCTCCTGGACCGGGCAGACCCACTGGACCCTGGATACCGTCTCTGCCAGCGGGACCCATCGGACCCTTCTCTCCCTGGACACAGCATCAGGCAAAGCAAAGGAAAGCAAAGTTACTTCTAATACACACGTCAAACACTACAGAGTAATCGAGAATAATTGGTTAACTCTAGAAAAAGGTTTAGGGCTGAGTGTTAAAAGAGCATCACTTTAAATAAGACGTATTATGCTTTGTTCAGCTACTCGGATTGGAACTAAGTAGATCACCAGATTACATTTTGTTCATTGTAAACAATACTGATTTTAAACAGCGTAATAGAAACCCCTGACTTTCTGTTTAAAACTTCAGAGCTGATAGACTCTGCCTCTTCATCGTGGCATTTTACAGCCAGCATTATTTACATGTTTTTATCTTTAAAAAATGAACCGCACATGTATGTCTGGAAGTCTTGATTTTTTTGTAATAATTTCAATAAGTACAAGACAGTGGGGAGTGATTCTTCTTCATCTTCTGGGGTGTTGGACCAATCAAAGAGCAGCCTTGAGGTTTGTGTTGAAGTGAAATGTGAAAGTCAGTTCACATTGTTTGCGCACCTTTGATTTACAATTTCATACACACAAGCTTTTCTATTAATGTTTAAAATAGTGTAATATTTAGTCACCACCAATCAATCTTAAACTTATGGACGAACAGAGTGTTACTTTAACCACTTACTGGTCCTCCTTTCTCTCCAGCGGGGCCTGGGGGTCCTTGGGGTCCGTTGCGTCCTGTGGTGCCGATGGGACCTCCGGGACCTGCAGGACCTCTCTCTCCTGGGGAACCCTGCAATACACAACAAAGCACTGTTAATATTGGCCTCAAGTAATACAGACTTACGTTTCTATAAATGTGGAAAATGCAAAAATGTAGTTGTGTAATCATACATAATTTATATTGAAAAAGAATACATTTAAATTAATCTGTGCAACAATAATTAAATGGAAAAAGTAACATGAAAGTAAATGTTTATTAAAATGATTTGTGTAATACTAGTTAAGTGTATATAGTATAAAAGAATAATAAATAGTATAATACAAAATTACAGTGTTATAAATGGTACCAGTCTCTAAACAATATATTTAAGAAACCAAACAAACTTGTAGAAACTTTAAAAGTACTTCGACCTCAGCACTTCACAGCACAGGGGCACCTCTTTATATTAAAATACTTAAATTTCCTCTCTCACTTACTCAAGGCTTTATGAGAAATCCCATTACCTGGCTGCTCTGCATGCACCAGGTGGGCTCTGTGTACTGTGTGGGGGGCCCAAACCACATAAACCTAATGACATCTTTGATCTGGGGGCCATTTTGTCCAGCCTTTTATCCAGGCAAGGTCTCGCTGCTGCTTTCAAACAAAACTCTGCAGCCCACATCCTCACCTGGATGCACACGAATGCTCACACATGCACCAGATTCTCCTGACACAGTGCATCGGGAAAAAATAGACAGAAGTCATTTTCAAGGTTGATTTAAAACAGATCAGTTAATATAATTATCAGTCTTAAAATAGTAAATGACGTAAATGATTATAAGATTTTAAAGGTGGAAGTATCACATGGCATATTTAGATCACCATGTTACCTTTTATTGTTAAAAAATGCTGTATTCACTCCCCCTTCAGAGCGCCATCACAACTTTCAGTTAAACTACTGCTCATTGCGTCAGGTTTGTGAAGTTGTAGTGTATTGTTTTGTATCATGCTTTTGTATATTTATGGAGAATTGCCGTGTGGGAGCAGAGTGACGTAAGCTTGAACTGGACATTGGACAGAATCTTACAGCTAAGTAGGATTTGAATAAGGCCCGGGAGAGATCGCTAGATTACTCAAAGATGCATGGATGACATCTAAAACCTCTTTAGGCATGTTTGTATTGAGGCAAAAATGTTATAACATGGTAGAAATGGCATGGTTTTGGACACAGTAGGGACATATTTACGCACTTTTATTTATTTTACTATTTGCTGCTATTTCATGCTTTTTATGGTTTTTGCTTTTATTTGATTTTATTGGTGATATTGTTTTAGGACTGGTATGACCAAATTTTAGCAATGTACCTTTTTGTTGTCTTCATTTTATGATCTCCGTGCAGCACTTTGGAAATTGCTTTGTTTGTAAAATGTCCTATAGAAATAAGGTGGATTTGGATTTGGACATAGGTGTCTGGAAATGTTTTTGCAAGAAGTATCTGTTGTCGAAGTTTTCAGCTTGTCCAAGAAAGGGTGGAAGTAAAAGGCTGGAGATCAACTTGAAGTCTTACGCAGGAGAAGTTTACTTATTATCAATAATATGGGCCTGGACTTGGACTTGAAAAGAGAACAAAGTATGATCTTTGAGTGTTCAAGCCCCTTTCACTTTGCTTCCAGAGGAGGAGGTTTATAAAGCAAGTGGTGAGACTATGAAGGCCAGTGGGCACCAGTTAGACAGCAATATGCCACAATTTAGATAATGTTATGCCAAGGGAAGACCAGGGTGTAAATAAAGCTTTTGTGTGTCAATGTTAAACTGAGATGTACGTGGAAGATAAATTACTTAAATTCTCTTACAGTATCCAAACTGAAAATCCATATTCAACCTTTATTTTTGTTCACTGGGTTCACAAACTTATCAGTCATATGGCTTAAATTCCTTTCAGCTGACAATAATAGCATATGTGCAGTTGCAGAATTCCACCACTTTTTATAATATTGTTTCAAAATCTTCCACTTTATTTTATTTTTACTAACAGAAAAGGCATTAAACTTTGTGCCAGCTTTCGTTTCCCGAGGTTAGAGCCGGTACTTACAAAGATAATAACCAGAAACCAGGTCAGCTCATCTGCAATTTGACCATGCCAACCTAAAATTTTTGCCTATCCTCCTCTTCACTTTTAAACTTGTCCAAATGTGAAATGTTGTGATGTTAGCTGAACCACTTTGAAACAGTGCGGTGGAGTATAGACTATAAGCTTGAGTGCGCTTGGCTTGAGGGGATTCTTGGCAAAAGCTAAAGACTTGAGCTTTCATTGTGTGCCATCATTTGTCCAGACATGTGAGCGCCAGGTGCCCGCTCTCTATACCACAGCAGCAGATTCGGGACAAAGCAGGAAGTGTGACCATCCATGCGCATCCAGGTGAGGAGTTTGCCCAGACAATGACTTAGCTGGCAGTGAAAAATCCTAAACAGTAATCAAAATAATAAAATACATTAAAAGTGCATAGCGTAACATTTATAGAGGAGGGCTTATCTCAATGGAAATGTTGTTGCTTTGTCTAGAATGTTCCACAGTATTAATTTAACAGACAAGCAGGTTGCAGGACTACTTTAGACTATACTGCAATTCACATCTGTGGAGAGTCGCCCCTGTTCACCGAAGAAATTATTGTGTTAGAGGTTTGCGGGGGACAGAATTTTCAGTCCCGCTCCCGCCTGCACCCGCGTTGTGCAGTCCTGCCCACGCCCGCAAAGAATTGTAATTTTCATTCCCACTCCCGCCCGCATCTGCAATATTTTGTCTCGCTCCCGCCTGTAAATCCTGCAAGATGAGGAAGTTCGCTTTCTTAAGCTCTATCAAACACGAAGAAGCAGAAAGGAATTGTCTAAAATGTGCACGTGTTTAGACCACATCCACAAGTTTAGGCTGCTTAAAATGTTTTTATTAATGTCAAATAAAATATCCAGCACAAATGACCTATGCCATACATTAATCATTTGTATATTTTACTTTACACTCATATTTAGTTTGAGGGACTGGAGTTTCTCCTGCAATGAGCTTTCAAAATGTGTTCCGCGCCACACTGTTTTGTGTCGGGTCTAGCGGGTCACGTGTGCAGGTCTGTAGATTTTGTTTTTGAGCAATAGAAACACGCGTAATTAACAAATTATTCTAGATGATTTGACCAAGGATCTTAAACTTGTGAGAACATTTCTAATTTCTATTAACAGTGGCCCGCTGATAAAATCTCGATACTAAATTTGTTGATGCCGTGTTGTTATCGTAAACCGTTGTATCAATACATCGGCAAGTATTTTCTGAAATCTTTTAGCTTATTTTTGTGACCGCATGACAGTTTTGTTGCATATTTAGTGGAAGGAAACTTGTTTAAGCATAAATTTCCACAAGACGAGACGAGATATGAGATTGGGTCCACGAGAACGAGACAAGATGAGATTTTAACATAATTCCTAATATAAACATTTCATATTTCACAGTTCAGTTTCTAATTTTTGCCTCACAATTTTGTTATTTATTTCATTCATAGTTTTGTTTCCATTCTAGTACTACTTTTTGGAACTGTTATTATATTGGTTATCGTTATATTGTGATAATATAGTATCATCCATGTATTGTGATTCCCTAATTTTTACTATTAGCTGTTTGGTTTTCAGTTGTTACACAAAAAAGTAAGCATAGATCTTGTTCAAGCCTGCGTTTTCCAGTTCAATGTCTGTTACTAATATGTGCTTTTCCATGTTACAGTATATCTGCAGCTGCATTCAGTACAGACTTGACAGCTCAATCTACACACATTTAGTTCAAATACTTTCTAACAACTGTCCAGCTCTGCACCACAACCCTTCTGTCATCTTTCATCTTTTCCCTTTTAACCACATTTCTTCCACACATGTCATTTTCAGACTCGGAAATCAAAGGAACTCCCAACTTAGAGACGCACTTTCTATTTTTTTCTTTGTTTATTTTTTCCTTGTGTGGATTTCATTCTCTATGCCTCACACCGTCCTCCCCACAGATGCTGTATCTCCTGAAGCAAATCGATTGAGAAAAATATCAGATCTTTTGTGAGTGTTTGGGCATCAAGTTTTCTTTTCTAATTTTGAAAGGGCTTTTTAAACTTTGACAAAAACAGTTTCGCTGGTGGCCTGACTCATATCTAATTGGAATGTTTCTGAAAAGGATTGCGACTGTGATTAAATTTGTGGATTCAATTAATTATAGGATTCATTCCAAAGTTCATAATTTAAAGATCTCCAGGACAGTTGACAAAAAGACTGAAATATGAACTGACAAACTATAAGAATCCCATTTCAAAACAGTACAGATCTAAGAAAGCTGCAGGGTTAGCAGTTCTGATGCAGAATGAGATGAGCGATTTCGATTCAGTTGCGATTAACTGAGTAGTCCTACTATATGATGTCATCTCATGAGCACCAAGTCTTGTTTTTCATACATTTCAAAATTTCTAGTTTGACTATTAGATCCAACAGAGGTAGAGTAGTCAAATGTTTCACTCAAGTAATACTCTGCAAAGCAAAGTAAGTTATCCCTTTGCTTGTTTCATCTGAATGTTGGCTCGTCTTTTATCGACCCGTGACTGTTTCACGGTTTGATTTTCTAACTTTCTCTTGGTTAAATCAACAATTTTCCTTAAGCCCTGCAAAGCAATTGGTGTGATTTTGGCCAACAAAAAAATAAACTGGAATGAAGTATGAGTACAGTTACTTCTAAATAATATAAGCCAAGTAGAAGTACAAATTAATTGGCAAATAAACAGAGGTAAAAGGGTATTTGGGCAAACTACTTTCAAATTGGGGTAACTGTAAAAGTAAGGGTCTGGTATATAAGAATAGACTTCAAAAATGAAGAAAACCAAATCAGATCTGAAGCTAAAATATTTAAATCATTTAAGATTGTCAGTGTATTATCCCTTGTGACCTACTCACAAAGGGAAGAGTACTCCAGTTCTTGAATTATATATTTTGTAATGTACAAGTTAAAGTGGTTAAAGGTTAAAATGTCTCACAATAAATCCAAAATTAACAATGAATTAAAAACATAAATTGAGTTAACTTGAGTAAATATAACTATCCACCTCTGGGACCCAATAAAAAAACTGAATTCATATGTCAAGTTGGAGTAAAATGATCTTAAATTCTTTCATAGTTCTGATTTTAAAAGGTGTCAAAAAAACAAGCAACAATACGTTTTTGACCATTGAACCAAATATAAAAAACCATCCAGTTTAGTATGAGAAATAGCTGAAATGAACTCTTCGATTTTCTTTCATCCTCTTGCATGTTGAGCTGCATATCCGATGTCATCTTATCTGTCGCTTTAGCCTGGGCAATTATAGGGAGCCTGCGTTTAGCTCTCCACCAAAATGTCAGATGGTTCAAAGCTGCCTGTCAATCAAATGTTTTTCAATACAACTCACCACCAAAGCTCTAGAGAGGGGCTTTCATTGCCTCTCACTAGGGGGCGCAAAGCAAAAACTAAAAAGAGGGAAAAGTTATTTGAGCATTGCCATGTAGCTTCCTTTCAAAGCTCCAAACTGAGTACACAGAAAGCAAAATGTCTGCATTATGGCAACTGGATTTAAGTCATTTCCCAGAACAACATATGTCTCTGAATGTAATTATGACTATTTTTTACATTGCAGAGTGGACCGTTGGGAGGAAACGATATGCAATTATCATAAATGTGAAAATGGCACTCAAAAAGGAAAATTGTACAAAAATAAAAGGGCTTGGAGTTAAAGTATTAGCATCTGTATGTGGTGTTTCAGTTGCTATGGAAACTAGGATTGGACACTGACCAATCACAGAAGATGAATGAACGACGAGTGTCCCGGTCAATGGTGCATTTAAAAGTCAAATTGCTATGCAATTACTTGCCAATTTTGCCTAATCTCTTGCCATATTTCTGAGTATTTTGGGTGTAACAAAAACTAGAATCACTAGAAGAGCAAAAACCTCAGTGAAGGCAAAGGCCCTATCTCGCAATGGTGAAAAAAAAACACAAATGTGTCCAGACTATAGCAATATCTGCGTTGTTTATTTTAACCATAATGCCTAATACTCGAAATATCAGTAAAGATTTTTTCAAAGGTTGTATCATCACAGTTTTCTCTACCGTACATACAGTATAAGTAACCATAAGACACTTTGATCCAAGCTTCAGGTGCACTATGTAAGTTTTCTGGTGGAGTGTCTGCCACCTGCTTGTCTCCACGGAGATGTTATAGCGATGCCCTTAATGTTCCACACTAAAGGATTTACCCGTAACTTATCTATCTGCATGTAGACAAGCAGGTAACACCCCCAGGCTCAGTTCCCGGTCTGGTCAGAGTAAGAATGGATGCTTTTCAAGGTGATTTTAAGCTATAAAAACAACTGCAATTGAATTAAAGCAAGATAAATATGTTCAATGCTATACTGTGGAACATTTCAGGCAAAGCAATACAATCTCTTTGGAGACAAGTAGATGATGGACCCTTCACCACAAAATACACAGTGCACCTTTAACTGAACTGCTACATAAAAGCAGAGTGTGCTTGTTGAAGGCTGTTGTATTTGTATAGTTCCCTTACAACAGCAGATATGATGACCATATAGTGATGTTACCTGTGTGTGTTTGTGTGTGTTTGTGTGTACTCACGATGGGGCCTTGGGGACCCTGAGGCCCTTCTCCTCCCTTCAGACCGCCTGGACCCTGGAACAACAGGAGGGGACAGAGTCAGGACAGTGTGAGTGTGCAGGGAGGGCGGAGGGAGGGCAGAGGGAGGGCATATCTCCACAGGAGCAGCTCAAAGGCACACACAGCAGTGATCACAGCCAAGAGAAAGAGAGAAGGGCTGAATACTCAATGACACAAATGCAAAATGTGTGGGCTATGCCAGACCGCAATTGTAGTCACACAAGTTTAGGTTGAATTATACTGTTCTAATAATATATTTAAAGGTATAGAGTGGCAGTAAGTAAATCTGATGAATACACATAACAGCATTTGTTTAGAACAGCGGTGACCAATTCAGACCAAATGCCACACAGACAAAAGTATGGGGCCAATCGAAGGACAGACTGCTGATCAATAAAGTGATTAATTAAAACTGGTGTATTTAAAGGTCCTAGTTTAAGCCATGTTGGAACGTTGGTATCTCATCAAAAACATACCTGAGATGTGTTTTGTTTCATTCACACATCAGTAACCCTGCATTATTACTACATGCATGTCTACATCTCCAAAGCTCAAAATGCTGTGTTCCGCCTTGGGATGTCATGAAGTGGTAGTTTTTAAGTTACCTTTTACCTTTTGTTCAGTAGATCTGGCAATTCCAGGTCTGAAATTATGCAAATTGTTCTCATGAAGGTGTATGGACTTTAAAAACAAAGTAGAGCACTTCCTGTATTACAATATGACATTACAAGGTGGAACAGAGTGTTTTCTGTTTGAGAGAAAAACACAGTCTAAATATGCAGAGTTTGTGTGTTAAACATGTTTGACTGAAACAAAACACAACTCCAGGTATCTTTTTGACAAGCAAACAGCATTATCACAATATTGAGCGAGTGCTGGTTGGCATTATCAAATCTACACCACTTTCAAAGTAATTGTAAAGATATACTAAAACCGTATTTTTCGGACTATAATTTGCACTTTTTTCATGGACTGGGTGGTCCTGCGACTTATACTCCAGTGTGACTTATTTATAAAAAATTTCACACTGACAGCCACGAGGGGGCGCTCAAGGCTTGTGTGTCATTATCTGCTACTACTATTACTCCTGTACCACTGTCACTTCACTCTACTGTGCATGTCTCCTGCAGAAAGAGCCCCTCTCCTACAGCAAGTAGTGAAATATTCAGCCAAAAACGGTAATCGAGCAGCAGAAAGAAAGTTTGGACTGAGCGAGAAACTTGTGACAGCGGGATGGTGCGCCATGTAACTTTCCTGGAAGTCAATGGATGGATCAACAAAGTCTGGACTTCAGTGACAACTGAAACCATTGTGTCGGGATTCGGAAAGGCTGAAATAATTCTAACTGGAACTAATGCTGAGTCTGACAACAGCAGAGGAAGCGGCGCTCTGTTTACCTCCAGGGGTCACGGAGTTGCTCAGGAGTGACACAGAGGAAGAAGAATTCATTGGATTTAGTGATTTGGAGTGAGATGGAGAGTTTGGTAAACTTGTTCTGTTCTGTTGTTTATGCTCTAATTATTTGAATACCGGTTCATATGTTACGTTAACATACTAGACGCCTATTCAGCCTGTTGTTCTCTGTTCTATTGTTATTACTATAACTTGCCTTTCAATTAAATCATCGGTTCCTGGTCTCAGATTTTATAAAATAAATTTCCCCTAAAAAGTGCAACTTATACATGTTTTTTTCTTCTTCATTACGCATTTTTTGGCTGGTGCAACTTATACTCCGGAGCGACTTAAAGTCTGAAAAATACAGTAATAGGATTCTCATACTATATTAGGGTTAAGGATACACATTTAATACAGTAGTTGTTTAGAATTACTCCATATAATTTTTGTTGCAGAAAAGCTAATTTATGCAAATTCTGTAATGAATAAAGAAACAACTTAAACAGCGCCTTCCTGTTCATATTATTAATACAACATAGACTCTTTAATTTACTGACTGACTCTGATGACTAGATTTTGAACGTATTTGCGATCTATCTTTGTCACCTTAGCGGACCCCTGAATACAAGGGTCTGATATGGAAAACTCAGCTCGCCAGTTGCCGTGAGCCTTGTCATTATAATAACTCATTTACAGGCCAGAGCAGAGCCAGAGGGAAGAGACGCTGCCAAGTGGGCTCTCTCCACCTCCACACATTTTAGTATTGTGCATTAAACGGGTGGTCAGGCACTCTTTCTGGACACACTAAACTTATTTATTAGCTTGTTTATGGAGCGCAGTGTGTCTTGTCACGACCAGAGATGACGACTATGAGAGAGTGGCCGTAAATTTATGTGACTGTCGGGGCTGTTGTTGTCTTCGGAAAGTTTCTGACGGGGAAGTTTTTGGTGTAAACAAGATCATTTGGCTCAATAGTTTTTTTTTTAGTTGTTTTAATCATTCAATCAGTCAACAGCTTTATTAATCCCAAAAGGGCATTTCAGTTCACGGATGTCTGGTCATGTCAACAAAATAGATTTGTATTCGAGTAAAAGTACATTTACGTGGCTATTTTATGCTATTTTCTAACCAATGTTACAGTGCTGTTTCCTCCTCAAAAACAAACCTGAAGTTGTGTTTTGTTTTGTTGACATGTTACTTATTTAGGCTGTGTTCTTCTATCAAACAGAAAACACTCCACTGTGTTTTAAAACCCCATGCACCTTCACTAGAATCTTTTGGATGATTTATTGATCTGGAATTGCCAATCTCTACTGAACTAAAGGTAGATGTAAATGTGAAATCTACCGCTTCATGACATCACAAGGTGGAATAGGACATTTTGAGGTTTGGAGATGTAGACTGACTGATAATAAAGGGTTACTCAAATATGTGTGATTGAAGCAAAACACAACTCCGGGTATGTTTTGAATCCTTGTAACATTCTTTCATTAATTTTTCAACATAAAACCAAAAATAAGAAAACAAAAAACAACAATTTTCTTCATTATTTGTCTCCAAAACCAAAATGAAAAAACGGATAATGATTAGTTTTTTTCAGTTTTTGATTGTGTGTTTAAACACAGGACAAAAAAAGGACAAAACCAGGTCTAAACCAGAACTGAACCAGGACTAAACCAGGTCTAAACTAGGACTAAACTGGTTTCAGTCTTCATCTGGTCCCAGTATGGTCCCTATCTAATCCTGGTCTCAGTCCTCATCTTGTCCCGGTCTGGTCCTGGTCTCAGTTCTGGTTTGGTCCCAGTCTCAGTCCTGATCTCAGTCCCGGTCTCAGTCCCGGTCTCAGTCCCGGTCTCAGTCCCGGTCTCAGTCCCGGTCTCAGTCCCGATCTCAGTTCTGGTCTGATCCCAGTCTCAGTCCCGGTCTCAGTCCTGATCTCAGTCCCGATCTCAGTCCTGGTCTCAGTCCCGGTCTCAATCCCTGTCTCAGTCCCGGTCTGATCCCGATCTCAGTCCTGGTCTCAGTTCTGGTCTGATCCCGATCTCAGTCCTGGTCTCAGTTCTGGTCTGGTCCTGATCTCAGTCCCGGTCTCAGTCCTAAACCAAAACTAAACCAGGACTAAACCAGGACTGAACCAGGAGTGTCGGGATGGGCCCAGAGGTGCACCCGTGTGGACTGTAGGGTGATCAGGCCTGAGACCCGTACCAGACCGGGACCAGACCGAGACAAGGACCAGGACCGGGATTTGCATTTTGCATCCTGGCTTAATCTTGACTAATTCTGGTTTTAGTCTTGGTTTACCACTGGTTTAGACCTACAAGACCTTGTTCAGTCCTGGTTTATCCCTGGTGTAGGTGTGATCCAGTCCTGGCTTAGACCTAACGTAGTCCAGTTTTACTTTGGGTTTAGATTTGGTATTAGATTGTTTATGGTGTAAACAGTAATGACTCTCAAATAGTGGTTGATGTACAAACTGTATCACACAGATTAGTACTTTTACTAATTAAAACTCTTAATTAAGGTTTGCCAATCCTGGATTAGTTCTAGTTCTAGTTCAAGTCCCAAATCAATTAAGCTTAAATATATGGTTTAGTCTTGTCTTGGAAGTGATTGTGTTTAATATATTAGGTGTAGGTGTTGTCTGGACCAGGTTTTATTCAGATTTCCATGTATTTTTTCTTGCTTGTGGTTTAAAATTAGACCGTTGATGACTGTACAGTTTTGTCTTGGCATATTTTTTGTAAGAATAATGATCAGTCCTTTTCCTTTGCATCTCTAGTTTTTAAATAACTTACCTATTTTGGCTGCGATTCTTACAAAAATATATTTCCAAAGTCCTATACTATACTTTCTGTGCTTTTATTTGGTGAGAAACATTTCAACACCACTGGTCTCAGAAAACGTGTATTTTTTTAAAACATTTTTCTGGGTAGTGGGAATCGTTGTTATGTGTTTTTGAGTTATGAACAGAATCTCTGTCTGTTGTAACTTGGGACAAACCTTTATAATAAGACCAGTCGTTGCTACCTTTTTCACTTCAGATTTTTACTTACACTTGGATTTCTTTTGGTGATTTGTTATTGTTTTCAGACAGCAGGTAAACCAAAGCCAACCCAGACAATAAATAAGAGATAAAAGAATATAATCTACGTATTTAAAAAGTGTGATTTTAATTAGAAATGATTGTACAATTTGGACAAGGATTAAGAAATACTTTAATTATGTTACCTCAGGGATAAAAGTAAATGTATTAACAATGTGTAAGACTGAGGGAGGTTGGGAATACTTTCACATATTTAATGTAACAAAAGGTTAATTGGCTTTTATATGTGGAGAAATGTCTATGTGGATCATGTGAAGATTAATTGAAAATATCAGCGACTACTACTGCTACTACTGCTACTACTACTACTACTACTGCTGCTGCTGCTCCCGCTATACTACTACTATTGCTGCTATATTACAACAACAACTACTACTACTGCTGCTATAATACTGCTGCTACTACTACTCCTGCTTCTATACTACTACTACTACTACTACTACTACTACTACTACTACTACTACTACTACTACTGCTACTGTTGCTATACTACTACTACTACTACTACTACTACTACTACTACTGCTGCTGCTACTGTTGCTATACTACTACTACTACTACTACTACTACTACTACTACTACTACTACTACTACTACTACTACTACTAGAACTACTACTACTACTACTACTACTACTACTAGAACTACTACTACTACTACTACTAGACTACTACTACTACTCAGATTACTGCTGCTATGCTGTTGCTATACTACCACTACTACTGCTGCTGCTGCTATACTACTGCTACTACTACTAGTACTGCTGCTGCCATGCTACTACTACTACTACTACTATTACTACTGCTATATTAATACTACTACTGTTGCTATACTACTACTACTGCTATTACTACTACTATCTCTACTAACACTGCTAATACTACTACTACTACCCCTGTCTACAACTACAACTGCAATTGCTGCTACTACTACTTCAGTAATTACTAGCATTGCTACTCCTGCTTCTACTACAACCACTAATACTGCTACTACTAGACTTGAGTATATTGCTTTACTGTTGATACTGCATTGAGTAACTTGTAACTATCTGTTCAAATCTATGACAAAAACTAAATTCTTTCAAATTTTGTATAAATTTTTATAGATATTTTTGCGACAGTGAAATCTTTAACTTTATGTCCTGTTTTGTTGCTTTGCCCAGATCCTCCCACACCAACTAGCATCTTTTTTCACCTTCAACTTTCACTCCTCAGCTGAGAAAAAAGTTTGGTTAAGTCAGCAAGACTCCGCCGCACTGAGTCACCAAGTTGTTGATCTGAATTTTGATCAAAGAACCCACCTTTCCTTTGATACACGGTATATAAAAAACTGCCTTAAAGTACATACGACAGGTCTTCATGTTTTTGTAATTATGCCTTGGTTTGATGAGATAGCACCTGTGGCAAATATTTATCATAGTTGTAGCTCAAATGGAAAAATAGTTGAGAGTAAAAAATACAGTAAGTAGCATGAGCTCTTTAAAGGAAAACCTCGTCATTATTTATCTTTTATCTGTAAGGAACACATTTTTCTGACAGTTTAAACCTTAATTTAACAAAATAAAGGTATTGTTGTTTATTTTTATTAGTCTAATCATTACTATTGAGCAAATTCAACAGGTTTTGGCCTTTGTTTACAATATGGATGCTAGGTAACAGTTAAAAATACCTCTACAAATCTAAATGTGATTATGATGCATTCCAGTCATACTAGGTGGTTGTTTTTTTCTCTGAACGTTGGAACAATAAATGCATCAAAAATTTCGGACTTCTGGTCATTGCGCAATGCATACTGGGAAGGATTTTCCGAAAAAGTGAGAATCAAACCGCCATATTTGATTTGATTGGGATTCCAGTCTTTTCAAGTCTTTTGAACCATATCGCTTTTATTTCTGGTTCTGATATTGTCATATTTTTGTTTTGGGATTCGGACATCGTAATTGTGTGGTTGTTGGCTGTTCTAACACCGGAAAACGACTTGAGAAATTTGTTTGCGAACTCCATAAATGCAAAAGGGAATCAGATGTGTGTGACTGCAAACCTCTGTTCAAACTGTTTCCCTTCCCAATGGAATTGAAAAATAGTGAAAGGCGAAGGCGATGGACAGTATTGATCCACAGGAAGGACGAAAAAGGAAACATTTGACTGCCTAAATCATCCCGAGTTTGCAGCAAAGCAAAACCCCAATCCCTCGCTCCACCTTGGTTACAAATTTAAAAAGTCAATGCCAAAGCGAAAGGCACCAGCTGTTCTCCAAGACACAACTTCCACTGTAAAGCGACCAAGATGTGATTTTGCTGTAAAGCCACAAGAACAAGAAAGTGATCGGCCTGTTTGTCTTCTGTGCCTTAACAAACGGGATCCCGCTATACAAATTTCTCGAGCCGTTTTCCCGTTGTCCGAATCCCAAAACTAAAATATGACAATATCAGAACCAGAAACAAAAGCGATATGGTTCAAAAGACTAGAAAAGACCAGCTTTGTCAATAGACGCATCCCACTAGGAAAACAAACATGGCGGTTTGATGCTCACTTTTTCAGAAAATCCTTCCCAGTATGCATTGCGCAATGACCGGAAGTCCGAAATTCTTGATGCATCTATTAAGAGACTGAGTTAGAAATCTGAGTTAAAATATTGATTGTACTCGTGTTATTTTCCCTTTAGTTGCTCCCTCTTGTCTACCTGCTGTCTGTGAATCTGCTCCTACTGTGCTGTTATGCTAATGCTAAATGCTAATGCTATGCTAATGTTATGCTAATGTTGCTAATGCGTACAAAGGCTAATGTCAACATAAGAAAAAAAAATCACTTTCGAACGTCGCTTTACTAACTGTTAATGTGATAACAATGCCCGGGTTACTAAATTAACTTAATGGGATTTGCATTTTGGCTGATTTGAGCACTTTACTTTGGATTTTCTAACTTGATTGAGTCAAATGTAGTGATCATTATTTTTCCAACTTGACTGGAACACATCTGAAGTTAAAAAAAAAATTGAAAAGAACTTGGCAATATTTTGGAAAATCTTAAATAAACTTAATTTTATGTTTTTGTGAAATGAGTAGTCTAACCTGTCACATGCACAGCTGACTGTTTGCTATTTACCAAAATGTCCAAACAAACAAATGATTTCAACATTGAGTATTCAGCCTCTTCCAATATTGTCTTTGGCTCCTTAACGTTAGCCTTAGCCAGTTTTTGTTGTGTGCCGTGCCAAGCGTGACATTTGGTGTAACAGCAGGTAGTTAGCTTGGTAATTAGCGTTTGGAGCGGTGCTATTGAAAAACATTGGGGGGACACATTTGCATGGTTTGGGGTGATGTTTGTAAATAAGTTAGCATGTTGTGCGTTACCATGGCTCCGGGAAGACCCCTCACTCCTTGGAAGCCCCTCAGACCCTGGGGACCGACTTTGCCAGAAATGCCTGTAGGACCTGGGTCTCCCTAAACAGCAAGACAAATTAAGAAACATTAGTATTATTATACACTTGTTTTAGGGGTGTAACGATATCTAAGTCTCACGATACGATATCGTCACAGTATTAACCTCACGGTACAATATTTATTGCGATATCATGGGAAAGCTCACGATATGGCTGGAAGGCTCACGATATTACAATATTATACATAATAACAAGACTGACATTACAATTTGGTCCAACATTTATTCATTCTAGGGATGTTACAATGTCCAAATCTCACAGTACAATATTATCATGATTAGGGGTGTGCAAAAATTTTAAAATATCGATATATCGTCTCGTTTAATGTGATGTTACAGTATCAATATCGTGGGCTGCTGTATTGATATATTGCCAAGAGTATTTTTTGGTGTATTTTACTAAATTATTTTGTTACAGAGTTACAGTTTTGTTGCTTGTTCAGAGGAAGGAAGCTCATTTATGCAACATGATTTTACATTTTTACTGTTTTGATGATTAAAATGTTTGTGTTTCATATTAACTTTGCACAAGAAATGGTTTAACAAAGACTTTTAGTATCACATCCATGAGTTTTTTTGTTGTACTGTATCGAACCAATTTGAAATACATCGTATTGAATCGTATCGAATCAAAAGCTCACTGTATCGAGATGTGTATTGTATCGGCAACTCTTAATGATACCCAGCTCTAATCATGATATGCATCTCATGGTACGATATTTATTGCGATATTTTGAAGACGCTAATAATTGTACCTTGATAAGATTTTGGTGTGAATTATTTCTGTCATAATCCCAAGAATTCAAGTATAAAACATATCTCTTCATGTTGTCTGCACTGAAATGAATCATGGGATGTGTAGTTCTGTCTGTTTATAAGCTGCTACTATAAAACCACCAATTTAAGCAAAGGAACTTGTGATTCGATATATTGTGACAGCCCACGGTATTATTGTGAGACTTTTGACGATACGATATCACGATATTTCGGCTATTGTTACATCCCTAATGTGTTTACTTTTGCTGGTTTTCAGAATGAGATGATATCAAGCTTCCTGATTTGGGCTAAGAGTCACTTTGTTTTTGTTTTTTTTAGATATTTATAGAAACATGTAAAAGGTACATTCACAGTTGTTGAATCAGATCACTTCAATCAACGTTTTATAATTTTGTGATGTCATTTGAAACCAACAATGGAATAACTTACATACTATACAGCTGTAATATGGAGGAGATGTAAAAATATACTCAAACTTACAATATCTTGGTAACACTTTAGTTTACGGACCACATATTAAAAGCTAGTTAATAGTAAAATGTGTAATAACTGCTTAATTACATCATTGTTAGTATTTATAAAGTGCTTTCCATGCATTTTTGTCTAAGGTTGTATTTTGTAATCCATTAACTACTTTCTTTCCGTTAAAGTAGTGAGGATACAACACATGTTTCTGTACATACATATACTGTAAATCTTAATAAACACGAATAAGTGTTTGATAAATACCAAAGAACAGCTAAGTAACAGCTAATTAACATACCAGTTATCACTTAGTTAGCGATTAATATGTGGTCCCTAAACTAAAGTGTTACCAGTATTTTTTTCAATATCTAAAAGATATTCAGTTCATTTGTGTCCATTGTTTTGGAATAACATTTCTGCCTTCTCAACACATTACAATTAATTATGACAAAATTCATAAAAATAAATAGCAGTAAACAAAAACATTTCTGAGCAGTAGAAGATTCTGACATCTTAACTAATTTAGCATCAAATGATCTGGTTCTAAGACTTTTTTGTTTTTGTTTTTTGTTAGTGGTAAAGAAATGCTATTTGTTGCAAAAAGTATTATAAAAGCATTGTTTTTGGTAGTTGCTTTGTACAGTGGAAAAACTCAATGATTTAAACTTATACATGTGAGCATTTTAGCAGATGTGATGTAAAAACTGTCTGGAAAATAAGTAGTTTTCCATTGCTGGTGATATCTTTACCTTTCCTCCCTCTTTGCCGGCGGCTCCAGGCAGACCCTGTTCACCAGGAGGACCTGGGGTTCCCGGGTGTCCTCTCTCTCCACTGGGGCCTGTCTCTCCGGTGGGACCCTATAGAAGACGAGAGGAGATGAACCCTTTTAAATGTGCTCTATAAATAAACCTTCACCTTGAGTCTTGCCTAAGGACACAACATCATTCATCACTCGGGCCCGACCGATTTGGATTTTGTTGCGGCCGATAAGATACAGATAAAATAGGAGTTGGAGGTGCCGATAGCCGACTGTAAATCTCAAACTGTTTAAAAAACTTAAGTTTGGCTCTAGTGTATTTTAAATTGGCTTTATTTAGGCAACATTTATTGTTATTCTACCTCCTTACGTCATATTTACAGGCAGTAGGTTGACCTAATTTTTGCATCACATTCTAGTTACTAGTAAAGAAAGTAAACTACCACTATTACCGGTAAATGCATGCTTGCCAAGGTAATTAATTATATGTGTAAATGTCGATCATTCACACCTCTATTCACAACGCATTTACATATCAATGCAGGTCCAGTAACATATATACGGCCAATATAGTCACTTTACAGTCAGCCAATAGAAGAGAAACAGCCTGTTTATGTGCAGGAGCTACAGCAGCTAATCGCCAACCAATGAGAAATAAAAAAACAGCTTCAAAACAGACACATTTCCGACAGTCACTGCTCACACAGGCTCCTCTCAGATCACAAATCTGCACTAGTAAATGTCCTTTTAATCCAGACTCAAACCGACTGTCCGTAAAAAAAATATAATCTCAGTGTTGCGCACATGGATCTGTGTCTGCGGGTGTAAACAAGAGCTCGTGAGTGTTGTGACTCTTGGGGTGCGTTCAGGGACAATACGGAAACACACAAACAGACAAATGACTCTGCAGATAAATACTGATGCGGAGCCACATATTAGGACATTTATCTGTCTGTAAATTGGATTAAATGACCATAATGTAGAGAGTCTAAGCTTTATAACAAGGTATAACATGCCCATGTGAAATATCAGCAAGATTTAGGCCGACAGCCGATATGTTTCCAAGAGCCCATATCGGCCGATAATATCAACCAACCAATATATCAGTCGGGCCCTACTCATCACATCAGCTATAAAGTTTAGGCTGTGTGTTTGTTGCATTTGCATATTTATTTTGTTCAGTTGGAGAGTTGAAAATGCAACATGAAAGTAAATGATGTAGGTTGGAGGACTGATTAGGCAACCATCTTTACGCAAGACACTTCACCCATCTTGTTTTGCATGAATGTATGAATTTATGAGTGAGTGGTTGGTCTGGTCAGCCTGGCCCAGTGAATGAATAATGACTACAGTGTAACGCCTCCACAAACTTGTAAAGGCATCATTATTATAAAAGCTGATGTAAAATGTACACGTGCTTACCATTGGCCCAACCACTCCACCTGGCCCTGGGGGTCCGGTCTTTCCTTGGAAACCCTGTAAAAGAATTAGAAAAAGAAATATTAAACACTTAAAGGTTGTATACTGAAACTCAAAACTGAATGACTTTCCAGTAAGCGAGGCCATAAGGTTTAAAAGACATTGTAGGAAGTTTATGAGGAAATCCGAAACACAAGCAAACAACGGGGCCATCTCTATACATCGCAGTGTCTCCATGGAACAAAACATCAGGTAGTTTTAAGCTTTAGGCACATTTATTACACAGATTCTATTCAAAGTTATAGTTCTTATTTCTTTTTGGCTTCTTGTTTTCTACTAGTTCCAGCAAAGTGTCAGCTCCACAACAAATGCGGTGGTTCTAAACATCTTTTATCAGAATGAGCTGCCACACAATTGTACAATAGTTCTCCAGAGTATAAGAACTTTTGACAGTACTACAGGATTATATAATGGCTTTGCTTTAAACAAAATCGCATGTGCCAAGTATAGAGTATTGATTTCTTTGCAATTCCAGGAGTGTGGGAGTGAATGAATAATGCAATGAAAAGCAACTTTGAGCGCCCAAAAAGAGGTGAGCAATAAAATGAATTATTGATAAGACATTATATTTGCAATATTTAGATAATTTCTCAAAAGCGTGGTTAATAACGCCTACACCTAAATTTGGCTGCAAATCTGCGACATAAGCAAGTTACAGTAATATAGCTGTTGGAAATACTAGTAGCAGTCTTAAAAACGTATGAAGTATTGAAGTAAGAAGTATTCTGTCTTGTATAGTAATAGATTCAATATTGTCAAAACTCAATGTTATAAGGAGACATAAGTCACATTATCTAAAATTTGGCAAAACAATGGAAAAAACTGATAATTTGCATAGATTTTAAAGATCCTATATTACACAAAATTGACTCTTGTGAGCTTTAAACCATGTTAGAATATTGTTACCTTGTCCAAAACTAACCTGGAGCTGTATTTTCTTTGATTCACACATGCTTGAGTTAGTTGAGTAACCGTTTTTTATTAAGCTGCCTATGTCTCTAAAGCTCAAAATCCTCTGCTCCACCTTGTGATGTTATGTACTGGTAGTTTTCACGTAACCTTTTATCTTTAGTTCAGTAGAGATTGGAAATTCCAGATCTGAAATCATCCAAATTTATCTAACAGTGGAGCACTTCCTGTATTATCACATGGCATCATAATTTGGAACAGAATAGTTTCTGTTTGAGAGAAGAACTCAGCCTAAATATGCAGGGTTTGTGTGTTAAACATGCGTGAATGAAACAAAACACAACTTTAGGTGTGTTTTTAACAAGAAAACAACATTATAACATGGATACAAAAGCATAATTTAGGCCCTTTAAACAATTTGACAGTTACCTAAATGAAACCTGTTGGCAAGATCATGTCCAGGAAAAAAATAAAATAAAAAATCCTCAAATTTTAATTTAGTTTGTACATTGACAATTTTGGAAACACATAAAAATTTTGCCACTTGGGTCAAAACAAATTAGTTTTTAAGAAAATGCTTTTTACTTTTAGTGATGATATAATCCACAAATTTCTAACATTCATGCCTTGACTACCTTATGAGGAAGAGCTTCCCAATGCAGTAACTTTTGACACATAAAATCCGCTCATTAAAAACTATGTAGCATGCAATATTCAAATTACGTTCACTTGATATCGGAAATTCTGAAGTTTAGCACAAGTTCGCTTTTTCACTTCTTAAGTCTCATATACAGTCCGATCACTGCTGCACTCAATTAGGCAAATATGTCAACATCTAAATATGTAATACTCAAAGGTTTCTGCTCCAGTGGACTTGAGAAGATTAATTTGGATCTTGCTGATGTGTTACTTTCACTTTCACTTTATATGCTACGGCTGCTCCATGACTTTTTATGTTCAGTCAATCACAGCAGCCAGCAGACCTCGAAGGAGCTAAACCAGAGCAAATGTTTAAAGCAGAGGAGGTAGTAAGAAATGATGTGCAAGCTGCATGTACTTAAGGAGATTTTGCAAATAGATTATGAGTATGGTAGAGTAAGGGTGCATTCATACTGGTTCTGGTTTGGTCCTGGTTTTAATGGTGATAAATTATACAAAATGGACTCTCGTGAGCTTTTAATCATGTGAATCTTGTTATCTCATCACAAACACTGGAGTTCTGTTTTGTTTCATTCACACGTTTTTTGAATAACCTTGCAATATTAGTCTGTCTGCATCTTTAAAGCTTAAAATGCTCTGTTCCATCTAAATTTAACAGCTATTTGTAGCCTAAATTGAACTACTATATACAGGGTTCCTACTGGTTTCTTCAAGTTAATTTAAAGTCTTTTTAAGACCTTTTCAAGACCATTTATGCATAAACTTAATACCTATTTCACGGCCTATTTCTCAGACTTCAAAACAACAAAGTTGGGTCACGTCTCCCAAAAATTAAGGAGAGGCAAATCGAAGCCAAAATCAGGCATATCCTCGTGTAGTGTGCGCCGGCTTTTACACGGTTAAGTTGTTTTTTAACATTGGTTATGATGGCTGGCTATTTATTCCACGCTGGGAAAATGGGGAGACTCTTCCTCATAACTCCAACATGAAATAGGTCGCTAGGTAACATAAAGCCAACGTTAAAATACAACTCAACGCCATTAGTCAAACTTTGTGTTTGATTTTCTTTGATTTTACGAGTTTCTGCTGAGCTTGTTGCTTGTGGTGCTGTAGTGTGTGATCTTCAGTGACGTGTTCAGAGGATTTTGACCCAAGGCTGTGTTGCGTTCTCAATTATTGGTTTCGCCGCTCTTTATTTAGGCGACGTTATTTAACCAAATAATGGTGGTTGACTAATTAAACTTTTGAGCAGAAATGCGATACAAAGAAATTACATAATGCACAAATTTTAAGACACAGATATAAAAATCCAAGATGTTTTCAAGTCTTTTTAAGATATTATTTCCTAATTCATAAATTCAATGCTTTTAAGACTTTTTAAGACACCCTGGGAACCCTGTATATACTGCAATACACTTCAATAACTATGAATTGTTGCCCTTTCTAAAAATATTTAGTTTTACCCGGTAACACTTTTTAATAACTACACCTTATTTAGGCTTAATAAAGCATGAACAAAGACTTAATTAATAATGATTCACACTTAGTACCTTACTACCTTAATTAGCAATTAACTCATGAACTAAACATTTGTGTGTGCATTTGTAAATGAATATTTAAGTACAAATTTGGGCATTTATTAATGATTAGTAAGCTATGAGAGAATGATTTACTAATAATACAATGCAATGATAATTCAGCTATTATCTGTTAGTTAAGTCTTTTTGAAAGCTTTTCTAAAGTGAAGACTAAATGGTTAGTTCATGAGTAATTAAGTATGAAATAATTATGAGTAACTATTTACAGCACAGGTGAATTAAGTGCAAGTTAAGTGCTAATTAAGGTAGTAATAAAGTAGTTACTAAGCGTGAATCATTATTAATTAAGCATTTGTTCATTATTAATTAAGTCTTTGTTCATGCTTTATTAAGGCTAAATAAGGTGTAGTTATTATAAAGTGTTACCGTTTTACCCTTTGTTGTATTAAGACGTTTCAACAAGCCTAAAAAGAGCTCCAACGTTAGACTAAACTCTAAACTCTATCTAAATATGCTGAATTTGCTTGTTTGTTGCTTGCATATGTGAATGAAAGAAAATACAACTTCAACTATGTCTGTGATGAGAAAAGAACAGCAAATTTACATAATGCACCTTTATTTGCAATACTGTTCTTTAAATTGGATATCAGCAAGTATGAATCTGACTGTATTGTGTGACGATTAAACCTTTTTATTATAACTGAATGTGTATTAAAATTGTCTAATAAACCTTTGTCGCAATAAATTACCTTGAAAGTACAATTTTGGCTATTGTATGCGTACAGTACGTGCACAAACAGTACTCACAGTCTCTCCTCTCTGTCCTGGATGTCCGGGGAGTCCATCTTTCCCTGCTGGGCCCTGGAGGCAAGAGTCAGGCAAATTTAAAATACAAATCAAAACATCAGATTTGGAATGAATATTTGATAAGTTTAAGAAAAGTGCCAGGATGTGAGTGTTACAGAGAGGGATAATTAGCAGTGTATTTTGACAGCTAGAACTCACATTGGGTCCTTTGGGTCCAGGGAAGCCGACTGGTCCCTGGGGTCCATTAGGTCCCTACAATCAAAAAATAAATACAAATATTAGACTTAGACAAACTTTGACAAACTTTATTGATCCACAAGGGAATTTACTTCAAGAATTAATTTCCCCTGTGGATCAACAAAGTTTATCTAAGACTAAAATATTAAAATACAAATTTTAAATTAAATTTTTCTGAAAGAAGAATTTTGACATTTGGTACAGCTTTCATTTTAATGACAAATAACTATGCTTTTTGTCTAAATGTCCTTCTATTTTGACTTAAAATTGATTCAATTTGTTATATTTTTTTAGTTTAGTTAACAAAATTATCTTGTAAATTTAGGAAACTTCAAGGTGTTGTACCTGATTTTACTGTCCTAAAAATGTGAAAAACAGAAGAACCTTACGCCATCACGGTAAAGATAAGAACTACTATGATGCTAATGCACACTTCCTGATTATCTGACAATAAAACACCTTATAATTAGATGCAGCAGTACACAAAGAACATATAGACATCAAGAGCTGCTTATATATCTAGTGGGGTAAGACAAAATTTGCTAAAATATATGGAAAAAAATCAGGTACGGTGCTTTTAATCTGTAAATGTAGTCAATCCAAGTATTTGTCACACTAAATTGGACATTCACTAATCACTTTGAATTTAGTTGGGTGTGGGAATACATTTAATAGCAGCTTTTTAAGTTCTCTTTTTTATATTAGTTAAATGCTTTGGTAGAGAAACATACTGTTTTCTAAGACTGTGCAACCACCCATATAAAGCTCCACAGATGCCTTACTTTATACAAGATGTATAATACGGCATAAAAAGTACAAATTTAGACCGAATATGGTCCACAAGAATTCCCTAATGCACGCCCTGGAGTTATCAGAAATGTGTTTGTACTTTTAAAATGGTGTTTCAGCTTTGATCTTATGTGTAATGGACCTTGTTGATAGGCACACGTAAACCCAGCTTCAGAATGAAAGTTTAACAAAATTATATACAGCATTAAACAGAATGTACTTTTACCTGATTCTCTATTTGCTTACTTAATAACAAAGTTGAAGCCATAATGTTAATGACTCTGAAATGTCCAGTGCTATAACATACTAGTATAAGACGGAAATTTATATTTTAAGTGCGTTCTGTGGCGTATCAACCAGAGGTGGGGACTTGCAAGTCGTGAGTTGGACTCGAGTCAGACTTGAGTCACTATTTTTAGGACTTGAGACTTGACTTGATAAAATGGACAAAGACTTGGGACTCGACTTGGACTTCAAGGTCAATGACTTGGGACTTGAGTTCTGTGACTTGAGAAGACATGAGAAGCACTTTTAAATCTGAATTCTTTCTATTCTGATGGTAGTGATTAACTCTAAGATCTCGTCAAGACATTTAAAAAAGAAAAAAATAACATTTCTACAACTCTTACATACTCCATAAATATTCAGATACAAATATACTATGTTTTTTTTTAAGTACAATTTATCTTAAAAGTCATATAAATTGCAAAAATCTAAGCTATAGTTGATACTTTGGTTTAAAGACTTGAAATGACTTGAGGCTCAAAGCAGACAACTTGGACTTGACTTGGACTTGTGGACCAGTGACTCAAGACTCAACTTGGACTTGCCTGAATTTGACTTGGGACTTGACTCGGACTCGAGATCATAGACTTGAGACTTACTTGAGACTTGGTCCCACCTCTGGTATCAACTAATGCAGGAGCTACAGGGTCAACTCTTTTCCTCCAGTCAGAGATATTGTTTCTAAGAATGATGGGAAATCAGCTGCCTGACTCTACCTCAGACACTTAATTCTCTGTCATGGAAGGTTTTTCAAGAATGACAAAAAAGCTTAAAGTAGCCAGAGATTGTAAAACTCTATCCCAGACAGTTGTTTTTGTGTCATGGTGCAATATCACAGTAGTAAAAAGGACATAAAGTAATGGTTCAAACTAACACATGTTCCTAACTCATGACTCAAAATCAGGTACAGGCCCTTTGAGAGCTTCCAGAATTATATTTATATATTGTCAACATACTATTCACAGTGGTGTAAAATGCCAATTAGTATTCTGTTGCCATATTAAAAATTAAAGCTCTTGTTAATATCTGTCTAATATGAAATGTATAAGCAGAAGTTGCGTTCCCAAAGTTGGTATGCGCTGTCACACTTTCAAAGGCAGTGATAAAAGTGGTGTGCACTCGCCCTCTCTCCTGGCGGTCCGGGTGGTCCGTCGTTCGCTGAGTTGCCCTGAGGAGAGAAAACAGCAAAACATCAGGGAAGCACTGTCAAAGTTTGTCAAAGGGGCTCAAGTACGAGGCATGAATGGTAAAGACTACACAACACTTTACAGCTCGGTGAGAATGGGTCAGATAAGTGGCGTTCTGAGATTTCTTTAAGGGGGGATGTTGGAGCTATTATCACTGATTTCACAGTTTTTTGCATTATAGGATTTAAAAGACGTATAGTCCAAGGCTCGGTTCACACACAGGCTTGATCTAGACTTGGTTTGGTTCCGGTTTTAATCATAATTTTGAAGTGGTATTTGAAGTACAAGCATGAGTTGACAAAACTATTGAAAATCAGATATTGATAATAAAATTTGTATCGAAGCTAGATAACAATTTGAGCCAGTATCGTTACTAAAAAAGTCGCATTCACAGGACAGAAATTCTGAATAGCTTTAGAAGGATCTTGAGCTGTATCAGAACAAGTATAAGAGCACATAGACTAGTAAACGCTCATGCACCACTCTGGAACCTACCTGGACCACTGAGGCATTATTACACAAGCTACATGATAATATCAAAGAAAGTACTGTGATTTTATGGAAAAATCACATTCTATTTTATTCTAATAAAGAGACTTTTTTATTATTATCATGTATACCTTCGTATTGAAATTGAGAGTATGGAATGGAGAAATTTTAGTATCATGACAGTGCCTCCGCTCAATTTAATTTCTCTCCAGCAACTAGGTCAGGAATCAAAATACAATATACGGTTCACAAAAACCCCAGAAGTGCAAGTTCGGGCACCAGCCGATCAGTGAAGAGCCGTACATTCTGTGTTGGCAAGAATTCACGAGATCGAGGATTTAAAGCCAGAATCAAGAGAATGTTTGGTGAATTTCATGAAGGGGATAGACATTTTTGCCCTTCTTCCTACAGGACTTGGGAAAAGCTTAATATACCAGTTAGCCCCGTTAGCAGCTCATTACATACGTGACGACCAAATAGCAGCGATTGGTTAAATGATAAAAAGTACCCGCCTACTGTCAAGTGAACGAAACATTGTGAGGTCAAACGGTTTCTACGAAGTGAAATCGTTTGATGAATCAGGCTATGTGAATGCAGCCTTATTCAGTTTTCAGTTTCCTGTTATAGGCACCGTTTTTAGTTCTTTGGATTGTGTAAAATAATATTTTGCCTAAAATATAATGGTTAATTGTAATGACATTTTTCATCATTCTGAAACCTAAGGATAAGAATAATGAGGGCAGCAAATATACAAAGTCTACAACTACAGATATAAACTACAGAAGAAATCAAATCAATGTCATTATCGTACAAATAAATGGAAAGAGACAATAAAATAACACAGCACAGATCTTCTAGTTAATCTGATTCAATGGGAGATCTCTCTAGTGAGCTCTCAAATATTTGTGATCAGACTTTGAAGTAACTATAATTTCAAGATATTTTTTCTTTGGTAATTTCTTTGGCAAATTTTGTAAAAAAAAAACAACAAAAACCCCCCCCAAAAAACATCTCCAATAACAAAAGAATGAGCGGACATATGAATAATACATTGCGTGTGTATTTTTTAATAAATATTTAAAATGCATTCTTCTTGTACCCAATTCAAAATTGTGCTTTGAAAGATTCAGTAAGCACAAGACGATACTGCAAAACTGAAAGTGTGTGGTTACAGTAACTTTGTTTGAATAAAAAATATGACATTGTCCGTTAAAATCCAATGGGGTATTCAGGCTTGTATTGAACATGGAAGTAAACCTGTACAAATATGTCATTCTTTGGTATAAACTGCAAATATTTCAATGGACTCGGAAGTGAATACAGCCAAGTGAATAGTGGCTCCAAATATTATGCACCAGTAACACTTGTATGCCCTTTCATGTACATTGAATGGGAGGTTTTCTTTCTCACCTTTTGTCCAGGTTTTCCAGTGGGTCCCCTGGCTCCACGACCACCGCGAGGGCCCTATATAACATAAAAAAAGTGCATTATTGTAACGGCAGCACACACTAAGCTTCTTTGAAAATCTACCAGCAATGAAAACATCAAAATTGTACAGAATAAATCCTCCTTTTGTACCTCCAGCAGTAATTTCCCACACATTTGCACAAAAAGCAAATCCAATACATATTTTTCAACGGAACACAACAAATAATTTATATACAAGGCTTATTATTTGGATAGCTTTTTATTTCAATAATATCTCTCCAACTATGCAGCTTTCATATCAGATGCCCTTCCAGATGCAACTCAACCAACAACAATAAAATGGCTTGGATTTTAAACTGCACTTTCAAAGCTTGACAGGCCTGTTCATTTTCATTCTTATCTGGTGATGTGCTACGTCTAGAGCCCCCAGCTGCCCTAGGGCAAACTAACAGAAGGTGTTTGCCAATCTGTGCCAACTTCTTCTCTGACAACGAACTAACCATAAGTAATTACTCACTCTACACTCTACATCCATACATCAGCAAGATGGCGAAGTGTCTTGACTGTGGATGCCATAATTAGGGCTGGGTATTAGGGATGGGCATGATTAGGCGACTAATCAATAATTGACCATTAAGAATTTCGTCGATTACGTTTATTTTTAATTGACAAACTGAATGTAGGTTGCTGTGTGAAACATAGTGGAAGAAGACGAGGCTACATCTGAAAGCGCAAACACTGGAGTTGAGACCTCACAGTCGCACGTTTTGACTGTGGTACCTCCTTGGAGATCACTGTACCACTCAGACACCGTCCACACTAGTACTTATTCGAGTCATTTTCGTTGTGGATGCAGTGTTCGTCCACACTAATGGGAAATGGCTCCAAAGACGGAACGATGTGGTGCCACCAGCTCCCACGAATTCATCTGAGTACGGATCTGATTTGACACTGTGTGGACGCCTGAAAACATTGACACGCTGACGTAGGTCTATGCACCACGAAGTAATTCACCGCCAAAACACAAAGAGGCTAAAATATATGTCCATTCTTATATACGGTCTATGCGTATGACCTGCAGATGTATAATCTCTGAAAAGTTTAATATGAACCCTCTCCAACGTGATAGAAGCACAGAACAGACTCACCATTAGCCGAACACCCCTCTGTCACAGAAAGAACACTCATATTCCACTGAGTCGTGTCATTTAGTCTGACAGAAGCTGATCCGCACAATAGCGAGCTGTTTATTTCGCTTATAGTTTACGCAAATTAGCCATGCAGTTTTAAGTTTTGTTTCTATAAAACCTAAACAAATGTGCCCAAAGCTGCGTTAAACACATTATAATATCAAACTGGCTGATGTGGCTCTAGAGTGGTTGTGGTTTATATGTTGTAAAGTTGAGTTTATTTCTGCAGATTAGTAATAGTAATAATTATGATTATCATTTTCATATAAACCGTGAATAATTACTTAAAAATCAATCATTAATTCTCCCAACAATCGATTAAGAAAATCTAATTGGATGCCCATCCTTACTGGGTATTATTAAAAAGTGTCTGATCTGATACATACCTCGACACGTAAGCCACGATATGATACACATCTCAATACAGTGCCCTTTCGAGTCGATACGATATATTTCCAATCGATTCAACATGGTTCAATACAAAATAAAAGTTAAATCATGTCTGTGATACTAAAAGTTTTTGTAAAACTACTTCTTGTGCAAAGTTGCATAAACGAGTTTCCTTCCTCTGAGCAAGCAACAAAACTCTAGCACTGTAACAAAATAATTTAGTAAAATATACCAGCCCATGATATTGATACTGTATCATCACTTTAAACAATATGATATTTTGATATTTCTGCACACCCCTAGCTGTAATACTATACAGTGGTTTGAGCTGGGACTGGACCTCTAATCTAATCTAATCATTATAACACAACTACTCTACCAAAGAAGCCACTGTTGCTCTCTTATTTATTTAGCCGATTTTTACTGTCTCCAAAATGTGAAAAACAGAACTAGTTCATTTTTAATGGTTTGCAGTGGTCCAAAGTTATTCCCCACTTACCTAGCACATTCGCAGCACCCTAAATATTCACTTTATCACTTTTACAATTAGTTTATAAGCGTTTTTCACAACTTTCACACACCAAGGTGGAGTTTTCTTGGTGCACTAATGCAAACAACAGCTAGCCTGCTAACAGAGCACCATTACATCCTGGTTTGTGGACAATAAAAACGCTTTATAACTAGAAGCAGACTGCAAAAAGCAACATCTGGGTAAGTTAAAATGTGCTTCTTAATTCAAGCAACTTTAGATTTGATTTCTTATTTTAAGTGCAAAAAGATGTTGTTTTTCTTGTGCTTTCTTGTTTTTTTCATATTTTAAGTACAAAAAGTCTCGATTGATTGGTAGATCATTTTATTTGTCAACCGAAATTGGCTCAAATCATGGTGAAACTTTTTTAATTCAAGTTATCTTAACTTGACTAAATTTTAGTTTTTTGCAGTAACAGCAGTCATGTTGACCCTAAGAGTTGCTTTTAAAATATATCTGTACAGGGGCAAAATAAATTGTACTTTATTACATGGAAAAATTGCTACATCTGCTTTAATGCTTCAAATTGATGAAAAATCATTTACCGTTGGTCCGCGCTGTCCTCTTGGGCCAGGTTTACCAGCAATCCCCTGCAAAAGTGAACGCAAAAAAATATTAAAAGCAATACATCTCATTGGCAACACTAAAAGCCTTTTCATCCCTCACAAGTTCAATCTCCTAATAACAAAATATACTTGAGGATCAGACAGGAGTGCGGGCTACAGGGCACCGAGTCTTGGATATAAAATAGAAACGAAAATAAATAATCAAACGGTTCCGGTAAGTGGCGCCTCGGAGGCACTTGACAGGTGAAACTAGCCTGTCAGGTGAAGGGGGAGAGAGAGAGAGACGGGGGAAAAGGAGGGAGGATCTTTATGTCTGCAAGAGGAACAAATGAGGCTGTCTTGTCAACATTACCCCCGCTAACCTTCACTACGGCTAAAAAAAACTCATTTAGAAGTCTTCAGATGGGATTTCACGGCAGACAGCAGCAGTCAAGGTTTGGACCAAGCAGGGCTATTTCAGGGCAAGTAATGCGTGGTAATTTTAAGTGTACAGTGGAAAGATTTAACTTAGATTTAAAGGGCACATATTACCCTATTTTCTCTTCTCTTTCTGTTCTGTTTTGTATTTTCTGTTATCGTGTTGTTTCCTTTTCAAAAACATACCTGGAGTTGTGTTTTGTTTCATTCATACATGTTCAACACACAAACATGTAATGCACATTCAGGCCGAGTTCTTCTCTCAAACAGAAAACACTCTGCTCCACTTTGTGATGTCATGTGGTACGGGAAGTGCTCCACTGTGCTTTGTTAAACTCCAAACATCTTCACTAGAATCATTTGGAAAATTTCAGCCCTGGAATCGCCAATCTCTACTGAACCAAGGCCTCATCCACACTAGTTCGTATTCGAGTTGTTTTCGTTGTGGATGCAGTGTTCGTCCACACTAATCCGGAAAACGACTCCAGAGACTGAACGATCTCGTGCCGCCAGCTATGCAGTTCTATGCACCGCGAAGTAATTCACTGCCAAAACGCTAAGAGGCTAGAATATATGTCCATTCATATATACAGTCTATGCGTATGACCTGCAGACGTATAATCTCTGAAAACTTTAACATGAACCATCTTCAACGCGACAGAAGCACAGAACAGACTCACCATCAGCAGAACACCCCTCTGTCACAGAAAGAACACTCATATAACACTGAGTCGTGTCCTTTAGTACAGCAGAAGCTGAACTGCATCAGGGCACAAGGAGCGAGCTGTTTTTTGAGCTTTTCGTTTATGCAAATTAGCCATGTGGTTTTAAATTTAATTTCTGTAAAACTTAAACAAATATGCTCAAAGCTGTGGGGATAGGGAGGCTTGCTGACACAGAAACAATGCTTCTGGACACAAATCGTTTCCGATACGGTGATATGATGATTCGTTTCAGTGTAAACGTAACCTAAAGGTAAAAGGTACCTGTTAACTTGAAAACTACCCTTTCATGACATCACAAGGTGGTACAAAGTTTGGAGATGTAAATAGACTTATAATAAAGGATTACTCAAACATGTGAATGAAACGAAACAACTTCAGGTTTGTTTTTGAGAAGTTATTATCAGTTTTTGAGAAGTTATAATCAGTTTCACATGGTAAAAAAAAACAAAATACAAATAGCGCACCAGCATTGCTCCCTGATTCACCAATGATAAAAATGTGGTCTAATAATTTATGTAATTTTAAACCATTTACAGAGGTCCAAAGTTATCCCCCATGTTCCTAACATATTCCTACATCCTAATTATTCACTATAATGAGTTTATAAGTTGGAAGTTAAAAAAAATTTACTTTTAAATTCATTCTCCAAGTTTGTTTTTGAGAAGTTAACAACAACAAAACATGGCTTAATGCTCTCAAGCCAGTAATATAGGACTTTTAATGGATTTCAAATTGGGGCACTGGGACCAATAAAAACTATAATTTATGAGTAAAAGAAATAAAGGCTGATGTCTAGTCTAATTATTGAAGTACGTAATTAAAGTTAATCTGTAGTATAGGGATTTTAAATGCAATTTTTAACTAGGTAACCCATCTACAGACTTACGAATGGCAGAGAACTACTGTATTGAACAGAATGTTTCTGTCATTTATCATACAGTTATCCCAATTTGTTTGGAGCATCAAGCATGTCTAATTTACAACAGATTGAACTTTGATGGTGTAAAAATACAGGCATGAAAGGTTTTGTCAAATCAAAGTGGTATTGATGTAGGACAGTAGTACAATGTATAATTTATGACTTGGATCTTGCAACTTACCCTTGCTCCCTTTTCTCCGTTTGCTCCGGGGAATCCATTGAAGCCATTGGAGCCCTGCGGAGAACACAACACATGGTCAAATACTGTACAAAAGGAGGGACAAGAAAGCAAAATGTTTAGATACAAAGTAAGACACAAAGGACATTTCGTTTACTTGTACATCTAGTTGTGTAGTTATTATGGGAAGCAAAAACAATTTTACACAGTTTACAGAAGTGTCTTTCTTTGCTATTAATTTTATTCTATCCATATGCTTTACACTAAATAACCAATCATAGCCAAAACATAATAGGTTTGTACCCTTCTACCTTTACCCTACTGTAGTTATTGTATAAAGTTTATAAGTTGCACTTTTTTCATGGTTTGGGTGGTCCTGCAACTTATACTCCGGTGTGAATTATATATTAACATTTTCACACTGACAGTCGCGAGAGGGCGCTCAAGGGTTGCGTGTCATTATCTGCTACTCCTATTACTCCTGTACCACTGTCACTTGGCTCTACTGCACATGTCTCCTGCAGAAAGAGACTGTCCTGCTGCCAAAAACAGTAATCGAGCAGCAGAAAGAAAGTTTGGAGTGAGTGAGAAACTTGTGAGGGACTGGTGGAAAGCGGGGATGGAGAACACAGCTTCACAGTAACCTGGAGGGTGTGCCATGTAACTTTCCTGGAAGTCATTGGATGGATGGACAAAGCCTGGACTTCAGTGACAACTGAAACCATCCTGTCAGGATTCAGAAAGGTCAGAATAATTCTAACTGGAACTGATGCTGAGTCTGACGACAGCTGCGCAGAAGAGGAAGCAGCGCTCTGTTTACCTCCGGAGGTCGCGGAGTTGCTCAGAAGTGACACTGAGGATGAAGAATTCAATGGATTTTGTGATTTGGAGTGAGATGGAGAGTTTGGTAAACTTGTTATGTTACATTGTTTATGCTATTGTTATCTGAAGAACTGTTCATATGTGACATTAACAGTTTGTTGTTCTCTATTCTGCCTTTCAAGATGAAATGTCAGTTCATGGTCTTTCATTTTATAAAATAGATTTCCCCCAAAAAGTGCGACTTATATATGTTTTTTTCTTCTTCATTACACATTTTTTGGCTGGTGTGACTTATACTCCGGAGTGACTTACAGTCCAAAAAATACAGTATCTGTTTTGATTTGCTTTTCTTTTCTCCAGCTGTTCTTGCACTTTGAGTTGAATTTTCCCAATGTGAGTCAAGTAAAAATTCTTATCTTATCTTATCATATGTTCTCTTAACTTATCTTCTTGAAAACAAATATGTGGTTACTCTCTGTAACCACACACAGTGACTGAACACAAACTATTCATTATCACACAGAACCTGGATGGAAGCTCATACTACAACAGTCTCCACTCCAAAACCCTGATGACTAAAAGAGTAAATAGTGGATCTACTTTGGTGCCCATCAGCAGTTCAGTGATTAGGCTTTAACAGTGTGTGCCCTCTGAAAGCAGTGATGGTGCCAGTTCAACAAATACAACCTCCAATACCCATTTAAAAAGTCACCTTGGACAACACGGAGTAAACATTCGCACAGTAGTAATAAAGGTTAAGTAGTGTTTAGCCTCAGCAACATAGTGCATTTCAACGCAGGTGTAATGAAACGCCACCAGATTTTGTATCGATTCAAATCAAAAGTTAAATCTGTGACTAACAGAAGTATCACTAATATATTTACATAAATGTTGACATGTTTTTAAAGGTACACTATGTAACTTTTCAGATCAAGGACCTGCCACCTGGTTGTTCAAGATGTCATTGCTTTGCCTTTCAATAAAGCAGGTGATGCCAAGTGGAAAGGCAAGTCCTCTCACAATATAAATGTTTTTCAATATATTTTTAGCAATAAAACCTAGGGTTGTAATGATATCCAAGTGTCACAATACAATATTGTCACTGTATGAACCTCACGGTACGATATTTATTGCAATATGGTGGGGAGGCTCACGATTAGGGATGTAACAATATCCAAACCTCTTGGTACGATATTTTCACGATATACATCTCACAGTGCAATATTTTGTGGAGGCTAAACAGCTAAAACAAGACTTAATCCAAAGAACTATGCCTTATAAGTGCTTAGAACTGTTCTTCTTGTAGTCTACACTGAAATGAAGCAAAGAATCATGTTCTATGTAGTCCCCTCTGTCTTTTTTGAGCTACTGCTGCACCATAACTCAATTTAAGCAAAGAGACTTGTAATTCAATATATTGTGATGGTCCATGATATTATTTTGAGAACTTACGATACGATATCACGATATTTCGGTTATTGTTACATCACTAATAAAAACACAAAAACTAATAAGTTTAATATCATGCTGTGGTACATTTGAGGCCACGCAGTAACAGGACTAAAACAGGCCTAAAGACAGGTCTAAAACAGAACTAAAATAGTATTTAGCCAGGACTTAATCATGCCGCCAGACCGCGCACCACGCCACCCAACCAACCTCCTCCAGTCCGCGAAATATTTTCTGATATAAAACTGGTCCGTGGCGCAACAAACAATCTTATATTTCGATATATTGTGACAGCTCTCGATATTATTGTGAGACTTCTGACGATACGATATCACGATATTTCCATTATTGTTACATCCCTACTTTCCTAATGCCCTAATTATTCACTACAGTGAGTTTATAAGCGTTTTTCACAACTTTCAGATACCAAGTTGGAGTTTTTAGCAGCAACAGTGCACCAACATTACTTCCTAGTTTGCGAACAATAAAAACAGAAGTTACAAAATGTACCTTTAACTCTTTCCCCCATGAAGACTACATTTGATGACCCTCCCTTGTTTTCTTAATGACGTCTTTTGACACCTCCGCTGTATCACTAAAGACGTGATTTGACGACCATTACAAATGGCTCGGTTTTTCACATGTAAACAGAGGCTGTGATAGGCGGGGGCCACTACAACCCATACACACTAATATATGTATGGGTTGTTCCAAGTAGGCGTCCAAGGGGTAAAAAGTTAAATTTATTTATTCATATGAATGAACTGTGCTTTTCTATTACATTATCAGCTAAAAACATCATATTTGAGTGTCATATAGCATACAGAATTAACTACCTAGGGTCACTTTGAACAGGAACAGAAAGATCACAAAGATACAGCTAATGCAAATAATAAAGGTTAAATACTTATTAGCATCTGCTACGTAGCAAGGTCATATTGTATGCATATATTACATTTGCCTATAAAATCCAATGCACATATATTATAATAATGCATGCACGGATGAAGATAAAGAGCATAACGTATAAAAAATAGCGTGGTAGGAATGAAGAACGCATGGCGGGAGATGCGTGGCGTTGGTAATTTGTTTTTCACAGAGGAGCAGTGTTGGTAAACCCAGAGGCCCACTTGTGCCACAGAGATAAGCCCCAGTCCAGTGAAGCTATTTCAACACACACATCCAGATCCAGAATTAACGGCATGGGAAAGCTGTTAGCAGAGAGCGATGGGGCAGAGAGGGATTCATGCATGAGACCGATCGAACTGCTGATAAAAGCCAAGCCAAAACTGAGTGACCCTGACACCAACGAGGACAATGTCAGAATTTTATCATCTCTCACAAACAGCAAATCCAAAAAAAACTCAGCAGTAAATACGACTTTGTAGACATGATGTGGAATAATTTCGGAAGCGGTTTTCGGAAATGTCAAATAAATCCGAAGATAAAAAAGTTTCCTCGTTATAAAGTTGAAACAGTTGAGTTTAGAGGTGTCTCGGAGTCACTTTTTAAATGTTGAAAGGAATAAACAGAGCTCTTCAAATGTGCGGTTCAGAAAGTCAACTTGGGTACTTTTAGAATATGATGCCAATGTCAAGACAAACTCGTGGCCTATTCAAAAAGTTTGGTTCACTTCAAAAAGAAAACTTAAAATTTGAAGAACTTTATTTAAAGGTGCACTCACTGTGTAACTATTCTGGTAGGGGGTGCACTAACTGCTGGTCTCCATGGAGAAGTTAAGGCTTTGAATGTTCCACAGTATGATATTTAAAGGTCCTATATTACCCAAAAATGACTCTTGAGAGCTTTAAACCATGTTAGAATGCTGTAACTTGATCAAAAACAAACATGGAGTTGTGTTTTGCTTCATTCACCCTTTATTATAAGTCTGTCTACATCTCCAAAGCTCAAAATGCTCTGTTCCACTTCGTGATGTCATGATGAAGCAGTAGAAGTTAACAGCTAACTTTAAACTTTAGTTCAGTAGGGATTGGCGATTCCAGAGCTGAAATTATCCAAATGCTTCTAGTGAAGGTGTAGACATCACAAGGTGGAACACAGTGTTTTCCATTTGAGAGAAAAACCTAAATATGCAGAGTTTGTGTGTTGAAAATGTGGAAATGAAACAAAACACAACTCCAGGTCTGTTTTTGATGAGGAAACAACATTATAACAGATTAGAAAATAGAGTAATACGGGCCCTTTAAATATATATTTTGGATTAGAGATCATTCTGTCGTACTCAAGAACACTATGATTGATTGATTAATTAATTTCCTCACAGGTATATCCCCTTTATAACGAGTTTGGATCAAGATATAAGCCGAGATAGCGTCTGCAGTCTTAACACCCCTTAATATTCGGACATTATTCCATATTTAACATACACAGACTGAAAAGGTGTAGGCTGAAGCTTGAGCTAATTATGCCCTTACCCTTTATTCCTTTGTCAGAGCATCCTGAAATCAGTTCATATTCATAAATACAGAAAGAGGAAGCAAACAAATCAGTAACAGTATAGCAAAGTACTGTAGTATCACAATTCATGTATCTGCCCAGAGTTAAACTTCTTTTTAAAATGGAAAAAAGTGGTACACAGTTTTAGGTCTTCTGTACAGTTGTTCCACAGCTCCACCCCTTTAAAAATACATACAAAATTTTATAATGTTTGTTCTGATTTTCTTTTTGATACACATGGCCGTACCTCTGAGCTCATATTGGCTCTTTCGGATTTTGAACATATCCTGTAATGAGTTGACAAGAGACTGTCAAAATCACACTGTAAAATAGATTATTAAAGTTGGAGAAAACAAAACAAACCCTCAACAAACTGTTTACCTGCTCACCAAATGCATCTTTACCCAATCTATCTCACATGTCCCCAAAAACCCTTGAATACTGAGTCCAGTGCAGGATATGCTGTTATTATTGGTTGCTATGCGTTGCTATGGGCTGGGAACCATGTGAGAGGCGTTTTGACTTGGAAACAAATCAGACGAAAAACAAAAGGTCACATGGTTTATAATAGACCAGACTGTTAATCATCTAAATCTATTTTTTAACATACACTGTAATTAACACTGTCATGTAATTAATTTGTGGACACACTGGAATAACTTTAACACAACACTTGGATTCTTTGACTGGTTTTGTAGTTGAAAATGTGTAAAAGACTTCTCTTAGAGTTAGAAAATTACACCACACAGCAGTTCTGATACAGATGACATAAAGATATAAATTGAATAATCTAAGTCTAGTAAATAAAAAATAAAAAAGTGAAGTAAAAATTGCTTATATCAAGATTAAAGTTGTAGAATTGTGTAAGCGAGACACGAGCGGAGCCGGAAGAGTCTTGTCGCGCTGATGCTGTGTGAGTAGGTGTATCAGACCCTTTATATCAGTGCTGACAGAAGAGCAACGGAAGAGAGAGAGAGATGAGGAGGAAAGAGAGGGAGAAATGGAGGGAGGGAGGGAAGGAGAGAGACAGACAGAGAGAAAAAGGAGAGAGGAGACAGAGAAAGGCAGGTGGCAGAGAAAGTTACAGAGAGAGGAAAGTGAAAAGGAGAAGGAGAGAGAATATACAGAGAGACAAAGAGAGAAGAGAAAGAATAAGGGTTGGAGGGGAAGAGAAGAGAGAGAGAAAGAGGGCTGGGGCAGACAGGAAAAGGGAAAGACAGACAGGATGAGAAGCAAAAGAAGCAGAGTAAGGGAGATAGGAAAGAAAGAGGAGAGAAGGAGGGAGGGAGAAAGAGACAGACAGATGAGAAAGAGAGCGGCAAAGAGAAGGAGAGAGGACAAAGAATGGGGGTTGGAGGGGAAGAGAAGGGAGAGAGAAAGAGGGATGGGGCAGACATGAAAAGGGAGAGGCAGACAGGATGAGGAAAGAAATGAAGAAAAAAAGAGGAGAGAAGAAAGGAGAAAGAGAGAGAGAGACAGACAGAAGAGAGAGAAACAGAGAGAAGAAACGAGTGGGAGAGAGAAGGGAGAACGAATGAGGGTTGGAGGGGAAGAGAAGGAGAAGGGAAAGAGAAAGAGGGAAAGGGAAAGGCAGACAGGATGAGAAGTGAAAGAAGCAGATTAAGGGAGATAGGAAAGAAAGAGGAGAGAAGGAGGGTGAGAGAGAGGGGGGGGGAGACAAAAAGAGAGAGAAAGAGGAGACGGGAGAGGGGATTAGGGCTGGAGGGTAAGAGTAAGGAGAAAGAAAAAGGGATGGAGCAGACATGAAAAGGGAAGTGCAGACAGAGAGAGACAGAGAAAGAGAAGGACAGAGTAGAGAAAGAGAGGGGAATAAGAATGAGGGCTGGAGAGAAAGAGAAGGGAGAGAGAAATGGGGGAGACATGAAAAGGGAAAGGCAGACAGGATGAGAAGAGAAAGCGGCGGAGAGTAAGAGAGATAGGAAGGAAAGAGGAGAGGAAGAGAGAGAGAGAGAAATAGAGAAAAGAGAGAAAAAAAGAGAGGAGGCAGAAAAGGAAAGAGAAGAGAAAGAGGTGCAGTGGAGGCAGCAGCCACAGCACATTTGGACATTAGTGCAGAGGTTCTGTGGTCAGCTAAAGACCACAGACTGTTGATGAGGCTAAACTGAAGGAGAGCAGACGGGGGCACAGACAGGGGCACAAACAGGGGCAGGACAGGGAGGAGCAAGGACAGGAGCAGGGCAGACAGGAGCAAGAACAGAAGTAGGGCAGACAGGAGTAGGACAGACAGATTTAAAGGGAGCAAGGTAGGCAGGAGTAAAGTAGAGAGGAGCAGGACATACAGGACTAGAACAGACAGAAGCAGCGCTGACAGGAGCAGGGCAGACAGGAGCAGGATAGACAGGAGCAGGGAAGACAGGAGTAGGACAGACAGGAGCTACACTGACAGGAGCAACAACAGGAGCAGGTAGAGGAGCAGGACAGACAGGAACAACGACAGGAGCAGGACAGACAGAAGCAGGGTAGACAGGCACAACAACAGGAGCAAAAAGAAGAGCAGGACAGACAGGAGCAAGGACAGGAGCAGACAGGAGCAGGGTAGACAAAAGCAGGGCTGACAGGAGCAACAACAGGAGCAAGAAAAGGAGCAGGACAGACAGGAACAAAGACAGGAGCAAGGACAGGAGCAATGATAGGAGCAGGACAGACAGGAGCAGGGCTGACAGGAACAAGGACAGGAGCAGGACAGGAGCAGGACAGGTGCAACAACAGGAGCAACAACAGGAGTAGGATAGACAGGAGCAGGACAGGAGCAGGACAGGAGCAGGACAGGTGCAACAACAGGAGCAACAACAGGAGCAACAACAGGAGCAACAACAGGAGCAACAACAGGAGTAGGATAGACAGGAGTAGGACAGGTGCAACAACAGGAGCAACAACAACAGGAGTAGGATAGACAGGAGCAGGACAGACAGAAGCAAGGACAGGAGCAGACAGGAGCAGACCAGACTACTTCAATTACAACTTTGTATTTATCTAAGAACAACTTAGTAAAATAATGGAGGTTTGGAAAAGTAGTTGACAAGATGTTGGTGAATCTGCGTGAATCTGTCTGTTATTGACCGGTGACTGTTTCACTGTTTGATTTTCTAACTTTCCGTCGGTCAAATCGATCTTTCTCTTGATTACATCTTGTTAAGTCCTAAGAGGCAAGTGCTGTTGTGATTTTGGATTTAACAAAAATAAACTGTATTGAATGGACGAAGTATTTGACTTTGACATTTGCCACTCCTCCAGGGGATACTAGAAATTCTGATATGAAAAAATGAACAGAAGACACTTGAATTTTTTTCAGTAAACTACATCTAGAAGTATTTTGTTACTTTTTATGGAGTGCACCTGGATGACTAAAGGAATTGTAGGGAGCTACCTCTGATCACAAACAATATGCAAACAAAAATAAACAATTGTTATCGAATCAGAATCGAAATTTGAAAGGAAGTAATTTTTACCAAGTACCACAGTTTCAAGTACCACAAGTTTTACAAGTTTTAACCACAAGTTTTTCAGTTTTCAGTACCACAAGTTCCCCACAAACAACAAAATCTCGTTTTATCCTGCATAAAAAAACACTAACCCTATATATGCTGTATAAACTTTCTTGTACTTGTTTGTCACTTCATATTTAAGTATTTCTGTCAGTTCACCCGGATGCATTTAAATAGTGAACTTCGAACAGAATCCTATTATTATAGTTCAACCTCAGTTCAGTATTTTGTTCTTCACTCATCCAGGAACATGTACAGACACTGTGTTACTAAAACCTGAAAAAGTACTTGCAGTAGAGAGGAGTCGTTTGCGCCTACAGTCAAGTAAAAGTTGTTTATTGGCCTGGTTGTCTCTGTCTGGGGATGTAAACAGTTCATGTGCTGGGTGCAAAATGTATATTCATTAGTTCATTACAACATACCTTAGGTCCTTGTCTTCCAGGGTATCCAGGTAATCCAGGGACTCCAAGTTTTCCCTAAAAAACATAAAGGAAATCATTATTCTGCATTCATTTTAGTGCACTATTGAAAATAATTGCAAGAATGTGGCATCAAAGTTTAAAGAGAGGAGATTTTACTTTTATTTTGGTATTAATTACTAACACACAACATATTTAGATCATAATGTGGCATTTTTACTGTTCTGAAAATGCAAAATCAACAAAATCAGCGTGTATTTCAATAATTAAGCCACCACACATCGCATCAGGTTTGTGAAGTTGTATATTGTTTTGTATCATGCTTTTACACATTTATAGAAAATTGCTTGCGAGTGTTGGACAGAATCATACTGCTGATCGTAAAAAGGGTTCGAACAGGCCCGGGAGAGATCATTAGATTACTCAAACACGCAGAGATGACATCTAAAACTTCTTCAGGCATGTTTTTGATGGGGGAACAACATTATAACACAGTAGAAAGCTCCAAAAAGTCAATTTTGGATAATAACCTGTCTTTAAAAGTTTTGTTACACTTAAAAAGACACATTTTCATCACTTCTTCTTCTCAAACAGATAAAACTAGGCCCGTTTAAAGTCCCGTGGCTCACACAAGTAAAGTCTGAAACCGCAGACTGTGAAGAAATCCATTTTGACCATGGCCGAGTGAATTTTCTCATCTACAAAGAAACTGGAATAGTTCATTTTCCATCATGTAAATCTTAATAAGGACTTCTAAAGTTTCTCTTATTGCACAGAGCTGGACAATTATGTCTGATGAGTTTTCAAAGGGAAACTAGCTATTTTTTTTAAAGATATTTGTTAAAGGTAGTTGTAAGCAGTCATCTCTATGGACGGCTTTCTCATTTTTCAAGATCATTGTTTAGTTTGTGGGTCGACCAGATAATTTTTCAGCAATTCAGTTATTTTCATTAACCTAGGTTATAATCAGCTATTCTATATTTATCTTAAAAAAAAAAAAAAAGATGATATTTTAAAAGAACTAAGGAGAACATTGACACATCTTTAACCATGTAGATTTGTCAAAGCTGGAGCTCAGAAACTAAGCAAGGCTGGGGGTGGTTAGTAGCTAGACTGGTGCCTCCTAGTGTCTCCGCTGAATTTCATTTCTTTCCAGTGAGTCCACTAAGTCAGGACTTGGAATACACTAGACCAGGGGTCTCAGACTCACGGCCCGGGGGCCAACTGCGGCCCTCGGAAGGATTTTTTGCGGCCCTCCACTTAATTCCAAAGAATAATGTCAGTGCGGCCCGCGGTAGACAATCTCACCCCCTACCGCGGGCTGCACTGACAAATGAAGCTGCCCATGCACAACAACAGATTATTAACGCAGTTTACATCCCAAAACTAAACTTACAGCAGTTGTGAAGTAACGAGTCTAAGTGGATCTGTTAATACGAGTACAAGTGCACATACGGCGTTTTTTTTCATGCAACCGCTATTTATCGAATACTCAATGCAGCCCAGCCTCACTCAGATTTGATCTAATGTGGCCCCCGGGTAATTTGAGTTTGAGACCCCTGCACTAGACGGTTCGCAAAAACCTCAAAAGTGACAGTTCGGGTACCAGCAGTGAAGAGCCATATATTCTGTGTTGGAAACGATTCCCGAGATCGAGGATTTAAAGCCGGAACAAAGAGAATGTTTGATGAATTTTATCAAGAAAGAAACACGTTATTGCCCGTCTTCCTGCTGGGATTTGGGAAAAGCTTAATATAAGCAGCGCATTACATGTCAAGACCAAATAGCAGAGATTGGTTAATTTAAAAAAGGACTCGAATTAATTAATAATAATGCTGCGAGGTTAGACGGTTTCTACGAAGTGAAACCAGCTGATGAATCAGGCTAAATGGTTAGTACTGTTGTTGTGTCCTTAGACAAGACAGTTCACCCACATTGCCTAGTATGAAAGTGGAGTGTGCTTCAGATGGATGGGCTGATGGCACAGATAAGAAGGAGGAGGGAGGAGGGAGGCATTCTGGATATACAGTCGGGGACTCTGGCTCCGAAAGGTCTCATTGAGGATTCTGACCTAAGACCGTTTTTGTGACTCAAAATGTTGACATCATCACCCCAGTCTGTGGCTGTATGTGTGCCTACAATGGTCTTCTGTTTTATATAAAAAAAAATGTGTATATAAATTGTAAATATTGTAAATATGTCTAGCTGTGGTAAATCAATACACCACTTTAGAACAGAGTGAACACCTGTTTTGTACTAAAGATTCTGTTCAACAATTGTAATCAAAAACTTTTATTTGGCCATAGGGAGGGTCAGTGGACTGGACCTGGGCCTATTATATCAATCAATCAATCAGTCAACAACTTTATTAACCCCAAAGGGCAATTCAGTTCGCACATCTCTAGTCGTGCACAATCCATAAATAATAAAAGAAAAGAAAAACCTCAGAGCATCAGGGACACAATAGCAAATTTATTTTCCATTTAAAAGCAGAAGGAATAAAAGATTTAGTCTAACCTTAACCTTTCTTGTTTGAAGAAGGACTTGACCCGAAATGTCACATTGTGGTGTCATTGAAATAAAAAAATTGGGAGCTTCAATGAACTGTAGTGCAGATTTCTTTCCTTTTTGTGTACAGATTGGCAGCCCTGATTCTGTCAGTCTGCCCCAGAGCAGCTACGGCTACAATAGTATTTTACCATCACCGAGAGTGGAGTGGATGAATAATGGTCTTTAAAACGCTTTGGTTGTCTTGAAAGGCGCCGTATAAACTCAATGGTTAATGATAAATCTTGATAATTACTGAGTCACTTTGAGATTTAAAGTCGTAACACGCACCTTTTCTCTGTGGCTTTTAACACAGTTTGAGATGTTGATTTTTATATTTGTTTTAAATGTGAGATTAGCATTCTGTTACAAATGCAGTAACCTGGCCGTTCTAATATCTTATCATCATAAATCATGTTTTAATCTACCTTCGTTAATGGCTGTACCTCCTCGCATTAGTCAACCTATATTTTTTGCCCATGTCTAAATCCTTTCCCAATATATTTCTTTTAGTTTAAATAATAGTTTAGCTTGAAACCTCCTGTGTACAAAACCCGGGCATATATTGATCACAACTCTCCCAGAAAATTCATGAAGCAATATTTCTACTAGAAGACATCACTTTTATCTCCATGTTTTAATCCGAAGCACAGGAACAAGCTGTAACCTTTAGCTGTAATTTGTCATGAATGGGGTGAATAATATTGGACCAAAGAGTAACTCAAAACCTATGTGTCATGATCAAAGCCCAGAGAGGACACGTTGGGCCAATTAAACAGACTGTCGTACAAGTGAAGGAATAAGGAGAATACTAACACACAAACTTCAAAATGAGAAAGAAACTACTACTAACTAGAAACTACGGCTAACTTTTCCCGAACGCAGCTCTTTAAATGTAAGTTTAGGATAAGAAATAAAAATGTAAACTATATTTTTGCTTGATTATCGCAATAAATACGTTGTAATCTCACATCAGCAAGAGCAAAAAGGCAGATGTATTAGGTTTGTCTTTTGTAACAGAAAACAAATGTATAATTATGATTAAAGCCTCACTGTGTAACATTTCAAATAAATAAAGTTTGTAAGATCTTTGGAGAGGTCAGAGGGGCTTTTCTAGTGACTAGCAATGCCGCTGTAAGCATTAAATCCAATTGGATTATTTAAATCAGACAATTTGGCTCGCAATATAATTCAATTTAGCCCACGAGATCATATCAATTATGTATTAGTTTACATGATTTATTAAAAATGTTGTTATTATTTTATATTCTGCTTGTTCTGGATTCAATGTTTAAGCAAAACTTTTATTAAAGATTAATTTCAATAAGAAAAGGTTTAACATTACATATCTCGAAAGAAGAGAAAACCTGCAGATGTTGTTGAAATTTTTCAATAAATATTTAGTTTGGCCCACGACTTAATCCCAGTTTTTAATTTTGACCCTCTGTGAATTTGAGTTTGACACCCCTGATTTAAAGGATAATTTACCAAAACTTGTGTAATCCCATTAAAATTTTACTTCTAAAAAGGCAGTACTTCGCTTTTTCTCTTTAGTACTGATATCGATGTTGTATTTGTTGTTACACATGACATTTTTACATTGGGTAAAGTCAGTGGTTTGATAATAACATGATTATTTGAGTAAAAATACATCTTGCATTGATACATTTAGTTACTGCATCGAAATATTTGATGCAGTAAATTGTCTGTTTAGGTCTAATATTACAGTAAAACTAAATTCAACAATTCACCTTTTCTCCAGCTGATCCCATAGGTCCCGCCTCTCCGTTGGGTCCGGATTTGCCCTTGGGTCCCTCTGGTCCGTCTTCTCCTCTGGGTCCCTGCACTCCTCCTTCGCCCTGCGGTCAAAACAAAGCCACCCACAGCTAAACAACACGGCCCCGAGGAATAACAGTGCAGTAAATGTTAGCACTCACCTTGTCTCCTTTCAGACCCATGTCACCTTTGAATCCAGGGAATCCATCTTCTCCCTGTGAAGAAATAAAAAGACTCACACTTAGACATTATGATTAAAGTAGTAAAGAAAGCAATACAAGTGTCAAATAAAGTACAAATATACAAATATGAATATGTACAAGTAGTAAATAACATTAAATAAGTAAAGGTCAATAAATTATCCAATCATATAGAGCTCTTTTGGGATTTTTGAAAACAGGATCTGGCAAAACAAAGTGAAAAGTGAAACAATTCTGCATTCTGATTGGATAATTGGCTTGAGAACTATCAAAACACAAACGTAAACTTTTTTTTCCCCTCATATGAAACTGCAATTGTGAATAAATCAACAACTTTACATATACAGTAAACACTTCTGATTTTTAATTTTCAGCAAATGTCACAAATGCTAAAACTAAATCTATGTTGAAAAAGTAAAGTTAGTTTGAGCAGGCAAATATTACCAATAAACAAAAATGTATTATGAGTGATGTAGAGCTATTAATAGGCTAAGCTAAAAAGAAAATGCATGGATAATGGTGCTGTGACTAATTTCAGCTCAGTTTGGTCGAGACTGTTGCCTATATTCACACTGACACCTTGTGGTCACTCTAGAGAAATGGCCTCATTTGACCACTTCACTCTTATTCCCTTCTTCCTCGGCCCTCATCAGATGCACGACAACACTGACATCTGGTGGTGAAACTTCAGAAAGCAACACTAAAAGCACCAACAGATACAGCGGATTTTAGACTCATGATAGACTATGTAGTTTGGATATGATTGTGATAAATACATGAGCATATTTAAGCAATTATTTAATCACTTTTTTCATTGTTTTGTCGTGATACTATTAAAATAAGTGATCAAACTGACACAGTACTTATAGCAAATACATCTGCACGAACAATATATTCTATGGTAATTCGTGTATCATTTGTTCATTCGTTTTTCAATATAAAATCAAAAATAAGAAAATGAAAACTGTTTTCTTCATTATTCATTTTCGATTTTGTGTTTAAACAAATAATGGAAAAAACGGATAATGGCTGTTTCCCATTTCTGTGACTTAAACTGTGATGCCGGACTTTTGCAGGCGCATACGGACAGAACCAGGACTAAAACAGGACTAAACCAGGACTAAACCCTTTTGTCAGTCCAGGTCTGGTCCTGGTCTGGTCCCGGTCTGGTCCCTGTCTGGTCACTGTCTCAGTCCCGGTCTGATCCCGGTCTGGTCCCGTTCTCAGTCCCGGTCTCAATCACGGCCTGGTCCTGGTCTGGTCCCGGCCTCAGTCCTGGTCTCAGTCTTGGTCTGGACCCAGTCTCAGTCCCGGTCTCAGTCCTGGTCCTGTTCCCGGTCTCACTCCTGGTCCTGGTCCCGGGCTCAGTCTTGGTCTAGTCCCAGTCTAAGTCCTGATCTCAGACCCGGTCTTGGTCCTGGTCCTGTTCCTGGTCTTACTAATGGTCCTGGTCCCGGGCTCAGTCTTGGTCTGGTTCCGGTTTGGTCAGACCCCGTTTAGTCCTGGTTCAGTCCGTATGCGACACAAAAGTCCGGCATCACAGTTTAAGTCACGAAAATATAAACCATTATCTGTTTTTTCCATTATTCATTTAAACACAATATCTAAAAATGGAAAAAACAAATTGTTATCTGTTTTTTCATTTTGTTTTTGGAGACAAATAATGAAGAATACAATCGTTTTTTTTGTTTTCTCATTTTCAGTTTTATATTGAAAAACAAATAAATGAATGATACACGGATTTATGGTCTGGTTTGTGGATGGATCTAGTAAATTTGTTTATTTATTTTACATTTATTTAACCAGGGAAGGCCCATTAAGATAATTAATCGCTCTTTTAAATATGATCAGTATTTAAGGGTCATATATTACACAAAACTGACAAATCTGAACTTTTAGCCAAGTTATAATGCTGTTACTTCTTCAAAAACATAACTGGGCTTGTGTTTTTGCTTCAGTCACACATGTTTTTATTAGATTATTAGATTGTCTACATCCCTAAAGCTCAAAATGCTTAGTTTCATTTTGTGAGGTAATTTAGTGTTGGTGTCAAGTTTAACAGCGATTAAGAGGTACTTAACAGCTAGCCTCACTTGAACTGTTTAACTCTGCGATACTCTGCAATAACCTTAAGATGTTGCTTTTATTTTTGAATATTTTTGTTGAGATTGTCAATAGAAAGTCCAAGGATACCGAGGATTGGAGTAGTTTTAAAGAGGCTTTGTGTATTACGACTTAATGACATTGCAAGAGATTTTTCAGTTTGAGAAAAGAATACAGCCTAAATTTGCTGGATTTGTGTGTTCAACATGTGTAAATGAAACAAAACACAACTCCAGACATGTCAGAAATCCAAAATAGTGCAATATAGACCCATTAAAGCATATTTATCTTCTTAATTGACAAAAATATTGTGAAATATGAAAACAGGTTATTGCTTATATTGAACTTCCCATGATATATTATTCACAACAATTTCTTTTCTTGCATTTTGTTTTAACCTTCAACATACCTCCCTTATTTTTGAGGCATTTCTTTCATTAGATTAAATAACATTCAGCCGCATTTATGGCAAGGAGCGAGCCAAATGACATCTCATAAACGGAACACAGGAACATTTGTCCTTGATTACAAATAATGAGCAATTTAGTCAATTATTATCACTATTTTATATTAAGCACCGTTTCAGCGAGAGTGCTTTTAGTGGCAATGGTTTTTGTAATTTTAACTCGAGTCTAAGAAACAATTGCGTGAAATCTCCCATTGAAACAGCCTCATTCCAGTTAATGCTCTATGCTCCATTTGAACTGGCTGGCACGGGCCTCTCCTACTGTAAGTCTGATGAGCTTTTAAGAGCTTTTCCACTTAGTCCATTCAAAGAAGCTGTGTTTAGTTAGGAATTACAATTGTTAAGCATCTATAATTCTCTATAACAGCATCTGTCGGCCATATTGGGTAGGGTAAACAGACTGGTGTAGTGTGTACCTTCTCTCCTTTGCCACCTTTAAGCCCACGGATTCCATCTGCTCCCTAGAGACAAAGAAAAACAATGCGTGATTAAGTTGTAAAGATAATTCAAATGCGATGTAAATTACGAGGAAGAGAGTAGAGGGTTTTACTTTGACACCACGGGGTCCGGGGTAGCCGATAGTTCCGGGGGGTCCAGGATTACCCTAAAGGAGAAAAAAAAGAAGTTTATTAATTTGTCTTTTTTTTTTTATGTAAAAGAATTCATATAGCCAGTATATCACAGGACATATAATCTGTGGACATTGCTATTGGCCGATATCAATTTTGAAAATGTAAGAGTGAGTCAAAATAGAAAAGTTCATTTGTGATCTTTACTTCAATTTAAGACATATTTGTTGCTGTTGCTATGAATTTAAAAAACGAAATATATCAGTAAATTGGTCACAGCAGCACGACAAATATCAAATATTTGTAGTATTGGCTAGAAACAAAAACGACAACAACAACAAAAACATATCGGCAGATCACTAATAGGTGTATGTTGCAATCTATGTCCAGAAAAGTACAGAAATAAGGACTTCCAGCCTAAGAATGCTGAGTAACTCATAAAATCTCTTGGTAAGTTCTATGTATAGTGTATGCTGAGTTTTGGGCACACCATACATACAATTACACTGCCTCATTTATATGAATTTAAAGCTAAATGTAGTCTAACCTCTACTTCTAAAATGTGTGTAGTTTTCTTTCAGGATTTTAGAAACAAACATTACTTGGATATATGTTTTGAACAGATATATTTTTTTTTAGAAAATAGAAACTGTAATTTGGCAGATTGGCCAAGTACTCAATAATAACTTCATTTAGCTCAAACCTGTATTTTATTTGTAAATTTTGGTACTAGGGATGTAACAATAACGGAAATATCGTGATATCGTATCGTCAAAAGTCTCTCGATAATATTGTGGGCCATCACAATATATCAAATTACAAGTCTCTTTGCTTAAATTAAGAGTTATGGTGCAGCAATAGCTAAAAAAACTGAGGGAACTACATAAACCATGATCCTTTGCTCCATTTCAGTGCAGACTACATGAAGAAATATCAGTTCTAAGCACTTTTAAATCTTAGTTCTTTGGATTAAATTTTATCAAGGCATTTCACGAGGAAGTAGAATATTCAGTTTTCTTGCCTCCATAAATAAATAAATAAATAAATAAATAAATATCGTACCACGAGAGGTATATAGTGGAAATACTTACGGATGCTCCCTTCTCACCAGTTGGACCCTCTTTTCCTGGATGACCCTGTAAACAAAAACATTTTTAGTTTTTCGCAAAGCTCTTTATTAATGACTTAAAGTGGGTCTAAACACTTAAACTTTGCTCACATTTCAAATAAAGCACTCAAAGTACTAAAGAGAGTAAGGGTCAGGATTAGGGGGCAGGTGTCCTAACTTGACTCAATTTAGTTTTTTGCAGCGTATACTCATGCAATCACAGGCAAACCCCTACTGGTCACACGTGGTATTACACTTTCACATCTTCAAGACCACTGCCGTTTACGCTTGCTCCATTAACGTAATTTATGGACTCGTCTGAAAGCACTCAGACGATTCCAGACTCAGTTTCACTTCTCTAATCAGAATCACACAATAACTTTGAACCCTTTCGCTGCGTTTCTAGCTCAAACTTTATCCAGACTGTTATTTCTCCTTCTTGCGAATAGAGCTGCTAAACTGGGCAGCACTTGGACGACGAGAGAAGAGAGCAAGAGAGGAGGAGGGGGCGGAGTCTACATGTATAAGGAACAGTGTGATTGGTCTAACAGGTATCCACACTTCAAACTCCACCCCTGCAGCCAGATGTTTATAATCAGAAACACTTAGCGGTGATCGGGGCAGTCTTGTGTGATGTCACCAACTACTTGAAAATGCAAAGGCCACTGAAGGAAGCACAAACTTATATTTAGGGGTTTTTGAGTTGCTTTAAAGTGGCCAAAAATGAACTAGAAACTGTAAATATTGCTAATTAAACACCACACAGTTTGGTTTAGTTCCATTTAAATATGTATAAATGTTTTTACAATGTTAAAACAAAAAGAAAACAGAACAATATAACCATATACTTACTGGAGGACCGTCCGCACCAGCAAGACCTGCCAGTCCTTGTTTACCTTGAGGTCCCTGCGTAAAACAGCAATAAATGCATTTGAATGTAAGCAGGGCCAAATTCATCTGCTTGAAATAATATTAGCCATCCTCAAAACCACTAAAATAATACAATATGGGAGCTAAGTGCTTATCCAGGCCCAGTCTAATGCTTTTCTATCATGTCTTCTGGAGGCCTATATTCCTGACAGCGGTGGATCTGCAGAAGCAATTTGGTTCTGCAACAGTCACTTATCATGAGCACAGAGATTTTGTGGGTGTTTTGAAGCTAGTAGTGCAATTCAAGACCACTTACTTTTTCGCCGGGAGGACCGATCGGACCTTGAGGACCTATAAGACCCTGAAAGAGAAAGGAAAAGAGTTACAAAAAGTGGTTTAAAGTGTGGGCTGGAAAAGTTTGAAAGTGGGAATTGTGCTGTTATGGATATGGTTGAGCAGTGTTGACACCAAATGAGTATCTTTCTTTGCTTTTTGTATTATCCAGTGACAATTTTCAGACCATTTTTAGGGAATACATTTGGAAAAAGTGCTTAAACTGAGACAATGAATGCAGAAATAAAAAATAAAATGTTTGTTACTTTTTTGTAGCGTAAGATAAATGTGAAATGACTGCAAAACTCTCTACAAAAGAGCAAAAATTTGGGCCAAAAATTGGCCCAAATGACCCTGGCAGTACCTTTCTCCTGTAATTTTGAGTAATTCTACCATCATAATCTCAAAAAACATCACATTACATTGTGATACAGACCTAAAAGTAATGTTCCAATCATAGACTGTATAAAGCAGTGGGACTAAGTGAGTGTGTGTTCAGCTCCAGTCAAATGAAGCTCACTGAGGCTGGCCATTATAAGAGCGAATTTAGAGCCCGGTTCCATATTAGGAATTTTTTTTTACAGACAAATATTTACTAAGTACACCAGGATCATGTTGAGTGGGTTAATATGAACATTTGAAGACCAAAATGATGAGGCTCACTGCAGCAGCTACAGACAGAGGGGGACAATTTTTAAATGTTAAGTGAAAAGAGTCGATGGAGTCGGAAACATGCCCAATTCCTATTTGGATCCCGGCAGCAAGCGGGTTAGTTATGTCCATTATACAGTCTGTGGTTCCAACTTTTATTAAAGGTACAGTGGCTCTGTCAAAGCTACATAAAATATATCCATCTGAAAGACCAAATGCATTGCCCATATGTCCTCAACTTCATTTCGAAGTGTACATCATATTTTCTTCCCTTTTTTATACAACTACACTATCAAAAGCTTTACAACACTACACTTTTTCCAGTTTTGTAGTGTCTCCCAAACTTTTGATTCATGAAATTGTCCATCTTTGGCAGATACAACAGCTGAAACACACTCGTGGCTCATTCTTTTTACAATAGAAATCAGATATTCTTCAGAAAGTTCTTCCCAAATCTGTTGCAGAAGTTTCCATAAATGTGTGGCACTTGTAGGTTGCTTGGTTTCCACTCTTCTGTCCAGTTCATCCCAAACCAGCTCGATGGGGTTTAAGTCTGGACACTGTGCTGGACACTCCATGTTTTCAAGCTTTACCATCTTGTTCTTTTTTCCTGAGGTAGTTTTGGCAGAGCTTGGACTTGTGTTTTGTATCTTTTATTCATTTATTTTTTAACCTCAAGTTCAAGCTCTTCATTGGACTTGCACGACTTGAATTGCAATAAATAACTGGAAAAATTAAGATGTTCTAAAACGTTTGACCGGTAGTGTATTTACTCAATTTTCAAATTGACCGTAACTTATGCCCACCTCTACTAATTTGCCTGTAAATATTATGTTTGAGGGTCAAGTATTGCACAAAAAATAAAGGATGAAACACAAAAGCGTAGAAATATCTAACTTTTGTCACTAGTTTGTCAAAATTATACAGTCAGCGAGTTTAATTTAACTTCAAATTAGATATTTTTGCAGCCTTTGTTTAATAAATAGCTTTAAATAGGTTTACATGAATAATTGCCTTTTCCATTTTGATATAACTCCACGTACTTCTAGTTAAAGACTGAAGAAATTCAACACACCTGCGGCATTTTGGAAAATATTTTGCAAATGACCCAATAGGTGTGCCCTACTTTTGCACAATAGAAACAGCTGTGCTAACTCCAGTAGTTGAATTTGTTGCTTTTGAAATAATCCTGTGAAGAGAAATTAAAAAGTCAAAATCGGCTGGTGTTATTATTTTATGGGGCACTCTGGAAAGCATCACATTCTGTTCCAGCTTTGATGAACAGGTTATTTATTCAACCTGCGGAGTGAATCTGAAGAGGTCTGGTAAATGTTTCCAAATAATATGACGTTGTTGGAACCGGGTTATAGCTGTCAGCAGGACTGCACTGTCACCTGGGAAAAAGGGCATTCAATTGGACACTTAAGTTTGTGCTAAATGTTTAATAGTGGAAATTTGTATGTGGTTAAGAGGATACTGTGCTAGGCCTGGTTCCATGCGCTTTCAGTGGAGCTGAGAAAAGACTAGAAAGTTGCCATAAAATATAATTGCATTTGTGATACGCTGTTGACAATCATCATTATTATGTGTCAAATACAGCAATTTTAGTGATAGTTGAAGTAGCAGCAGTAGTAGTAATAGTCGTAGTAGTGGTAATAGTAGTAGTCAGAGGTGGGGACTTGCTCTCGAGTCAGACTTGAGTCACTATTTTTAGGACTTGAGAATTAACTTGATAAAATGGACTAAGACTTGGGACTCGACTTGGACTTGAGGCCTGTGACTTTTTTAGCATTTTAAAATCTGATTTCTTTCTGTTCTGACTGTAATGATTCACACTAAGTTTTTGTCAAGACATTTAGAAAGAAAAAATTAACTAAATCATTTTCTACAACTCTTACATACTCGATAAATACTCATATATGAATATGCTATGACTTTTTTAAGACCAATTTATCTTAAAAGTCATATACATGGCAAAAATCTAAGTACTTTGGTTTACTTTACTTGGACTTGACTTGGACTTATGGGCCAATGACTCGAGACTCAACTTGGACTTGCCTGTCTTTAACTTGGGACTTGACTCGGACTTGAGGTCAAACACTTGAGACTTACTTGAGACTTGCAAAACAAAGATTTGGTTCTATGTCTGATAGTCGTACTGGTGGTAGTAGCAGTAGAGATTCAATTGGTTTATTGGTGTTTACCATTACAACTGAATTTAACCTTATAAATGGTAAATTGAAAATCTACTATCGAGTTTCAAGATTATGTACAAAAAAAAACAAACAAACAACGCTATAAGTTAAAGGTACAGTATGCAACTTCACCTGTTTCCATGGAAATAGAAATTTTAAATCATACTTCGGAACATTCTCCACTGAGATTTTATGCCATACTGTGAAATATTATTATTATTATTTTTTATTATTATTATTATCATTCTTTTACTTATGTATTTATTTTGGGCAAGTAAGAAATATACATTATTTTACAATGGAACATATAACATTAATGAAAACTTAGCAGAAATAACAACAACAAAAATTTACCCAAAAATGAGTGGGTACAAGAACATTTATTTAATCCCACCCCGTCTTCTAATCTAACGCAATGAGCTTTCTTTGGAATTTTTCAGACATTTTATATTAAACTACATGAACTATTTACAAGTGCGGACAAAGAGTCACTGTTGAAGTTTGGTAACATTACTGTACTGCAATAATACATGGGCTCAGGTTTGTGGAGATACACAATAAACACCAAAATGAAATGATCGCTGAAATATTTTTGGGCTTAAAAGTTGCATACTGTGGTTTAAGTTGGTTGCTTGAAAGAAAAAAGATTAGAAGGACAATATAATTAAATGTAAGATAATGGAAGATAAAATAAACAAGATGTGATATACATAAGAATAACATTTACATAGTGATCAATTTAAGGTAATTAAACTGCCAAACAACACATGATTGCTTTAATTTGGGAAATCTACTGTCTGGTATGTGCTATAATGAATGTATATGTAAGATAAAAGTAATGCAGTGCAGTATAAGTAGTTTATGGTCCCACCCCAAACACTTCTCAACATAAGACTAGACGTTTTGTCATGGTAACATACATATAATCACATACTGTTTGATTCTGTTTGGGGTAATTTAAAATGCCGTGGGAATGTATAGGGCACTGTAATCACTCCATATATACGTTATATTTAAGTGAAAATAGAATGTCTCTGGTGAAATGAATGCCAAGAAGAAAGCCAAAAGCAGCTTCAAAGCAGACTTTTTCTTTGTTTGGAGTCATTTTGTTAAGATTTATGTTCCATAATGATATGATTTTTATACTTTTTTTTTTACTGGTTTCAAGATTATTCTATTTAAATGGGGGTAGTTTCCCTGATCTCAGATGCCTTTGTCTCAGCACATTGGTATGGAGCTCAACAGTGAGTGTCCACATCAAGTTACCTGAAGTAAATTTCCCGTTCATTTCTTCCATAGACTTTTTGAATAGAGTCAATACAAGGTTAAAGTTGAAAACTGAGGGCTAATCAGCTAAAATGTTATTTAAAATCTGCTTGTAAAACAATATGAACTATTACATAATTAATACACGCATTTTTTTTTTTTTTTTTGTTTAAAAGCAGTGCCTGCATTTCTTTAAACTCTTAATTTTAATTTTATTCGGAAAGTCAGTGGTAAAAATTAATGGGAAAGTTATGGGAATGGGAATTGTTTGACTTTGACTGCTGAGCTCAAGTAAAACAATATAATAATAATATAATTTCAATATAAGACTAAAATTAAAATAGATGGTCTGTCATTTAAGTCATTTAAACCACTATAAGTACTTTTTTTTTCAGTGTACAGAGAAAGTCACAGAAACTTACATTGGGTCCGGGCATGCCCTGCTGTCCTGGAGGACCTGGCTCTCCTTGAGGTCCCTGTCAAAAACAATGAACGCAACATTACAAAAGCTCCATTCACTACTTTATTTGCACAACTATTAAATGAGTTTAGCTGTTGGAGAGATACTCAGAGTTGTGTTATGCCAAAGTATTTATTTCTGAATTGGTCCAGGTACTCGTAAGTTATGTTATGAAATATCTAATCATAACACAGAAACAAATCAAGCAGCAATTCACAATAAGAAAGGCTTAATATAGTAATTGAATATTGCATAAAGGTTATATTCATATGTTTTGTATAGATTTAGATAGAATAAAACAATTACAGGTAACACTGAATCACACACGTAATATGAGCTCTACTGCTGCAGGAAAATAGTAAAACATACATTAGTCAAGGTTAGGGGCTGTCTATGGGGCTTAAATATACTCATGTACCGCAACTTGCTTTGGATGATAGGAAATTAAATAAAAATACAGATTTCTGAAAATTCTTACCGCTGCTACCTAAAGTAAGATGTGCATTAAAAGGTCCTGCACCCAATTTTTCCCCTTGTATCTGAGCAAAATTTGTCAAACACATTGTACAAGCGGCTCTTGAGACCAAAGTATACTTTCGAGATCTAATTATAATGTGATTTACTGTCTGGAAATCAGGAAGTACACGGTTAGCATGCTTGTTGTCATCAGCTTTATCATTTCAGTACAGATATATTGTACAAGTGGCTCTTGAGGACAAAGTATAGTTTCTAGATCTAATTCTAACGTGATTTACTGTCTGGAAATCAGGAAGTACACGGTTAGCATGCTAGTTCTCATTAGGTTTATCGCTCTGCTTGTCTGAGGGTGTTGTAAAATGTTTAGAAACTCATCAGAGTGAATAATTAGGACGCTCAGAATGCATAAGGTAACATTAGACCACTGCAAACTAGTTCTGTTTTTCACGTTTTTTAAGAGCTAAATCAGGTACGGCGCCTACTTCCAAAATGACCAAATATAGTGCATAAAATATTTTAGTCAATGTTTGGGGTGAGTTTTAGTCATTCTTATTCCACTAATCCTCCTAACTGGAAATGCTTATCTGTTAGGCTTTCCTGCTTTGATTTAGCGCGTCACAAAGTAAAAAAACATTAACAACATTGACCTTTGGGGGGAGTCTGCTCCAGCTGTTTCAACAAACAACAGATAAATCCATAGTCAGGGCCTTCTAGCTTCAATTGAACATTTTATTGTATTTCTGAGTCTCCCTAATCCCCCGCTACATACATCTGTGGAATTGCAGTGAATTGAAACTTTGTGGGCCGTTAATTAGAAACACAATGTAAGTCATTGGTTTGAACGGGGGTGCTCTTCCTGTACAGACACTGACAGCATGTGGGAGGGTCCAGCTGTTTGAATGACGATACTATAAACATAATTCCCAGAGAGGAGCGGTGACGCAAAGAAGCAAGGCTAGCAGATCTTTTTAAGGTCCCACATTACAGCAAAATGGATTCTTCTAAGATTCAAGCCATGTTACAATGCTGTGGCTGTCTCAAAAACATACCTGGAGTTGTCTTTTGTTTCATTCACACATGTCTGAGTAATCTTTTATCTACATCTGTCTACATCTCCAAACCTTAAAATGCTCTGTTCCACCTTGTGATGTTATGAAGAAGCAGTTTTAAGTAACCTTTACTTCAGTAGAGATGATCAATTCCAGGGCTGAAATCATCCAAATGATTCTAGTGAAGGTGTATGGAGTTTAAAAACACATTGGAGCACTTTCTGTCTTATCAAATTACATCTCACGGTGTTTTCAATGTGAGAAACTGGAACAAAACACAACTCCAGGTATGTTTTGATGAGGAAACAACAATATAATACAGTATAGATCAGAAAATATAGTAATATGGGCCCTTTAAAAGTTGTATATTTGTATAGGCTGGTGTTTAAATTAAATTATTGGTTTGTAGTCAATATGTATAGGAATGTCCAATGCACCAATCTCTAGTATCTATCTAGAGACTGATATCGGCACCAAATACTGAAAAATTTGCTGGATTGGGCATCTGTTTCCAAATACCAGATCAGCCGATATTCTAGTTGAACAAGTAAATTGATGTAATAAGACTATTTGCTGGTTGTAGTCAGTCTAATAATGTTTGAATTTCTATTTATGCACAGTTCTTCTGTATTTAGCCCTGATGAAAACCAGTTTGATCGAAACATGTTGGCTTTGGCCATCATAATAAAAGCCTTTTAACAATATTTTTCCTCGTGTGATTTGTACTTCTTTGGAGAGCCTGGATTTCGTTGTGTCTAAAGTTTTGATCCTTTTTCCAAGAGTACCCTCAACTTGTTCTTTCTGATTGGAACACCTGCATTTTTTGTTTTTCTTCTGTACTTACTTGAGGGATAATAGCTACATTACACAGTTGGATCAGTTTATTCTCATTTTATTTTTATTTTAAGGAAATAAATTCTTTTTTACATCTGTTTTCTGATACTGGGTAACAGCAGATACTTAGCGCTTTAGTATCACAATGGGTAAAGCTGGATCGTTGCATCTCTAGTACGGAAAAAGTGATGATACTTTGGGAATGGTTAACCTATTTAAAAGAGTTTAAGGCTGTTTAATGTCTATGTACATGTTTTTTTTTTCATCCACTCACAGTTGGGAGAGGAAGAGAATGATGGTGGAATAGGGGTAATGTGTGTAGAAGCTATATATTTTGACTAGTCTTTTTATGGTACACAGTTAAAACGTGTTGCTTTAGGTCTAATGGTGTTCTGCATCTCTAATTAGCTGATTGCTATGAGCTGTCTCCTAACATTAAGGTTAAAGACCACTGACTTATACGCATCCGCAGGCGTGATTCCTAGGTGGTCCTGACAAATGAGCTCTGTTATTTTGACACACGGCTGGGACATCCTCTCTGCCAGCTTTTCCCCAGGGAGAAATGTCCAAATAAACCCCCAAAAACTTAAATAAATACTCACCATGTTTCCTTTGGGACCCGGCTGCCCGTCCAACCCTGAAAGACCCTACAGGGACCGATCAAATCATTAGGACTGAGAGAAGAAAAACGTGTGATTGTTGTGAGCGAATGACAGATGGAGATACGTACGCGCTGCCCTGGAGGACCGGCAGTACCTCTCGGACCAAGCAAACCTCTGGGACCCTAAGATAAGACAAGACGGAAAAGTTAAATTGACGTGAAAGTCCTCAAACTGTGAGAAAAACGTCTTTTGTTGAGTATTTTTGAGCTAAAATGTTACAATATCACAATACGTTCTAGATTCACGATTCAACATTGAGCTTCTAATTTACTTTTTTTTTCTTTCTTTTTTGACCAGATTGTCTAGATTATAAAAATTGGTATTAAAGACAAGACTGAATGTTAAAAAAAGCAGTACTCTTCTCATATGGTTCACAGATAGTAACTGCATGTGAAATCTAATCTAGACAAATCCTAAAGCAGCAGATCGAAATTCTCCCTCTCCTTCGAGTGATGATGAAACGTGCTGCAATGTCTTTGAATGACTTAACAAGCTGCTTCCAATGACTGGTTCTCATGATGTGTCTCGGCCCATTAATACACAACAAAGACCGAGCAGTCAAATTCTCATGAGGGAAATGCATTATGACTTAAGCACAAGCACCACGGCTACTTTCTATGTATCAAATCTTATTAGTCTGACTCACAAGATCGAAGGCCTGAGTTAATGACCAGAGCAGACGACACTGATGAGTTTGAGTATGAAAAATTCTAGTGTTTTGTATATTTCTGGTAACACTTTATAACAACTGTACTATAACCTTGAATTCTTCTTAATAAATTATTTGTTCATTTTGATTTAAACTTTTAATCATGATTTATTGAGGCTAATTAAAGTGTAGTTATTATACGATGCTTTTTTTACATTGTTTTGAATACATTTTTACACCAATATTTCGATTTTTCTCCACACAGTAATGATGTGCTGTTCTATACTTTTAATTAACTTAAGTAATATTATTTAGAACTATTTAAGATAAGAAAAAACTTTATTTGTCCCACAATGTGTAAATTACCAAGATGCAATACCAAGTTCAATAAAAGTGCAATCAAAATCAAGATCAAGATAGATTATTAAGGATGTAAAGATATCCAGATCTCTCGGTACACCAATATCACGATATGCATCTCACGGTACGATATTTATTGCGATATTTTTTTTAAGAGCTTGATATAATTGTAGACAGGATGCTATTTTGCTTTTAAAATACCCTGACAAGAATTTGTTGTGAATCATTACTGTCATAATCTGAAGAATTCAAGTAAAAAACATATTAATTCATGTCGTCTGCGCTGAAAGGAATCATGGGATATGTAGTTCCTGATTATTAGTTATTGCAGCTGTAAAACAATGTATTTAAGCAAAGGAACTTGTGATGTGATATATTGTGACGCCCCACGGTATTATTGTGAATCTTTTGATGATACGATATCACGATATTTTGGTTATTGTTACATCCCTCTAGATTATACTATGAAGATTTACAGACAAAAGCTCTAAGGCTACAGAACTTTCCAGCATATGGCCAAGAATAAATAATGTTAAAGTGACACTTACGCCCTCTCCTGCAACACCTCTTTGTCCAACTGGTCCATCCTCTCCCTTTAAAAACAAGACACAAGACATAGTGAAGGTAGGAAAACCTTTATCTGTCCCAGAATGTAGAATTTCACTGTTGCAACAAAGACAACAACAAAGACAGAGGAATAAAAGCTGACAAACAAGAGAATAACAATATAAAATAGCTTATAGACTTAAATCTAATAGTAAAAATTAAGATATTCAATGGAGTAGAATGAAATACTAGTATTGGGTAATGTTTCTACAGCACTAAAGATCAGAGTTAGGTTAAGTTACAGTCATAAACATGAATAAGTGCTTTAAGAGCTCTAAAAATGATCTAATTTACAACTTACTAGGCCCGTTACTACTAGTTAGTCATTAAAATGTGCTTCCTAACATATGTGTTACCGACTGACTTTTATTTTTCTTTTGAACAGAGGTTGAACTCACCCTTGGCCCATCTTCTCCGGGAGGTCCTGGGGGGCCAGTAGACCCAATTTCACCCTAGGGACAAAAAGACAATATAATGATACAAAGAAAGAGGAGTGGCAAGTTCATCCGCATGTCATGTGTGCCTAATAATAGCTGGAGTGATGTGACTAAAGAAAAGTTTATTCAAAAAGGAACAAAAATGCCTTTAATCTAAGCCTGGTAACCACAATTGGCATGGTCCACATAGGGTTTAGCCTATTTACGGTGCCCTATACGGACCAGCCTACCTCTACTCGCCCTCTAATTACTCAGTATAGAATAAAGAAAGGATGTGTGTCTAGAAATACGCCTCTGTGATCCCTGTGTTCAAACTTCCGTCTTTTAGCCAATGTTTAAGTGTACAAAACCCCGAACTCCAGCCCTGATCAAAGTGTAGTGGCAATGGGCAAACAGAACTGGGTCAAACACACTGAATCATCTGAATACTCATCAAATACAGCTGCATACGTAATACAAATACTGTGCATACTTAGGACATGTCATAACTTTTATAAAAAATATACCGTACTTTGAATCAAATCGGTTATAATACTTAAACGAGAAGGAGTAGCAACAGATGTTTAACTGGAGGTTTTAGATGTAGCTGTGGTAAAGGTCTCCAGTTCTGATTTGTGTTCTGAGTTTTAGGGCCGCTTGTGGGTAAAAACAACAAAATATTTTATCGCCTTTAAGTGCCTTTCGTTTAGATGGTGATGCTGTTTTTGGGGCTTAAAAACGCAAAAATCTGAAACCATCCAGTAGAGTGGAAAAGTTGAATACGCTCCACCGTAGCATTTCCGTCTACACTGCCCAAGACGCAAAACTCTGGTCAGATCTGCTCACGTTGTGTACACGTTTACGTCACATACATACAATACACAGAAACCTGGCATGCAATCGAATTCCACACACTTTTGCATCATCATAAAACGCTCGTCTAAAAGCAGAGTGAGCGAAGACGAGGAGCCACTTTTGTGTTTTCCTGGTTGTCCTGACTCCTGCTGTGAGAGCCCTGGTCCGTGATTGGTGGGGCTTGTCTCCGCCCACCTCACCTGCAGCCACCTCCCCCTATTTCAGAAGATTCCCAGCACCTCTTTGCGGCTGCTGACCTTCGTGACCAGTCAGCCATTTTGTGTGTGTCTGTGTCTCTTTCGTGTCAGCACTTTGTTTGTACTAGTACATGTCTAACTTTGTGTGTGTGTGTTGAGACGCTTGTTTAGTTTAGCTCTGTTTTGTGCCTTTTTGTTTTGGCACTCGATTCTGTCTGTGGGTTTATGTGATTTTACTTTGGGGCTCTTGTGGTTTAGTTTTGTTGTGTGCCCCTTAGTTTAGTCACTCGTTTTTGTATTAGACCTGCGTGACCCGTTTTTTGGCACAAAACTCATATGTTAATCCTGCTATTTTATTTCTTAAGTTAGGTTATTTTCTGTACATATTGTAGCTTGTTACCCTTTTACATTCCTGTTAATTAAACATTACTTAATTTATTCCACTCTCCACCTTGGTAAAGATTACTACTATTAACTAAAAATGTTTATTTCAAAATGAGGGGAGAAAAAAAAGGAATTTCAATAATAAATTGGTCAAAATATAACAATCTAAGGGGGTCTATTGGTGTGTTTATGTTGCACTTCCACATTACTTTTGTTTTATTTAACCACATTTGTGTCGGTGTGTGTGGTCGGGGGGAAATGAGAGGGGCTTTTTTTTTTTTTTTTATATTTGTTGTGGCTGTTTTGGGTGTCGCTTTACGGTTTTGTGTTTTGTTTTTATGTTTGTTAAATGTTATATTCTGTTGTCAATAATAATAATTAAAAAAAAAACAACAGATTACTACTATTGCTTAGATATGCAATAGTATTATGAGAAAGCAGTGCAAGTTAAAACAGGTATAGCAGTAATGAAAGTTGTAATAGTAGTAATAGTAGCAGAATTATTAGCTGTGTGTTGCAAGCAGTAGTAGTAGTGGTAGTAGTAGGCGCAACAACATAAGTAGAATTAATAAATTGTATTCATTTGTAGTGACAGTTGTTGAAATACTAATAGTCGTCAGTACCAGTGGAATAACGTTTAGTAGTAGCAAAAGTAGCAGGTAGTAGTAGTAGTAGTAGTAGTAGTAGTAGCAGGGGACAGTAGGAGTAGAAATGTTAAAAGTGGGAGCATTACCTTGTACAGTGCATGTTTAACTGTGTATAATTAGTCAAGCAGTAAGTAGTCGAAATGATATTGGCAATGGTGGAAGCAGATTTCCCTGTCATCACTACAGTAATAATCAGTCAATGGGGGGTGGAGTCTAAACTGGTATTTAAGCCTTAATGTTTGAGTAAGGAGCGGGCTCAGGGCTGTAGTTACTTTGACAAATGACGATCTGAGACTCATAATGAGACAGGAGTAAGTGTAGCTTCTTATTTCAGTCTGTTGGAACGTTCCATGCTGTAATTACTCACTCTATGTCCCTTTTCTCCTGGAAGTCCTGGGAGGCCGTCGAACCCGCGGTCACCCTGAAATAGGATAAGAAAGAGGGGGGTAAAAAGTTCAGTTTATTTTACCGACAATAGTGGTTCGCAATGTTTATCTGTTTCCTGTATAGAGACATGTATAATATATTGTACTGAATTTAGAGCCAATTTAAGCCTCATTTTGTCCTAATTTGGGTGAGCCTTGTTTACAGCTTGTTTATACATGGTAAGGTAAGAATTGGCTAGATGGGAAGCTTATGTGTTCCTTTTGTTATGGCACTGGACAATTACATTAAATATCTGGTTTAAAGGCAACTATTTAGGTCACTATAAATGTCCTCCATATGAGAAACTATTATTGTTTTGCGTCTACCTTTAAGAAAATACCAATCTTCTTGTCATAACATATTAAAAATAACTACTCAATCTTAAAATTAGACAAAATGAAGACTGTATTAACCAGTTATTACAGTTGACATGCTTTTCTATGTTATGGGAATAGTTTTATGATGTTTTTAATGTCCTTTTATCAAAGCCATGTGTTTTTACCTTCGCTCCTCCTTCTCCCGGCAGCCCGCGAGCTCCATCCGCTCCATTACGGCCCTAAAAGACATCAACATACCCCATCAAATTTCAATGGAAACTGCATACGAAATGTTAAATAAACGCGGTGATTGTGGAAGAGTTCATCAATTCAACAAATAAACAAATATTCTGTCTGAATTTAGTCTAGAAATTTGAATATTGTGTGCAAATAATGGACTTGAAAGGAAGCCATGTTTGGGGCCTGGGCAATTGCAACAATGATCTTGCCAAATTTCACTCTTTCCACTTCTATTAGAGATTAAAGCGGCTATATTACCCTATTTTCTGATCTGTTATAAAGGTGTTTTCTCATCAAAAACATATCCAGAGTTGTATTTTATTTCATTCACATGTGTTTAACTCACAAACCCTGTATTTTGAGTTTTTCTCTCAAAAAAAAAAACATACAACTTCACTAGATTCACTTGGATAATTTCAGCCCTGGGATTGCCAGTCTCAACGGAAAAAGTAAAAGGTAGGTGTTGCCTTGGAAAACTGCACCTTTATGACATCACAAGGTGGCACGGAGCGTTCTGAGCTTTGGAAATGTAGACAGACTACGAATAAAATGTTACTCAAACATGTGTGAATGAAAAAAAACATGATGATGAGCTTACAAAAGTAAATTTCACGGAAGATAGGACCTTTAATGTTGGGAAGGATACACTATGAAGGTACCTAATATAATAATTTTTGGATGTAGCACGTCTTAAATAAAACGGAAACAAACTGTAGTCCAGGGGCATTAAAATTTTCTGATTTACCATCCAGAGGAGTCCATTTGACAGTGACATTTTACTTTTAAGTATGGTTGACCTACAACAGTAATGCTGGGCAATTCATCAAAATTTAATAGAGGTCATGTTTAATTGTCAATGATATGTTTGTGGATTTTAATTATGGGTTCCACAGCCAATGCCCTGCCAGTAAAAGCGTGTGGTTTGGAGCAGAATTCAGACTTTGGAAGATTACACTGGGAAATTTCTTATGTTAAATGAAACGGATTAAAAGTTTGTCATGTTTGTGTTCATGAAATCAATACTGAAAGCCATTATAGTTTAACGTTTGAAAAGAAAAGAAAAGAATATATTTCTTGTCTTTACCGTACCACCCAGTCTTAGTCCTCAGAAAGGTTTTGGGCTTTGGTAGGTAAAGTGTAAAGTGTATAAAAACAACACTATTTTATTAACAATGCATATTCTCATCTTCTAAACAATATGAAACAGGATGTGGCTGACTCATTGTTATCTGAAGTTATCCCAAAGTCGTCATATAAAATTGGACATAACGGCATTCTTACCCTTTTTCCGGCTTTTCCAGGAAGACCAGGTGGACCCTGAAGACCTCGAGGCCCCTTTAGGCAAAAACATCAAAGATTGAAGGAGTTAAGTGCAAGATGTGTTTTGGAAATATATGTAAATGTGTACAGTAAGGAGAGAGGTCATGTAAGCGGTGAATATGAGTCACACCTGTGGTCCTGGGTCACCGCCGTCTCCTTTAAGCCCGGGAGCGCCAGGACTTCCCTATGACAAAAAATATACATTACACCATTGCATAGTATGGAGGGGTAGAACTCAGTTACACTAAGCATACTTCTTTGCTTGCGTAATATTTTCTAAAGTGTAACAAGTACTCTTATTTGTGAAGGTTTTGTAGGTTCAAGTAACTGTATGTTGACAATATTGCATGTTTTGATATTAAATATTATATTTTTTGCATTGTACCTTCAGATATGATATTGTTTTACCTATGTGGCACATTCTTTGGAACTACTTAATGTCTTGTCCCTCCAATCACATTAAAATCTAATTATAAATCAGACTTTTTTACTCTACTTACCTAATTTCTTCCCTCATAACTTTTTACTATAAACTGAGTAACATTATTTTGAAATAAAAGTACTCTTACTATAGTAGAATCCACCTCGGGATACCTCCATATTGGGGAAAACTGTTGTGTTTGAGTAGTAATTGTTATGATCACCTTGATTCACTGTCACAATATTTCAAAATTTGTTCTTACTATAGGACTTTTAGTGCCAAAAGCATGCATCTAACTGCTATATATAGTTTTTGAGTCATTAATTGTTAGAAAATAAGTATGAACAGGCACAATGTTGTAGTATTTGTAGTATTTTTTGATGTTGGATATAAACTTAGATTTGAACATACTCCTTCAAGAAACTTTTCCATCCATTATAAAGTTATTACTGGATTTCATGGTGAAAAATGAACCCAGTTGACAGTAATTAACAGTTACATTCTGCCTTCTGAATAGTCAAAAGTCCTCAAAATGTCGCCTATAGAACGGAAGCTGTTCCGTGATTAAGCCCTTAAGCTCCTCAGCTCTCGAATCTGTACAATATGAGCGACTGCGAGTTTAAATTTAGCAGACCTCTTCGCAGCAGGAAGTAGCAGTAATGTTTTCCTCATCAGCTGAGCGAGTCATGGTAAATGCATATGAGCAGTACATGTGTGTTTGTATAAGCACAAACTCACCACAGGACCAGACCGCCCTGCCAGTCCAGTGGGTCCCGGAGCGCCTCTCATAGCCAGCTGCAAAGCACACAGCACACTTATCACTGCATGCGATGACGGACTTAACAGCAATATTGTCTTGAAAACTAAGTAAGTAAGTAAATTAAACCACTTATTACATTTGGCTGTTTGTGAACAATAAAACCCATGTAGTTCAAGATGAGTTTGTATCTTATAGAGCTGTTAAAAGTATCAAAAATCAGATACAAATAGATTAAAAATTAAATATGAATGAAAATTAATGTCAAAATTAGATGACCAAGTGTCAATACTGAAAAACTTTACATTAACAAGAAAATTTGAGGTTTTCTGAACAGTTTTAGCCTCATTTTGAACTTTATCAGAACAAATACAGACCTTATGCAAAGTACTATTATTTTGTATATGAAAATTACATTCAATTTCAATTATGTTTTGTGGTATCGTAATCAGTATCGAGTATTGAGTGAATTCCTTAGTATTGAAATCAAGTTTGAAATTTTAGCATGTTATATAATGGAAATTGTACTTTTTTTGTATTTATGTATTTATTTTGGGCAAGTAGAGATTTACATTCTTATACAATGGAACATATAACATAAGTGAAATCATAATAGAAAGGAAAATAATCACAACAAAAAATTTGCCCAAAAAGGAGTGAGTTTGTTTTCCTTAAATCCATAATAATGTAAGATAATAATTGCAGTTAAAGTGAATTTGTAGTGGAAATTTAATTTATACAAAGAATACAAACAATTATGTGAAACTAAGATAATAGATAAAATACTGTTGTACTTGCTGTTACATTTGGCTACGTGTACCCTGTATAATGAAATCCACAGTGTTGTCTAAAATAATTGCTAGACTTGATTGTGTGTCTAAATAAAAGCTGATTATTACATTTGTACATGTGAACAAGTCAGGTCATAATGCAAAAATTTCAACCATGATTTTGCAATAAAGGAAATACTTGACACTAGATACTAATTTCGATATCACAATGATAAAACACCTTTATAAATACATTTGCAACACAAACAATAGCAGCTACGTATTACCATCTTTTCTTATATAATTCTTGTTTTTTTTGTATCTTTATTTATTTATTTTTTTAAGTTTTAGGGCATACAAAAGAATAACTAAGAAGATCAACAGATTGCATGTCATGATTAATTGTCCATGGATTGTGTGTATATATTTTTCTCCCTTGTGTCGCTGTAGGCGGAGACTGAAAGTCTGAGTGAAAGATTTCATTGTTTTGATTTGTCTGATAATTTACATCAAAAGTCCCATTGTAGATGCCTCCTTTTTCATCCACCGTTTTGTAATGAGATAAGAATGATCCTAAGTAGATATGTATCAGATTTACTTAAAGCTTCTGGGGTTATACTAAGAAATAAATAATGAAAGATAATAATGAAATACATTAGTTCAACCAACTTTTTCCAGAAGTTAGTTACTCCTGGGCATGACCAGAATATATGAACCTGATCCACCCTGACAGATCCACACTCTGTCCTGCAGGGGTAAAGAGTAGGCAAAATCTTTAACTTGTGTACCGGTGTAATAAAAAATCTGACCAGGCTCGTCCAAAAGAAATCTCTCCATGTAAGTGAATTGGTAGTATGGCTTTGAGATTTCCATCCCTCCAACCAGAGCTCATCTGGGATTTCAACTGCCAAATCTTTATCCCATTGAATGAAAAATGTGTCTCACTGTCCATTGAACTTAAACCCTTATAAATTTTGCCTACAATATTGTATATATTAGTTCTGATATAGATAAAGGACATTCAAAAACTGTTCAGAAAAGGTCCAACTTTGGCCTACTTGCATTTTTTTTTGTGTCACTAGTTCTTTAATGCAATAATAACAATAACCATCTATATTCTAAATGTCTGATCCCGATTTCCTTGTGGGTAATTCGCAAAACAACTTCAGATGTTACTAATCCAGCTCACGCAGTACACAGCTCCATAATACCACATGTACCTTACACCATGTGCCAAGGCGTTACAAGCTATCGGAGCCAACCACCGCTGTCTGAACATTAATAAACAGTTGTGTTGTTGACCTTTTAGCTGGTTTTAGAGAGTTGTGAATGTGTGAATATTGCGTGTAATGGCCGCCATGTGTTTTTGACTTGATCGCACCTTATGCTTTCAGCCTCGCAGTTCATCCAGTTACTCAGCACTATAGTGATTACCCAGCAGGCCCCTGTGTGGGTGTGAACATCTGCTAAAGCTTTACATACTCCCCTGGATAACCAGCCCTCCCTGCACCTCCATATTATGTGCATTATACAGGCGAGTACTGCGTGGCAATTTGGGGGCTGCTTTTAGCTCAAGGCTCTCTCAGTGTATTTTCTAATGTTTGGTCGAACTGTTTAATAATCTTTTAGCATTGTAATGGGAATACACACAGGATTCCACAACTTTAAATCGTTCCAAAAAGTACATTATACATTTTATAGCGCATAAGGGTGATTTGTGGGTTGCTTTTAGTTCAACGCACAGTGCATAGTTCCTTAAGTTGAGTTGAACTGTTTAATAATATTTTAGCATCGCAATGGGAATAACAATGGGATTCCACTTTAAATGGTTTTCAAAAAGTGTTATAGTATATGTATTTTATTGTACCATAGGGTAATTAAGCCTTATTGCAGTTTGCATACAAGAGGTATACATTTATATTGGTCAATCTCAAATAAAATATATCAGAATATTTGGTTTTAAAGGGCCCATGATATGCTATTTTCTGTCTGATATATGTTCTAAAAGTTCTAAAAATGATCTATGTTATAATGTTGTTTTCTCACAGACATACAGGGAGTTGTGTTTTGTTTAATTCACACAAGTTTAACACACAAACCCCACATATTTAGGCTGCGTTCTTGTCTAAAACTGAAAAAAACTCTGTTCCACCTTGTGATGTCATTTGGTAATACCAGAAATTCACTGTGTTTTGAAACGCCACACACCTTGACTAGAATCATTTGGATAAATTCAGACTTGGAATTGCCCATCTCTACTAAACTAGATGTAGCTGTTAATTTACACCACTACATGACATCACGAGGTGGAGCAGAGCATTTTGAGCTTTGGAGATGTAGACAGACTAATAATAAAGCATTGCTCAAACATGTGTCAATGAAACAAAACACAACTCTGGTTATGTTTTTGAGGAAATAACAACATTATAACATGGTTAGTTTAATTTAATACAGGACCATTAAATTGCAGACAACTCAAAGTATTTTCAACTTGATTTTACAGGCTTATTTAGGACAAAAACATAGAGAAAAATCCCGTACATCGTCTTCCTTGCAAATTGTGAGATTTATTATGACAAACAGTGCAATGTTTTCGTCACTAGACCTGCCTGATGAGGGCCTAGTGCCGAAACGTTGCACGGTTTGTCCTAATAAATCTCACAATTTGCAAGTAAGACGGTGTGCGGAATTTTTCTCTATGTTCTTGGGCTGCTCCCCTTTCCTCCAACACCCCTGTCTCAAGTAATTCATGTGAGAAGTTCCCTTTCTTTTATATCACAGGCTTATTTAGGCACATGTTTTCTATATTTTAACATCTAAATATATTTGCTGGTTTAAGTGCATTGTATAAAAATTATAATTAGAATACAGAAGTTAAAATACATAAACTAACAGAACAATACAGAAACATCATTTGAGCTGTACAAACAAAGGTAAAATTCACATCCTAAACTCAAACAAGCCTCTTATAAAAAGTATTTAAACAGAGATTTTGAAGGTAACCAGTACACCGGTGTTCTGTATACCTACCCTGGCCTGGGACAGTATGGCCTGAGCTTGAGCCTCTTGTGCGGACACCACTGGGCCTTTGTGGGACTCGCCTCCAGCTCTGAACTGTCAACACAACGTACAAAAACAAAATGAAATGACAAATATGTAGTATTACCATTTTACCATTTGTAAGTTTTGGGTCAGAGTACTTTAAAGGTGCCCTATGCGACTTTTGTGGCGGGGGGTCGGTCGTTTCCTTTGGAATGTTCCACAGTATGTCATGAAACTAATCTATCTTCATGGACAGGCGATGCAATTAAAACACCCTACTGTGAAACATTTCAGGCAAAACAATAACAGTAAAGTTACATCGTGCACCTTTAAAGTGAGACTAAACTCCGCCCACAGCCATATTTCAAAAAAGAGCTGCTAAACTGGGCATCTGGAGGAGTAAAAGAAGAGAGTGAGGGAGAAGGGGCGGGATCTGAAGGTAAAAGGAACAGTGCGATTGGTCTAACAAGTATCCACACTTCAAACTCCACCCCTACAGTCATTTGTTATGTCACCAACTACTTGAAGTTACAGTTGCAAATGAAGGCAGCACAAACTTAGATTTAGGTGTTTTGAACAGAAGGCCTAGTTTGCACTAAAGTTGCCAAAAATACCGAAGAACAGTAGATAATCCTCATAAAAAGCATACACTGTTTAGTAGTGAAAGTAGTCTTTAGTTCCACTTGAAGAAAACAAATGAATAAAAAGACCTGTAGCGTTTTTAAACCTGTAAAATTGTCATCACGTCACACACAAAAATGCATTCGCGCCAAAAAAAACGACACACTTTCGTACAAATTTGTGTCATTTCAAGGCTCCAGTCAATGGTTCTGCACCACTGCACTGGCTGACATTTACAAGCTAAAAGATTTGTAACCCAAAGAAAATAAAAGCGCAAAAATCCCTTGGCTAGCGATGATGCTGTGAGGTAAAGCTTCATAATTAGGTGCCATACATGGATGAGTGCCGGACTTAAAGGGGGTACGGAGGTATAAAGTAGAGTATGGGAAAAGGGGGTAGACAGCTTAAAGTGGAGCAGGACTTACGGGCAGCATCAAGATGGTACCTGGGGGCCCCGGTACTCCGTCTGAGCCAGGGATACCGGGACGGCCTGGAGGACCCTGGAAGAAACACACAGAGAGAGAGAGTTTATGATACATTCGAATGTACATCGTAAAAGCAAGTGTTATCTGAGGACAGGTATGTGATAATATGAGAGAATGAAAACAGTGGGGAGATGAAAGATTTTAAAGAGTCTATGTTTCGCAAGATTGACTCTTGTGAAGTTTTTATCCATGTTAGAATGTTGTTACCTCCTCAAAAACATTCCTGGAGTTGTGCTTTGTTTCATTCACACATGTTTGAGTAACCCTGTTATTAGTCTGTCTACATCTCTTGTGAAGCCAGGTAGTGGTAGTTTCCAAGTTAACAGCTGCTTTTTGTCTTTTGTTCAATAGAAACTGGAAAATGTATACCTGAAAAAAATATCTAGTGATGGTGTAAGGTCTTTAAAAACACAGTGGAGCACTTCCTGTTGGTTATATTCTGTTAGAGTTTTCTGTTTGAGAAAATATTATGCAGGATTTGTGTGTTAAACATGTGCGTAAATGAAACAAAACACAACTCTGGGTATGTTTTTGATGAGAAAACATTATAACATAGAAGAAAAAATAGCGTAATATAACACAATTTAACACAATATTGATTATATTGGATGCTATGGTAAAATATAATTGTTTTGTCTTACAGTCATTACAGAAGTAAGCTTAACAGCACAGACATCAGTCCAATATTCTTTATTGAGCTTGCAATCAAACATCTGAAAACAATTGTTATTGGCAGCATCCTCTGGGTCATGCTAATTACATTTATTATACTAGGTAGCCTGTTTCGTTTTTATTTGACTGAAAATTCTTTGTGCAGTTGAGTAATCTATTATATCGTCTAGGTCACTACACTTTGTTCCATTTTGGATTTGAGTCAATGCATTATTTATTAATAGACTCTGTACTGCAAAATGGCTCTTTTGGGAAGAACTTAAAATATATTTGGTCTGTAAATCTGGTGTATTTGGTAAACTAATAATAGTATGTATGTTGCAATACGCTGGGTTAGCGGCTGCTATTTTCTCGACGCTGCTGCGCTGGGTACTTCCGGCGTCGCCCCTGGGCCCCATTAAAGTTACTACTGGCGATGTTAGAATTGACCAATCACAAATAATTTTGGATATTACGTCAATCGGAGTTCCCTCTACACTGTCGGTTTAGATTTTTACTGGTTCCAACCTTTTGTCTTAATTAATGCATAAAACAATGAAAATAAAGGTCGTTTGTACTAAACTTAAAAGTAGCATATCTCCCTTATTTCTTAAACAGATTTTGTGATCTTGGTGTCTTTTTTTGTTTTTTGTTTTGTTATTTCAAGCTCTCTCTAATTAGAGTAAATTGATATTAGTTTAAGTAACTTCATTTTTTTACCTAACAATAGCTGGAAACTGCTGAGAAAAATATAATCAAAAAATACAACTTATTTTAGTGCAAGTGTAGGGTGACCAGAATTTCAAAATCAAAAACTAGGACACTCTCGGTTTGGGGGGTTTGATAATAATAAAATTGTGAAATGAGTGTGTAATTAAGGAAAACTGTTGAGTGAGTGAGTTTAGTAACATTTTCTTTGAGTTTTGGTCATTTTTAAGCAGTTTTTCGGTATTTTACCTAAACAAATGACAATGTATGCCTGTCTTTACTGTTGGCAGGTATCAAATTGGTCAAAAATAGGGACATCTGGAACATTTGTTGTATAAAAATGGGACACATAACTGGTTTTGGATAAATCTGCTGGGACAGGGGACACTGGGCTCAAAACTGGGACTGTCCCGGGTAAATATCCAAATCCAGTTTATTGATAAAGCACTATTAAAAATAACAAAGTTGACCAAACTGCTGTCCACAAAGATAAAAACATAATGTATAATAGAGTAAAAATATATATATACCACAACTATTGAACACTAAAAGACCTCAAGACTAGTTAAAAGCCAAAGTAAACAAACGTGTTTTAAGAAGTGAAGATAGTCAGCTTGTCTTAGGGACGTCTGGTCACCTTAGACAAGAGGCACTTAAAATCCTAATCCCTTGGAGGTCTCAAAAGCGCCTCCATTCATAAACACATGTACGGACTTATCTCTGTGTTTTCAAACTATTCCCGCTTTGATCCAGGTGAAGCTCATTTGTCCACGTTAGTTTTGCACGGATTACCGCCGCAGCTGTTTTCTGTCCGACCTAACCTCCATTGTCGACTTAAGTTTGCGTTTTGTTCTCCACCAGCTGTGTTTGGCAAACTGAGGCGCACCGTGGACCCAAACATGTGTCCAGACGTGTGTCGACGTTTAAACCGTGAGCGCTAACATGCTAGCGTTAGCATAGTGCGTGTTTATATTCACGTTAATACATAGAGAAATGGGCTGTCATCAAGTGCGGTGTTTTCCAGGCTGCTGTTCTTAATGCCAGATGCTGATGGAGGTGATGGAAGAAAATGTTTTAAAAATACATGGTGTAATGTACAGGCAGCTCTGTATGCACTAGACTGACTGGCATCCAATATACACAACAGTCACAACAAAATACGCTAAAAACATTGCAACTTTAAATACTTTAGCAGGCCTACGTACAAATAATTTGTACAATTAATGTTCTACAACTGCATAAACTGCAATAAGTCTTGATACTAGTTTCTTGGCCAACTTCTGTCTGTGTAATAAATGAATAACTAAAAATAAAATGGTCATACTTGAACTACTTCTGTATTTTAGTCTATTTTATCTAAAGCTCTGCTGATAAGTATACAACTGCAGTCACTACAATTACTGCTACAACAAGGCCTACTACTACTACAACTAAGCCTACTACTATTACTGCAACTAGGCCTAATACTCCTACTACTACTACTACTACTACTAGTACTACTACTAGGCCTAATATTATTACTACAACTAAGCCTAATACTACTACTACAGCTAGGCCTAAAACTATTACTGCAACCTGCGGCCTAATACTAACTACTACTACAACTAGGCTTACTACTACTACTAATACTACTACATACTACTACTACTAGGCCTACTACTACTACTACTACTACTACTACTACTACTACTACTACTACTACATACTACTACTGCAACTAGGCCTACTACTACTACTACTACTACTACTACTACTACTACTAGTACTAACTACTACTACTACTGTTACTACTACTACTAACTAGGCCTACTACTACTACTACTAGACCTAATACTACAACAACAACCAGGCCTACCACTACCACTACCACTACTACTACTACTACTACTACTACTACTACTACTACTACTACTACTACTACTACTACTACAACTAGGCCTAATACTAACTACTACTACAGCTAGGTCTAATACTACTAGAACTACTACAGCTAGGCCTAATACCACTACTACTACTACTAAAACAACTAGGCCTAATACTACTACTACTACTAGGCCGAATGCTATTACAGCAACTAGGCCTAACACTACTACTACTACTACAACTAGGAATAATACAACTACCACTACAATTAGGCCTAATACTACTACTACTACTACTACTACTACACTACACCTACTATTACTACTTCTACTACTACTACTACTTACTAGCCTACCTCTTTTACAACTACTGAAGCAAAGAAACAATTGATACTGTAGTAGCCAGCAGCTATTTACTAATACTACGGTAAAACATATAGGCCTTCTTTACACTACTCTTTGGAGATAATAGGCTATTTGCTTGATAAAACCAAATAAGCATTTAACTAAGTGAACATTTCCTTCAAAATACAGTCCCCTAATGAAATAAAAGGTTGTATTTTCCATCTGTGAACAGTTTCGCCAAGAAATGTCCAATTTGCCAGCAGCACATTGTCACCCTTCATTGCAGTAACACTAACCACTGTGACATGTAGTGTTCAAACAGCCTGGGAAAGTGCCGTATTGAGACTTGAGAGAAGAAAGACGGTTGTTCAAAATTTAAAAAAACAAAAAAACCCAAAACAAAACTGAAAAACAGCCAATCATGTTCGAGCCAGTAGGAAATTGAGCAATGGAAAGCCAGAAAACTACAGACGCTAGTGGCTTTTAATACTTCTTGTCAGTCACCACGGCTAGGACTTTTTCTCAAGGGAGGAAATTAAAAAAGCGTAACATCAAGAAACATGTCTGATGACTCAAGACTGGAACAATGTGTCTTTTGTGCTGGCAACTTGTTTTCAAAAAAGGAGGGATTTGGCAACTTCTGCTGGTGATTTAGGGGTTAACTTCATGTGGGAAAGAAAGAAGGATTGGATGCAATTAAGACCCGTTTTAAGAATCATTTTGGTAACGTATTTTCCCCAACTTTTCTAGATTTGAAATGAACGTTTGAAGATCTAGATTCACATTTTAATTTTATAATATGTTTGTAGAGGGTTAAAGGGTGAGATACATACATAACACCATAGCAACAAGGTCATTTGTTTATAGTAAAGGACATTTTCGCTAATAATTCAAATGTTTGCCAATTATTATGACAACTCAAATGCGCAATCTGTGTATCATTCGTTCATTCGTTTTTCGATATAAAATCAAAAATAAGAAAACAAAAAAATAACTATTTTCTTCGTTAGTTGTCTCCAAAACCAAAATGAAAAAATGGATAACGATTTGTTTTTTCAGTTTTCGATTTTGTGTTTAAATGAATAATGGAAAAAACAGATGACAGCCATTTCTCGTTTCCGTGACTTAAATTGCAATGCCGGACTTTTGTGCCAGATACGGACTGAACCAGGACTGAAACAGGACTAAACCAGGTCCGGGACCAGACTGGAACCAGACAGAGACTGACACCAGGACTTAGACCGGGACCAGACCAGGACTGAGACCGGGAATGAGAACGGGACTGAGAACGGGACAGAGACTGGGACCAGACCAGAACTGAGTCCGAGACCAGGACCAGGACTGAGACTGGGGCTGAGATCGGGACCAGACCAGAACTGAAACCAGGATTGAGACTGGGAACAGGACCAGGACGGAGACCGGGACTGAGACCGTGACTGGGACAAAGACCAAGACCGGGACCAGACCAGAACTGAGACCAGGACTGAGACCAGAACCAGACGGGGACTGAGATCAGGATTGGGACCGGGAACAGGACCAGGACCAGGACCAGGACTGAGACCAGGACCAGACCGGCACTGAGACCAGGACTAAGGCCAGGAGTGAGGCAGGGACCAGACCAGGACCAGACCGGGACTGAGACTGGGAGCAGGACTAAATCATTTTTAGTCCTGGTTTAGTCCTATTTCAGCCCTGGTTCAGTCAGTTTTGCGGTGCAGAAGTCCAGCATCGCAGTTTAAGCAATGGAAACGGGAAAAAGTAATTGTTATCCATTTTTTCATTTTGGTTTTGGAGACAAATAATGAAGAAAATTGTTGTTTTTTCATGTTCTTATTTTTGGTTTTATATTGATAAATGAATGTACCAATGATACACGGATTGTGCACTGTGTAATTTCTCTTTTTTAGATGCCACTTGCTTGTCTCTATGAAGATTTTTTTGCTGTGACTGAAATCTCCTACCTCCAAGGACACAAGGATGTTGGCTATTAGTAAAAGCTACAGGTCAGATCTGTGGAGAGGTGACTCTGCCCACAGTAAGATGAGTTTTCAAGGTGTTTTTGTACTATAAAAGAGTTAAATGCCATACTGTGGAATATTCTGATCAAATAGTGGGAGACCTCCCACCAGAAAGGTCACATCTTGCATCTCTTAAGTAAAATTGACAAATCAAATTGAAGAAAAATAATCTTGGTTTAGCCATAGTCGATAGAATAACTTTTGTAACTTCAATAAAGTAAGTTGCTTCACTCAAATTACGATTTCTATTCAATTATGGTGAATGTTGCGGGTCTGGATTTCATGTTGTTCATCAATCAAATAAACATGTTTCATCCCAGTAGGCTTGAGAAAGTTCAATGGTTGTCTTTTAGAACGGTTCTCTCTCTTTTTTTTCCATCAGCTGTATGTGGTTGTCAAGTGAGTCTGCGATTTATAAGCGCAGTAGTTGCCAGCACCACTCCTCGCTCAGTAGCAATGTGTCTGAACTTCTTTCCAAACCAATGACTTTTTATGTCTCGCTTTTCCAATACAGACAGTGGGATTGCCAAATATGGCCTGCTGCTTTATAATTGCAAAAGTGCCCTAGTATTTCACCATAGTTTCATTTTGTATTGGTTAAAACTTTTGGTGTACATGTAAAAGGATATTTTAATGTGTTTTGGTTAAGGGGTCAATGAAAGACTGCCCTTAAAGGTCCTATATTACATGAAACTGACTTGTGTGGGCTTTAGGTCACATTAGAATGCTGGTACTTTATCCAAAATCCTACTTGGAGTTATGTTTTGTTTCATTCACATGTTTAAGTAATCCTTTATTATAAATTACATCTCTAAGGCTCAAAATAGAGATGCACCGAAATGAAAATTTGTGGCCGAAACCGAATAAAAATTAAACACTTGGCTGAATACTGAAACCGAATATCAAATGTGGTTGTTAAGTTTTTCACAATTTTTTTTTAAAATATTGCACAAATAGCTTAGAATACATTTTTAGACATGTTTTTAAAGGAAAGTAATGCTTATTTAATATTTTTTGAATATTCCAGCAGCCTTTCCAGTAAGTATATCAGTAAGTTTTTCATTCATAGGCCTTCAAACAAAACAACAATTCCAAAAAAAAACTTAAGTGCATTAAAGTGGTAGCCTTATTCATCAGCCGGTTTTACTTTGTTTCACTTCGTAGAAACCGTCTGACCTCGCAGTGTTAGAATTCGTTCGCTCGACGGTAGGCAGGTACTTTTTATTATTTAACCAATCGCTGCTATTTAGTCATGACATGTAATGCACCGCTAACAGGGCTAACTATTATATTAAGCTTTTCCTAAATCCTGTAGGAGGAAGGGCAATAACATCCTTCCCCTTGATAAAATTCACCAAATTTTCTCTTTATTCTGGCTTTAAATCCTCGGGAATCAACAGTGAATATATGGCTCTTCCCTGATTGGCTGGTGCCCGAACTTGGACTTGCGGGGTTTTTGCGAACCATCTAGTGTATTTTGATTCCTGACCTAGTCGCTGGAAAGAAATTAAATTGAGCAGACGCACTAGGTGGCACCAGCCTGGCAATTAAAGTGGACAAACCCACAACAAATGAATTATTGTCCTTTTGGCACAAGTCTGCTTAGCCACAGTAGACAGGCTAATGATGTAAACAGAAGGCTCAAGTAAATGTCAACAAGTGTGTTCTTGTAACCTCATACACTTACATTTCCACATTGCCGACATTTAAAAGAAGGCGCCAGATCACCGCGTCACTGCACGTTGGTTGATTGCATCATTGCATCAAACGTCACTATTCGGGCTTACTTTTAACTCACTCCATCGAAAGCTAAATGTGTTTTTTTCTGCAATATTCGGCCAATATTCAGTACATCCCTAGTTCAAAATGCTCTGTTCCACCTTCCACCGTCATGAAGCGGTAGTTTTCAAGTTAGCAGCTACCTTTCACCTTTTGTTCAGTAGAGATGGGCAATTTCAGAGCTAAAATTATCCAAATGATTCTAGTGAAGGTGTTTGGAGTTTAAAAACACATCAAAGCACCTGAATTACCACGACATCACAAGCTGGAGCAGCGTTTTCTGTCTGAGAGAAGAACTCCTAGCCTAAATATGCAGCGTTTTTGTGTTAAACATGTGTGAATGAAACAAAACAAAACTCCAGGTATGTTTTGACGATGAAACAACATTATAACAGCTCAGAAAATAGCGTAATGTGAGCTCTTTAAGTCAGTATAATTGGACGTGTGCACAATAGTCCAGATTGTTAGCGTGCTTTCTACGTTAGTCCAGATGTAGACTTGGTTTGGTCCAGTTCAATTGCTTTTTGATGATAAAGCAGCTTGTGTTTATTTCTAACCACTGACTGTTTCATTGTTTGATTTTCTAACTTTGTGTTGGTGAAATAAACAATTGGGCCAAACCAAAATAGATGAATAGTTGAAATTGAATTGAATATTTCATGTAGAGTATTAAAGGTGTAGTGTAACTTTTCTGGCTGCTTGTCTCCATGGAGATATTACTGTTTAGCCAGTATGGAAATAAACTTGGAAATCACAATGAAAACAGGTTAATAGTCAAATCTGTGGAGAAGCAAGCCTGTCGATGGTAAGAATTCATGTTTTTAAGGTATTTTTGAGCTATAAAACACCTGTAATTGAACAAATTCACGGGAAATGCAGTATGTTTTAATGCTCTATTGTGGAATATTTCAGTCAAGAAAAAAACATCTCTGGAGACAAGCAAGAAACGGAGCCTCCACCTTTGAAGTTACGCAGTGCACCCTTAAATAATGTAGACTTTCTTTCAGACTTTCTCGCTTCTCCATACATGAAACCCCAACTACAGTCACATTTCTGAAATTCTCTACTCTTACTTTAATGTTTTGTTTTCGTCCTTATCCCACACTTAAGTACAGAGAAGGAGTTTCACGTTTCAGGATGAGCTCTGCAATAGCGGGTAACAGAGCCCCTCCACAAAAATTACCCCAATCAACCCCCAAAAACGAAGCCGGCCTTGACTTACCCTCTCACCGTGATCTCCGGGGAGACCTGGGGGGCCCTGCAGTCCGGGGGTACCAGGAACACCCTAAAACCACACAAACAGACAGATGTGTTTAGCGTATTATAGCCCATACCGCTAACCAGCCTTCCCCACCACAGGGCAGTCTGCGCAAGCCAACAAAGACAAAGAGTTCAAAAGGAATCCACCTCAAAAATCATGTACCCCCTCTCAGTTTCCTCACGATTCCAGACGCACGCACGCAACTCCACTAACTTTCCGTTTAAACATAACTAGCGGCAGACAAAACAATATATGTAAAAATAAGAAATTACATTAAATAAGTTTTAGCTAAGAAAAGGTACTCTAAATAAATTACAAAATAAAACAATTGGCATATGGTAACAGTAAGACACTTTGGGGTCACAATAGTTAATTTGGATGTAAAAACGTAAACAAAAGAGCTGTGGAACAACCCAATAAGTTTGCTGGTTGACTACTGATAAATACATATAGTGTCAGAATACTTTTGAATGAATGCTAAGTAGTATTATCTAGTATTTAGCAAGTTAAAATGTCTATTAGTTAACATTCCCACACACTGTGACTTGAATATGCCAGATAGTAAACATGTCTTGCCCAAGGACACAACGGTATAGAGTTAAGTGGGAATTTAACCATAAAGTAAGTAGACCATGTTCTCAAGCTTAAGAACCATTATCACCTCACTCTACTACTACTACTACTGCTGATACTGCTATGTCAACTGCTTCTACTACTACTACTGCTGCTGCTGGTGCCTTTTTCAGTTCCATCAGATATATTCCAGATGGTAGAAATGAAATGCCCAAGGACACAACAGCAGTATGAATAGATTTAAGTGGGAATTTAACCAAAACCAAGTAAGTAGGCCACTTCCTCAATCTTATGAACCGTCACCTCACCCTATTACTGCTAATACTAATACTAATACTACTACTAATACTACTCTGTCGGCTACTACGTCAAAGACTACTGCTACGTCAACTACTATTACTACTAATGTAACTACTACTACTACTACTACTACTACTACTACTACTACTACTACTACTACTACTACTACTACTACCACTATGTCAACTACTTTAACTACTAACATAGCTACTACTATTCTACTACTACTACAACTACCACTATCAGTACCACTACCACCACTACCACCACTACTACTACTACTACTACTACTACTACTACTACTAACTACTACTACTGATAATACTACTATATAACTACTACTACAACTGCTACAACTACTACTATGTCAACTACTATTACTACTAACGTAACTACTACTACTACTACTGATAATACTAGTATGTAACTACTACTACAAGTACTACTACTACTATTACAACTGCTACAACTACTAGTACTACGATGTCAACTACTATTCCTACTTATGTAACTATTACTACTACTGATAATACTACTACATAACTACTACAACTACTACTAGTACTATGTCAATTACTATTACCACTAATATAACTAATACTATTACTCGTAATACTACTATGTAACTACTACTACAACTACAACTACTACTACTATGTTGACTACTATTACTACTAATGTAACTACTATTACTACTGATAATACTACTATGCATCTACTACTACAACTACCACAACTACCACTGCTACTACTACTACTGCTGCTACAACAGCTACTAAAACTACAACTACTACTACTACAACTGCTACTACTACTAACTGCAAGTACGTCAACCACTACAACCATGTGAACTCCTACTGCTGCTGCCTCTCTCAATTCCATCAGATCACACATTTTGTCTTCCTCCCCAAAGTCATTTTCCATGCAGCCATTATCCCTTCAGCTTTCCTCCGTCTGTGAGAAACCGACAGGAGAAAGGAGCGAGGAGTGAGTGGGAGAATGTGATACTCACCGCTGGGCCGGGCGCTCCTTGGGCTCCTTCAATAAGCATCCCCTGAAAAGTACAGAAAGAAGAGATGATATAGGAGTTTATGTTGGAAGACAGTAAATGCAAGTGCGGAATGGACACTTCTATGGAGTATTACTGCAGTGCTAACACATTTACATATTCAGATCACCATGTTACCTTTTTTATCCACAGGGAATATTGTGTTAACATGTGCAATAAGTTCAAGTTTTGTTTTTGACACTCTTTTCTCCCTCTGCTAATTTACTCCCCCTTTAGAGCGCTATCACACCCCCACACCTTAAACTATTGCACATCATATAAGGTTTGAGAAGCTGTAGTGTATTACCGTATTTTTCGGACTATAAGGCGTACTTAAAATCCTTTAATTTTGTCAAAAATTGACAGTGCCCCTTGTGTATTAATTCTGGTTGTGCTTACTGAAATCAAAACGATTTTATGTTGTACAGAGCACTCAAAAATCTCAAAAAACAAGCTGTTTTTTTTCAGTGCTTATAGTTTATGCAAATTAGCCATGTGGTTTTAAGTTTTGCTTCTGTAAAACGAAACAAATGTGCGCAATGTATATTTGAGTCCTTCTTGTAGGAAATCAAAAAAAAAAAAAAAAAAAAACTTAAATTATCCACCTACATTCACATTTATAATACACATTCAACAAGACAGGGAGGAAACCCCGGACAAATTACACCGCGATCTGCCAGTGAATCGTGGACGCCTGGGCTAAGGGATCTATCTGAAATGTCGTCCGTTTGTTTCACTTATCATCTGGTGTGTATGTATGAAAATAGATGAGAGAATTCAACATTATTGATATTGCGCTTTATAAACCAGTGAGCCTTATAGTCCCAAAAATACAATATTTTTTATTTTGATGTAGGCTTGTGGGCTGAGCTTTAGATACGATTGTAGTGCCTGGATGATGGATAAAACCTCTTCAGGGATGTTTTTGATGAGGGAACAATGTTATAATATGCTAAAAAGCTCTAAAAAGCATAATAATTTAGCATAATACCCTCTCTTTAACAATTAGTGTTACAAAATTTTAACACTTAAAATAAAGTGTCCAATTGATATAATAGTTGTTTGAAGATGTTACAATAGGATATATATGGAATTTAACATGTGAAGGTCACTTAAAGAATATTTTTGCACAAAGTTTGGGAACTATTGGAAGAAATTTCAAACATCTTGATGAAGCATTGTCCTGACTCTTAGCTACTAGTGAAATCAGGTTATGTGTTTTTTAGGATTCCCATTAGCTGCTATTCTTCCTAGGGTAGATAAACATACTTGAAGGTGTGCTGTGTAACTTTTTGGTTGGGGGTCCATCACCTCCGTGTTTTTAGGGAAATATTTTATGATTGCTCTGTCTGGAATGTTCCACAGTGTGACATTAAACAGTTCTACCTCACATTTATTGAATTACAAGTGGTTTTATAGCTCAAAAACACCTGGAAAAACAGGCATTCTCACTTGGTCTGGTTTGATCTCCATGAAGATAGAAAGGTTTATTACCATACTGTGAAACATCCCAAACAAAATAATTACGACTCTACGGAGAAAAGCATTTGGCGGCCCTTTCACCAGAAAAGTTACACACTGTACCTTTTAACCAGCGATTCTCGTGACGATTGTTGTTGCTTTCTCACAACGACTAAACACAAAACCAAACTTTGACATCATAACATTTTTAGTGTGGTGACGGTTTTGGTATAAGATGACAGAGAGGTAAAGATATGGCAGAAGAGACATGCAGTTTTGTAAGCCAGTGTTTAGCCTTGTGGTAAATCCTCTCTATATAGAACATATGTGTTGTGGTGTGTTACAGCAGACAGTGGTTGTTGTGTCTACAGCTAGCAGAGCAAAGATGGAGTCATATGTGTGTCATATCATAGACTGTACTGGGTAGAATACTTGGAAATACTGAATACTACTGATTTAATGTACTAATGTTTTTTTTGTACATTCCAATACATGGCCCAATCGCAGTGTTGTGTTCGGAATACAGTACCAAGAATACATCCACTTTATGCTGCAGTTTGGAGTGTCACAATATCCAATTTTTGTGTTTTATGTGAAAAGAAATATCAGGATTTAAAGATTGTTCACAATTATTAACACCATGACCAAACAGCACAGCAATAGAATAGAATAGAAAGCGATTTGTGTTGCATTTTTTGTATGAAAAGTGCTCTGTAAATAAAGTTTGACTGACTGATTGATTAATTGAATTTGAAATCCTTAGTTTTTATGTATGTTAACTTTAGGGATGTAACCATATCCAAATCTCATGGAAACAATATTTTGTGGAGACTTAACAAAATGGCTTCTTTTAAAATGCCTTGACAATTTACAGTTCTGTCATAAACCAAAGAATGAAGAATGAAATGCTTAATAACTGTTATTTCTTCATGTAGTCTGTGCAGAACATAGCAAATGTTCATTGTATATGTGGTTTCCTCTACTTTTTTAGCTGTTGCTGTACCATAACAATGAATTTAAGCAAAGAGACTTGTGAATTGTGAAGGCCAACATTATTATCATGAGACTTTGGATGGTACAGTATCACGACATTTCAGTTATTGTTACATCCTTCAAAAATGTGATTAGGTTTGTGAAATCAAACTTTCTGAATGTGAAGTTTGTTAATTTGCTTCTAAAACGGCACCATTATTATTATTTTTAGTTCTTATGATTATTGTGACCTGAATAATCATGATTATTGATTAAAAATCCTATATTACACAAAATTGAGAGCTTAAAGCCATGTTATAATGCTGTTAACTCCTCAAAAACATACCTGGAGTTGTGTTTTGTGTGAATGAATGATATATATGACTACTAGATCTTATGATTAAATATGCAGGGTTTGTTTTAAACATGTATGAATGAAACAAAACACAACTCCAGGTGTTTGTGATGAGAAAAGAGCATTATAACACAGATCCGAAAATAGTGTTATATGGGCCTTTTACCCTAATCATCTTGACATTCTTAGTTGTATTATATTCCAATGAAAAAAGCTGTTTTTGTTCGTTATGCATTTATTTATCACTATTAGAGAAGGGAAATTTGCACATGCCCACACCACAAGCACTGTAGTTTTCTATTTTGTTATGAATACCATGCAGTTTCAATATTAAATTGATAAAATACCACAATGTATTCCTTTGATTTCAGGAAAGTGACTGCATTCTGAAGTCCACCAAAGTAAATAGAAACAGAATACAGACAGTGATTCAAAATGAGTATTCTGAATGTGTAATTGTGGTAGATGTATTAGTTACTTCCCGACACACATAGATCATAGATGATGTTGGCACATGAAACAAAAAGCAAAAGAGGAGCTAAACAGTAGAATGTAAACTATAACCAGATGAAAACAAATGTGTTGATGTTTTTCTCCATGGCACATTTAGGAATAACTGTGAACTATTCTTTCATGCACAAAATCATTTATCACCTCCTGTTTATTCTCATCAGTGTGTTGGTCCGTGTTTAGAAAGGAAAATTAACAATATCCATCTAAAACAACTTAGCTGCTCAACCTGCATTTTAGCTGTGTTTGTTAAACCTACCTCATGACATCTGTTTCAAATTGACCAAACACTTGGCTATTACATTTGATTATAAACTTCATGTTTATTTTGAATTGTTGGTGTTTGGTGAAAATTAGCAGTAGGTTTTCATTCCATGATCAAAACAATGAGACAATAAATAGTAGCGCAAAATTCACTTTCAGTTTCTTAAAGGCGCTTTACTTGATATTTACGGCTTACAAACAGGAAAAAATTTAAAAATAGCTTGTACAGTGTGTGGCCGTGTTAGGTGTGATTTACAGTTAGGAAGTGTGCATATTATTTCTGACATGTCAATGACAAAATACAGGATGCAGCTATGTTGTGCAGCAGATTTGCACCTGAGGATCACAGAGTTTTTGCTCTCAGTTCTGAATCTGGCGGCACCCACTAAACAGCTTCATTTGCATTTCCTCTACCTCAGACTTTGCACATGTTGGTAAAAACATGCCGTTTTGTAGATTCTTTTACTTATAGGAGCAAAACTGTGCTGTGTCTTTTTATTATAAAGTCTCTCTCTGTGAAATTGGTTTGGTTTTTGCTCCATTTTTAATCTATTTAGCTATTTAGCACATGAGGCCATTAGAGCAGAATGACCAGATTATCAAAATAAAAAACTGGGACATCCCTGGTTTGTGTTGGCTGGTGATAATCAATTTGCGAAACAAGTGCATAATTAAGGAAAACTGTTCTGTGAGTCACTATAGTCACATTTTCTTTAAGTTTTGGTCATTTTTACCAGGTTTTCTGTATTTTACCTAAACAAATAACAATTTATGCCTCTCTTTACTGTTGGCAGGGATCAGATTGGTCTAAAATAGGGACACCTGGGACGAATCTTTCTGGGATAAGGGACAAAAGGCTCAAAACTGGGACTGTCCCGGGTAAATAGCGACATCTGATCACCCTATAGTAGAGGTAAGAGAGGAGTTTTGCTGTCATGCCAAAACACGCAAACAGTGCACTTCTGATTCATAAATAATAAAACATTTTATAACTACAGACAACACACAGTAGTCTTATTATGACAGTAAGAGCTGCTATTCATTATACCTGTACTAGGGCAAGACCAAATTTGGAAAACTTTGGGGAAGAGAATTGAGTACAGTGACGTTAATCTGAAGCATACTCACTGGTTCAATCACAGCAGGCTCTCCTTTCTCCCCCTTCTCTCCCAGGTAACTGTGTCCATGGACCTACAGAAGAGGAAAAAACATTTAAGTCTATATATAAAACATTAACATTATCAAAAACTATGCCATCTGTCATTTTCTTGCCCAGTAGCCCTTCCTTGGTTTTATGACGTGTGAAAAATGCTGAGTTGGTTGCAACATGCATGAAAAGACTTGGGTAGCTCAGAGACTGTATTTTGGACTACTGGAAAATCTAACCTCAAATATCATTCAACGAGAAGCTGTAATTTCATCTTTGGTCTTGCTCCTGTTTACTAAGCCAATAAGAGCAAAAGACCCCAACTGCGGCTGAAAACAGGGCTTGATACCTGACACTGTCCATACAATGATTTCACATATAAAGAATCTGACAGACCAGCTACTGCGCGATGTGTGTTCAAACCACTAAACAGTACAGCAGAGGAGGAAATCTTTTTGGGGCAAACGGTGAAAGCTTTGGGAGACTGGAATATAGTAACTGAGTGTGTGAGATTAACTAGAGCGGACTTATGTCAAGCCAAAATCCAACCATACTGAGGATGTGTTAGCTCCTGTTTAAATGTTGAGGCTGGCCGTGGATTAGAAGAGAGCTCTGACTAAGATGACTTTTTAAATTAGATTCAGACTGATTTGTTTGTTTAAAGGGCCTGTACCTGATTTAAATTTATTCTGGTCGAAGTAAATGCTCTTTACATCATGCGTTGTAAGGTAAAAGCTGCTAAATAAGACAAGAAAATGACACTGTAAAGTATAATCTGTTCATTTTACATAGCTTTTTCTCAGGTAATAACTGATACAGAAGCTACTTTCAGGGTCTCCTCTTTTCATCTAATCAGGCACAGTTACTAAGAACCATGAAATATCAACTGCTTGACACTATCCCACTTGACTGACACTTGATTTTCTGTGACGGTGCATTTTCAAGAGCGATAATACATGTTAAAGTAGGCAGACTGGAGAACTATAAGGAAACAAGTGCATTATCTGTGTCTCTGTGTAGTGGTACATTATCACAGTGGCATAAAGGACGAAGTGGGCGAGGCTAAAAGTTAAAATTAAAACATGTTCAAAACCAGATACTGATTCTTGTGAGTTAAAGAATTTGGTGTGCACATAAATAAATATATTTTCAGTGGCCCATATTATTCTATTTTCTGATCTACGTTATAATGTTTCCTCATCATTAACATACCTGGAGTTGTGTTTTCTTTCATTCACACACCTTTTTAGCACAAATCCTGCATATTTAAGTCTCTCAAAAAGAAAAACACGCAGTTCCATCTTGTGATGTCATGTGGCGATACAGGAAGAGCAACACTTTGTTTTTAAACTCCATGCACCTTCACTAGAATCATTTGGATAATTTAAGATCTGGAATTGCCAATCTCAACAGAACCAAAGAGAAAAGGTTAACTTGAAAACTAACACTTCAGGACATCGCAGGGTTGAACAGAGCATTTTAAGCTTTGGAGACGTAGACAGACTAAAAATAAAGAATTACTCGAATATGTGTGAATGAAACAAGACATAATTTCATGTTTTTGATGAGGTTACTACATTCTGGAGTTGTTTCATTCGCACATGTTTGAGTAATCCTAGTTTATCCATCTGTCATGAAGTAGTAGTCATGTTAACAGCTCCTTTTAACCTTTAGCTCAGTAGAGATTGGTAATTCCAGGGCTGAAATCATCCAAATCATTCTTAAAAACACACTGGAGGGCTTCCTGTATTGCTACGCGACATCGCAAGGTGGAACAGCATTTTCCATTTGAGAGAAGCCGAGTTCATCTATTAAACCTGTTTGTGAATGAAACAAAACACAATTCCAGGTATGTTTGTAATAAGAAAACATCATAACATAGATGAGAAAATAATGTAATATGGGCCCTTTAATTACTGCTTGTGTTGTCTTGAATTGAAAATAAATAAATTGGTTGCTTCTTAAACGCTTGTGTGATAATGCTGCCATGTTACTAAAAGGCCATGATATCTAAAATGTAGCTATAGTAATCCAATTAAATTACTAACTAGAAAAAAACTAAATAAACTACTGTGAATTCTGGGTACAAATGACTTAAATACATGTCTTAAAATGAAATCCAGACTTGTATCTGTCTCTGGAGATAAATAAACTTAAAGTCATATTATAAGGCATTCCTGATTGAGCCAAGCAGATCACAGGCCTTCTATCAGAAAAGTTGCGTCGTGCACCTTTAATACACACTGATTTAAACTGTTGAGTTCCTAGGTACGGCATAAGAACAATGCTTCATTCAGAAATACCAGACAGATTTCAGTCCAGAGTCTAACAAAGACACTTCCTGCCTGTTCAGTTCAAAATCCCAAGACGGAAATTGCACTGGATATTGGCCACGGCAGATACTAGCTCAGCAAAAAGTTTGGCCAATTTGACACAGATTTGGAAGAATTTGGACCAAAAAAAATGGCAAGTTTACATTTGGCATCAGTCAAGAGATTTGCTGTTTCTAATAAACTCCGGCGGTCACAAAGGTCGAAGGTTAAAGGGGGTGTGTCTGCGTTTTGCCAGCTGGTTCCACATCTGTTTATATGCACTGAGAGAAGGGCCGCATCCCATTTCAAAGTATTCAAAGAGACAACTCCTTGATCCCACTGCTGATGATAGTGAAAGTAGAGGAATTTGAGAGCTGGCTTTCATTTCAAAAGACTGGCGATTTTTTATGTTCATTCATATTTTAGAAGGCAGACCTGATTACTATAAGGAATGACCGAGCCTAAGATTTTAATATCATTGTTTGAACCCAATAAACTACCACTACTACTACTACTGCTAGTTCTACTTATACTACTACACATTTTTTTTAATACACTCTATTTTAATTGTGGTCACTTTCAGTCTCCTGTCTCATGTGTTAATTTATTTTTCTATATAACATTTTTCGGCGAGGTTCCTACACCTTCTTGTCCTACTGTCCTTGTCCTACTTGACCTACTTGTACAACTACTAGGCCAAATTACTGGTCAGATCTGTGGAGAGGGGACACAGCTCACTGTAACAGAATGCTTGTTTTCAATGTATATTTCTAGCAATAAAAACACTGGTAATTGAGAAAAAAGTGAACACTAAATAAGTCCAATGCCACACTGCAAGAGCAATAATGTGGCAGCCGTCCAATCAGAAAAGTTACACACTATACCTTTAAAAAGATGATTTATCGCAAGGTGAATGCTTTGTGTTCTTTGGTTTGCATTGTGGTCTATGTACTGGCCGTTTCCTCTGAGCTAAAACCAGATACTAACTAAAAAACAACAATAAACTGCCCCCATCAGCCCTGTCTGATGTCTGCAGAATCTATTCCACAGCCATATTTGGGGAGTGGGGAGGATTTTCATTAGGTCTTGCTGCTGTTCAGTGTTAACTTGCCAAAAGCATGAATATAAGGAGGTTGAGTCTAAACTATTCAGCCAAGCAGAGGTACAGTAGGCCTGTTATAATAATTACGACATGAATCAATACATGAGAGATAGAAAAATCATTTTGAGGGGTCAATATTTATCATGGGTACATTTTCTTTGTACAAGTACTTTTTATTTTCTCTGTACAACAACAAGAGCTGTAGAGGACTGAATAAATAACTTCTATGACTCATTATGTGTTCCATTTATGTACTGCAATGCATGTTTACTAGCAATAAAGTACTTTTTTAGAGGGGAGGGGGCTGCTTTTGAGTCAGTAGCATAATGGCTGTTGTTTATCACCTATATTTTCTTCAGTAATATATCATTCTTCAAAGCAGGTTTAAGCAGCGAGAAAGCTTTCTAAGCAATAGAGCATGATGTGGCATCAGTAATAAATTAGCCTTGTTGATAACAGATGTTACAGATGTGAACTTTGCTGTGCTAACCAGGGAATTGTCCAAGATCTCTTTTTAGGAGTAATTTTCTTGTCAAGAAACAAAATAAAACAGAGCAAAACTGTTCGTCAATAACAAACGAGCCCATCAATATGTTTTTTGCATCAACGGGGTGTGTGACAAATATTTCTACCTCCAGGTCCAAATTCAGACTGAATCAAGAATTGCAGTTTTGTTTATTTTTTTCATTTGCGTGGACATGACTTAAAAAGTGTCATTTAATACCATATGAACTTACAGAGCTTTCCCTGATGTCAGTTTCAGCTGGGACTCCTGGACCAAACTCCTCTTCCTCTGCTGTGGGCTTAGCTGGACCTGCGCCGTACTCATACTCCCCATACTCATACTCCTTCTCTACAAACTCCTTGTTGTCATACGTTTTCAAGTCGTACTCCTTGAATTCGTAAATGTCAGTTGTGGGTCCAGCTTTCTCTTCAGTGACCTCAGGGGGAGGGGTTTCCACAGCTGGAGTAGGCTCCGCCCCCACCTGCTCCACTCCGGTGATGTAATCGTCAACAATCTCCTCGGTAAAGGTCTGGCATGGATCCAAAAGTCATGCCAAAAATGAGAGAAAGAGGAGAGGAGAGAGAGGGGGAGGGAGGACATGGAAGTTAAGTTAGTGAAGAAGTGACACCATGTGAGAGGAATTCACATGTTTATGGAAATATCAGGTTAACTATTACGATTTCCCAACTCCAAAATGGCAAAAACAACTGAAATTTTATCAAGAAAGTTTCAGTTCAGAAAAGCAACATTCAATCTCTAACATATGCGCAAGTCAACATATGTTTAAAAGATATATACTGGTTTATCTCAGTGATCATAAAATTACTTAAAATTGATTTTGCCATTTGGATTGACAGCCGTACTCAAGATTTAAGAAGTTGCTGAGGTCAAAAAAATATCTTGGAACTGGGTGCACTTGTTGACTATGCTATACTTGTCAATTGTGAATGCATCACCCAAGTTTATTCTTGTTTTTGTATGATATTGGTAGAATGTTTGCCCATTAATACAAGAGATACTGACATTATGCACATGGGCAAGACACTTCAATTTGCTACACTGAAATAAATTGGTCTATATAAGTGTGAATGATCCTCTGATGCGACTTATTACTAGTAAATTTGACCATAAATATATGAAAAGTTTTTTTGGATTTAGGTCTAAGTTGATTCTTAAATTGTCAAATACAAAAACACGAATTAACCTCAGTAACTACGTCATTGTGTACGGCTATATTTGGATGGGAAACAGTCAAATAAAACAACAAAATCATTCAAATATAAAATTATATGGGAAAAGCATATGGGAAATAATGTACAATCTTTTATAAATTGTACAGAAGAAACACCATAACTTTGTACCATTTAGAAGAAATGAATGGTTTCCCGTAACAGCTGCGATGACCATTAAAGGGCCCATACGACGCTGTTTTTATCTATGTTATAATGTGGTCTCCTCATTAAAAACATAGCTGGAGTTGTGTTTTGTTTCATGCTTGTATATTTAACACACAGACCCTGCATATTTAGGCTGAGTTCTTCTCTCAAACAGACTAAAAACACAGCGTTACTCAAACAAAACACAACTCCAAGTATGTTTTGAGCAGGTAACAGCATTATAACAGGACCTTTAATAAATTCAATTCAAATATTACCATCTGCTGTAAGTTCTCTGGTCGCTCATGCACTTTTTAGACCACGTTTATATGAGCTGCAATGACCCATATAATTAAATTAGATGAAATATAACAACTTGCGAGTTACAAAGTTGTTTATGTCATATAGGATCATAGCATAGTCCAACAAATCCATGTTTGTTATGTTAAATAAATTGTAAAAGTTCTTCCATGTTGTTAACAGGTATGAATTCGAGGAGTCCTCTTCATGTGTGTAAATATTTGGCTCGCGTGTACAGGTTTTGAGCCAAGTAAGAGTCCACGAAGTAGTCACATAATCATTCAAAATGAAGATTGTTTTAAGCTTGTTTTGTTAACTCTTTAGAAAGGCACAGCTGATTATTCATGTGCGGTCAAAACGTCAAGGCGTTGTACGTGATTTCTAGGGTTTCAAAAACTTGGAAAACAGAACTACAACTTTGAGAAGCCAGAGTAGAACTTTGGCATTAACAAAAACTAGGATGCTACCACTGAACCAGCATTACTTCCTGGTTCACAGACAATAAAAACACTTTATAATTAGATTCTGACAATACACAGTGCTTTTATTTTGAATAAACTATATCTGTACTGGGGCAAAGCTACAGTAATTTTGCTTTATTACATGAAAAAGAAATCGGGTTCAGCCAACTTGAAGATGACTATTATATTGTATTATATTATGAGTTTAATATTTGATGATTTTTTTGTTTTAAAGCTATTGTAGATCTGTCAAGTAACTCAAAGTTTTGAAGGGTTGAAGTGCTCACATCACTCCTAACAGAATTATTGTGGGTAATTGATTGGAACAGTATTTGCAATCAAAATGAAAATTAAATTAGCTCTAACTAAATCACACAATTTCAAGATAAAAAGCTCTTCCAAAGGGTATACTACCTACTTGTATGGAAACAATACTGCATGTTTCCACTTGCAGAATAAACCTAAGGCAAAGTTGTCCTCAGTAATTAGCCCAATGTTCCTATATGGGCCGGCATATGTTAGCATTTGTGGGTAACCCTCCAGGCTGTCTCCTTTAATAAATGTATAGTTTAAAGCTGATTGAAGTTTCCTTATCCACCTTCAAGGTACATCGAGGCGCAGGCAGCAGACACTGGCCCCAAAAGGTTTCATTTCACTCCCCGAATGTTCTTCATTACCTTTTATTTGATGGTTTAGCTCAAATTGAGACAGGATCGGCCAAATTCGGGATATGGCAGGAGTAAATGGGATGCGTCTGACTGCTGATTTTCCATTGGTTATGCTTCGGTACATGACAAAGTTTCCCTTCAAACCCCCATATTGTATACTGTAGTGGAGTATAGGGTTTCTTTGAAGGTGGTGGTTTCTTTATGGGCTCAAAGGCAGAGGATGAAAACCAGTTGGATTTGAACAAGGCCAGACAAGATTTAGGCCTCCAAAGTAGATGACAGAAATGTGTTTTTGTTTTGAGCTTAACTGTAATAAATATGAAACAGTACCAACCGGATACAATGCCAGCTCTCTGTGCTGTAATAAATAGGGGATTAGGCAACCGGGACCATTGCTAATATGACTAAACAAAAGTGATTTATTGATAATTTTGTTAGGAAAATGCAACTATACACATTTAATACAGTTGGTATGCTGACCTCACACTTTTTTGAGGAAACTGTACTTTTTATCAGCATACTTTGAATCTTACTTGAGTGATATTTGTAGTGTACTCTTGGTTCCTCTTCCCACTGTGAGAAAGTGTACAAGAGAAAAAAGCTTTACGTTGACAATACTTTTTAATCTTACTTGAGTAATGTCTTGGACCACCACTTTGTACTTCTACTTGAGTAATATTATTTTGAAACAACGTCACTTTTACTCGACCGTAATAGGTCTAGAAATCAGGTTTAATTATATTATTAGTTCAACTGGATTTTGTTCTTCTTTTTCTCAAACCTTTCCGGTGTATTGTTTTGAGTATTTTCCTACCTGGATGATTATTTAGAGTGGGGCGGAGGTATCACTTTACCTTTTCCTGTCCTGCGGTGTCAGTGTTGGTGTCTGGGGGCCCTCCATCCACAGTGGTGTAGTCGTATTCACTGGGGTAATATTCAGCTCCTGCGTCTGTCTGTAAAACACAAAACTTAATATATTAGAGAAGAAAAAAATACAGTCACAGTCTACGTGCACGAATCAATCCCTCACCAGCCTGCGTTCTCTCAAATGAAGTTACATACTGACAAATGTAAGGCAAGTTTCTCAATAGGATCTTATCTTGCAAGGAAATGGAAACCAGAAGTAGCTCCTATATTGTGCATTTCTTTAAAGCTGAGAGAGACTAAACCTTTATTTGTCGCACAAGTTGAAAATATGCAGTCTGAAATTAAGATAAATACATAGTTAGCTATAAATATAGACTTAAATCTAACATTAATATGAGAAATAGATTGAATAGAGTTTACTAAAGTACAACTGTCTTTGTATGTTGTAACAAATGTTTTGGAAATCATCTTAAAAACCTAAATTATTATCTTTTAATGTTACTGTATGGGGAAACTCCTGGAGGAATGAGGGGCTCCATGCAAAAAAACAAAACAAAAAAATAATGGATTATCATAATGCCAATACCAGCTGTTGCATTTTTTACACATGTGCAGAATAGTTTCACAATAGAACACAAATTACACCACTTTGCACATGGGAGTTATTTTCATGTTTACATGCAGATGCAGTTCAATAGTTTAGTAGTTTAGCAGTACGCCGTTTACCTCTGCTTTGGTTGGTTCGGTCGGGGGAGGCCCTGTGGTGACCTCTCCTTCACTGTAGTCATAGAACTCCCCATAGTCATAGTTAGTGTACTGTAAAAGAAGAGACAGGACAGCCCAAATCACCAAATCAGTCATGTAAACAGTAATGCACAATACCGTTAAGATATTATGCTTATTTACATGATGGTTAAAGTGGATGTATTTCAAACGATAGCATGTTTGAAATACCTTATTACCCAAATTATTATGTTTTGTAAGATTTTATTCAGAAATTAAAAGCGTTATACCTGATTTTTACCGTCTGAAAGTGGGGCTAAACACATAAACTCCTCCTATAACCATGTTTCAAATAGAGCGGATAAACTGGGTAGTGCCTAAAGGACTAAAGAAGAGAATGAGAGAAGAGGAGGGGCAGGGTCTGAAGGTATAAAAACATTGTGATTGGTCTAACAGGTACTTCAAAGTGTAACGTCTAAATAGACCTTTTGGATCTAGCAAAATGACATGTTAAAAATATTATAAAAATAAAATATGTGTGCATTATGTATGTAACTATGAAGTAGTGTTGCCCCCCAAAAATATCAATTTAATGTAAATAAATACAGCGGGAAAAAAAGATAAAAAGGAATTGAGGTTGCAGTTTGAAATGTTGTAAATGTGACAACCCTAAAATGTAAATATACACACGTGACTGAATATACACACACACATCTATGTATACTTGGTCTAGTACAGATTTATAACTACTGAAGTTCCATTAATGGGGGGTACTCAACAGTATGAGACAGTAAAGGTCGGGAACCAATGCTTGCTCTTTACAAAACCACAATCTAGCAGTGTTTTTCCCCCGGCACTTTTATCAACCTGAACACTGGTTTGTTCTCATGCACTTTGTTTCTGTTTTGCAAATCGAGAAGTGGGTATCTGATAAGGATCTCACACGTCCTCAGTTAGGGACTTACAGGAAATAACATGCGCACCGTGTCTCTGTGCTGCAGTATTCATTATAAGGGCTGTCAGTGCGGATAACACCTCTCACTGTCAGATTTGAGATTTCCTTTTTTCATTCAGAACCAGGAGGTACAAAGCCATGGAAGACAACACATCCTACTATGACGATGATGGTTTTTTTTCCCCCTGTGACAGCGAATTTTTGACAAACTTTGGACAAGTGTTTATACCAGTTTTGTACATTTTGGTCTTCATCCTTGGTTTTGTGGGTAATGGCCTGGTGGTGGGAGTCCTGCTGAAACACTGTCACAGGTCGAACCTGACAGACATGTGTCTGATGCAGCTGGCTGTGTCTGACCTGCTGTTCCTGCTCACTCTGCCTCTGTTCGCTCACTACATTGGCAGTTCTTCCTGGATCTTTGGAGACTTCATGTGTCACATCAACGGAGGTCTGCACAACGTGGGCTACTACAGCAGCACCTTCTTCATGGTGGTTATGACTCTGGATCGATATGTGCTCATCCAATTCGCTCAAAAGGCCTCCAAATACCGCACCAGGAAAACTGGGATGGTTGTGATCACATGTGTTTGGGCTCTGAGCTTCTGCGCATCACTGCCAGCCTTCATCTTAACACAAGCGGGAAAAGATACAGAAGATTCAGAATATGTTAGTTGTCAAGAAGACAGAACCTGGGAGAAATATAACATCTTTTCCACAAATATCCTGGGTCTTGTGCTTCCTTACACTGTGATGGTGGTGTGTTACTCCAGGATCATCCCTACTCTGATGAAAATAAGGAGTACACAGAAACACCGCAGTGTCAAGCTCATCATCTGCGTCATGGTGGCATTCTTTCTTTTCTGGGCTCCGTACAACATCACTTTATTTCTGTATTACTTGAAATTAGTAGATGTACTGGCAGACAGCTGTGAACTGGACACAAACCTTAGGCTCTCCATCACAGTAACAGAGACTGTGGCCTACAGTCACTGCTGTCTGAACCCCATCATCTACGCCTTTGCAGGGCAGAAGTTCATGAAGCGCTCCCTTAAGATGCTGAGGAAGCTGCTGCCGTGGGCCCACTCCAGCAGAGACGTGTTCGAGAGTTCATTCAGAATGGGTTCAGTAACGTCACGAAACTCAGTCACAACTACTGTCATGTGAGATGCAGATGGCTGTTTTTTATGTGTGTGTTGGGATACTTAGTTATGTGGTATTGCATGTGAGAACCACAATAGCATTGACATTTAAATGTACATGCTTTTCTATGGCATAAAATTGCTTACTTTTTGATTTTGTGCACTTTTTTCTGTCAAATAAAACCAGTTCAGAAAAAAAATCATGGTGAAGTTCTTACCTATAGGAGACACATTACTCAGACTTTAGCTCCTGTTTTGCTTAAACAGATAAATGCATCTCCTCTGAACCTCAGCTCACACTGTTAGTCTAATCAAAAAGTGTTTTTATTGAGTATAATGTCTTGTGCTTACGTGTTTTCATGTGAGACTCACTGTCGTTGTGGCTCTGGCTCTCCTCAGTGAAACTGGTCCTGTTCTGTCAGGAGTCAGCTTCATCTCTGTGTATAGGGTTTTATATGTTTATTTTGTTTTCATTTTCTTCATATCCTCAAGCTGATACAAGCCGCATGTGAATCCAATGCTGGCGGTGTTTATTCCTGCCTGCTTTCTACAGGCGCCCAATCAAGCACAAGCATAGGAAAAAGCAACCAATGACAGCACATGTAAAGGGGGACTTGTCCAATCAGAGATGACTAAGTATGTCCCTGACAGACAGCCAGAGCAGCCAATCAGAGTAGAGGACAAAATCACAGAAAGAGCACTTTGTAAAGGGAGAGATAGAGACACGCTCAGAGCATGCTCCTGTCCTGTACTGTACTATACTGTACTAGGGTACTCAGGTATTGTTAAAGTCATGGGGAGAGTGTACTGACCTCTCAAAGAGGTGGTGGTACTTAAGAGGGGCATTTTTAGAAGTGGTGGGAAATACATGGGAAAAATCAGGCACAGAGCCTTTAAAATACCTTGTTTAATTGCACAGGAAGTTATACACATACAATATGAAGCCAGAAGAATGTCCCGTTTAATGTTAGCTCTAACCACTAGCTTTCATTTATTGGGTTGTTAAAAGGAGAGATTAGGCCATCACGTGTTGGTAAATGAAGGGATAGGAGAACAAAACAGTAGCAGGGGGTCTGACCACTGCTGCGGCATCTGTGCAGCTAACACGTGCTAACGATTTGACATGTTTTATAGCAAACATTACAGTGTCTACCATTCGGAAGTAATACATTTAGCTTTAATTCTGTGTTTAAATGAATACCAAAGAACGGGGAAATTTTAAGACAATGTTAAAAGTGTCTATGTCTGTGTGATTCGCATAGACAAAATCCATTTCTTTTTTTCCTTTTCATTAGGAGTCTAAGCTTGGCAGATGAATAAAATCTTCTAAGAAATGACAATGGTTAGATTAGCAAACCCACAACCACAAAACTGTAGCTTGTTATTCTTGATCAGGCTAACAAGTTCTTATAAGTAAAAGTCCACTGCATTGTTCGCCAAGAGTAAGCTTATTGAAGGATGGATGTGGTAAAGCCATTTTCAGTTGCAAATGTGGTAAAATATCTTTAAAAACATACAGAAGTTTTAAGCATTTAACTTGTAAGTTGTGTTTTTTTACAGACTAGATACATTTCTCAACACACAACATCACTAAAATGTGGAAGTGGGTAGTCGCCTTACTTTTTAAAGAATTGAACTTGTCAGCGTATTTATCTAGCAGCATACTTTTGTTCCTACTTTAGTAATATTTTATTGAAGTAACAGCAATCTTGCTTGAGTAAAAATTTTGGTTGGTTTTGGTCTTCCCACAGTGAGGAGATGACAAGTTTCATGTTGAATATAAAATTGTTTGAACATTTGTGATTCTTACACTGCTCCTTCAGACACGTATGATTTTGTTTTTCTATTTTTTTTGTGAAATATTCTTTCAAAATAAGAGATTTTTTTCGCATTAAAGTTTTGTCCTTCCATCTACATTAACTTTGAATTATAAATCAGAAGTTGTATCCCATTAGTTAGTCTAGATAGTAGTTTCCCCCCATTTTTTTTTTTTTTTTTCATTCTTACATTCTTTCATTCTTACTCATTCTTTCTTTCGCGTTTTATTGGACCACTACTTAATACTTCTAGTAGAGTGATATGATTTTGAAGTAACATATGATTTTGGCTACTGAAATGTAAAAGCTGATGATACCATTACAAGAAAAATCCCCCACAAAATCCATGCAATTTTAAAGAGATATTTTTTGAGCATGGAGCGACTGTCATTTTCATGTCTCTGTTGCCGTCTTTCTCCCCCATATCTCTCTCTAGTCGCAGAGGAAGGATAAATCAGATTGAGTTAGCGCACAATCCGCTGATCTCCGCCTCTCTATCAGAGCGGGGATTCAGACGAGCCCCCTGACGACCGCCGAGATCATCAAAACACCATCAAATCCGCAACTGCCTGTTTGGCTCGTCTCGTGTCCAGTCAGTGACCAAATGAGAGGTCAAAATGAAGAGAGTCTTTGGCCAGACGGTACTGACTAAAAGAAAAGAGAGAAACAGAGATTGTGGAGGAACGATTTATAATGATTTATGGTCTTGAAGAACTTGGCTGTGCCCGGGCTTGGATGAAAGGTGAAAATACTGAAGAGATGTCATAAAATAGTGCTTGGTTGCGTCTTCTGCATGGTTCCCTTTGTTTTTCTAGGGCCAGATGTGAATGATACAAGTGCTTTAGCGGATTAGCAACTTCAGCCGCTAATCCAATTGTGGTTGAAACAGTTAAAGAAAAAAAATAAAAAAGTTTGTTATAAATGGGGCATTGTAAGTCTAAATCTTAAATCTGTGTAGAAAAAATTCAAGTTAAATAGCCAAGTGACGAGAAATAAGCCAATTAGCTCTCAAGATTGGCAAGAGTGTTTTACATACTGCATGCAACAAATGTGTCTTCAATTCATTCAATTTGACCGAATTTTGGTGTGTAACAAGACACTTAAATCTATGCTAAATTCTACTCTCAAACTAAAAGCACCAGTCAAAAGTTTTAAAACACCACACTTCTTCCAGTTGTTTACTGTTTACTGTTGACCAAAACGTATTCTAAACTTTTGATTCATGAAAGTGTCCACCTTTGGCAGATATAACAGCTGAACACACTCGTGGCTCGTTCTTTTTACAATAGAAATCAAATATTCTTCAGAAAGTTGCAGTCTGTTGCAGAAGTTCCCATACATGTGTGGCACTTGTAGGTTTCTTGGTTTTCACTCTTCTGTCCAGTTCATCCCAAACCAGCTCGATGGGGCTTAAGTCTGGACACTGTGCTGGACTCTTCATGTTTTCAAGCTTTACCATCTTGTTCTTTTTTTCCTGAGATAGTTTTGGCAGAGCTTGGACTTGTGTTTTGTATCTTTTATCTTTTATCTAACCTCTGTCTGTCCAGTACTTACCTTTCTACCATTTCAAGCACTTCATTGGACTTGCATGACTTGAATTGCAATAAATAACTAGAAAAAACAGGGTGGTCTAAAACTTTTGACAGGTAGTATATATATCTTTACTTTCCTGGCTCACGTGGTCACTTTATTGGTGATTCTGAACATCACTGGAATCTCAGGAATGAAATACAGTTGTGTTGTGTGAAATTAAGAGTTTTCTTGGGGTCATAAGTATCTTCAGTTTTTTAATTATTGCCCAATAACTGAAGTTGGGTAGTACTCAGTTACTTTTACATTTGTTTGAGTAACTTTTTAAAGAATTCACACTTTTCTAGCATAGTTTTGTACCAACTTTTATTGAAGTAACAGTACTCTTACTTGAGCAAAAGTTTTGTTTACTATTCGTGAGTAAGTCTACAAGTGACAAAATCTTGTAGACAATATGGAATTATTTGAACATTTGTGTTTCTTGCACCACGCTTTCAGATATGATTTAATTTTTACCAGATTGTGCTTTATTTAATGTTTTGTTTAAAGGCACACTGTGTAATTTTTCAGTTCGGGTTTGTCACCTTCTTGTTTCTATGGATATGTCTTTACTCTACTTAAAATGTTCCACAATACGATATTAAACAGTTCTACCTTACATTTATTAAATTACAGGTGGTTTTATAGCTTAAAAACACCTACAAAAACAGGGATTCTGACTGTGAGTGAGGGCGCCACTCCACAGATCTGGCCTGTAACTTGGTCTGGTTTGTTCTCCATCAAGATAGAAAGTTACTCTTAGGCTACGTTCAGACTGCAGGGCTTAATGCTCAATTCCGATTTTTTTGTGAAATCTGATGTTTTTGCGAGGTCGTTCACATTTCCAATTAAATGCGACTTGTCTGTGACTTCAGTGTGAACATTAAACGGCCCGAAAGTGTCCCGCATGCGCACTGGAGACACGATGACGTCAACCCCATGCGTCAACCGCAGCGAGCGTGCTCTGTGTTTACGGAAGTTGTTCCAAACATGGACGCGAGCATTGAGCACCTGGCGATTTTACAGTTCCGGTTTCCGCCTGCTTCAGCGCAGAATAGTGACGTTTGTCGCTTGTTGATGACGTGTAGGTCGGATGGATGCGCTTTGGCTGTTCAGACTGAAGTCGCATGTCAAAAGATCGGATATGTATCGGATTCAGGACCACATATCCAAGTGACCTGGGTTGGATTTGAAAAAATCGGATCTGTGTCGTTCAGACTGTCATTAAAAGATCGGATACAGGTCACATAGAAGCCAAAAAATCGGATTTGGGTCACTTCAGGCTGCAGTCTGAACGCAGCCTTATTTGAGTAGAAGTGTTTTTTCTCTTACTTGATTTCTTGGAGCACTACTTTGTACTTCTACTCTAGTAATATTAAGTTAAAGTACAACTTTTGGCTACTCTACCCACCTATATCTAGATAAAAATTTGACAAATAAAAATGTTTGAAAGTCTGGTGACATGATTAGTCATCACTCCTTTAGTTTCAATTTAATTTCAAATAGTGTCGGAATGTTGGAAAACATTTGTCCCTTTCGCTTCTCAAACTGGAGATGGATAATGCAGATTTACAATGTCCTCGTGACCAAAACACTCCCTCTTGTCCTTTTAGGATTGACAAGCTCTCCATCTTGTCTATAGACGAAACTCGATGATAGAGCAATATTTTCCACAGATCGGAATGGCTGGATACTTGGACTGCACTGGATCCGGCTATAGTCCTAGCGTTGACTTTTCCAGGTTTTGGAGGTCTAGGTTTGGAAGGAAAGGCTAGTATTTCCCTGGGAGTCTGGGTAGAGCCTGTTAAAGTCATTAAAGATATAAATCACCGCGTTCTTCAGAGTGGGCTGGGGAAAAAGGGGGGAGATTTTCCATTGCTCTGACCTCATCAGTTCTCTCTAGCAAAATACCGGAGGAAAAATGTCAGCTTGAAAAAATAAATAAATAAAATAATTGACACAAAAAGGTGCATTTCAATTAAGAAAATCTGGTTCCCACAAAGCCAGAATAATAAAATTTAAATGACAAAAAAATGACAATTTCAAAGCGTCGAAGATAATGGTATGTCAACACTTTTCAGACTGAGAGGGAGCAAAGTGGACTTCAAGTGGTAAAAAAATGAAAAGAACAGAAAAAAAAATGGCTACATTGAATTATGGAAATCTGGGAAAGGATTTTCAAGAGAGCCAGAATAATAAAAATCGTATTACAATGTGGCTCAAGTGTAGGAGACAATTGGTATGTCAATGGTTTTCAGACTGAGAAAAGTGGACGTCAAGTAGCAAAAAAAATGAAAAGAAAAGAGAAAAAATGACACAAAAAGCTACATTAAATTATGGAAATTTGGCAGATGATTTTCAAGAGAGCCAGAATAATAAAAATCATGTTACAATGTGGCTCAAGTGTAGGAGACAATTGGTATGTCAACGGTTTTCAGACAAAGTGAGCAAAGTGGACTTCACGTAGCAAAAAAAATTTAAAGAAAATTTAAAAAATGGCTACACTGAATTACGGAAATCTGGCGGAGGATTTTCCAAAAAGCCAGAATAATAAAAATCATGTTACAATGTGGCTCAAGTGTAGGAGACAATTGGTATGTCAACGGTTTTCAGACAAAGTGAGGAAAGTGGACGTCAAGTAGCAAAAAAAAAAAAAAAGGAAAGAAAAAATTGACACAAAAAGCTACACTGAATTATGGAAATCTGGCAGAGGATTCTCCAAAGAGCCAGAATAATAAAAAATCAAATTACAATGTGGCTCAAGAGTAGGAGACAATTGGTATGTCAACGGTTTTCAGACTGAGAGGGAGCAAAGTGGACTTCAAGTTGCAAAAAAAAAGAAAAGAAAAGAAAAAAATGACACAATAAACTACATTGAATTACGGAAATCTGGCAGAGGATTTTCAAGAGAGCCAGAATAATAAAACAAAAAAGTAACTACAATGCGGCTCACGTGAAGGAGACAATTGGTATGTCAACGGTTTTCAATCAGACCGAGAGGGAGCGGAGTGGACTCTGTGAAAGTGCTTAAAGCTGAAGGAAATATTAATGGTTCAAATATGTGCCTAGAATACTTGAGAGGTGCTGGCAGAATAACAATGTGGAAAATGAAGCCATGTTTATAATGAAGATAGATTCAAGTAATACTATAACAAAATTGCTATTGGCACAGACTAAAAGGCTGAGTTGATGTTTGGTTGAACGAGGACTTTGCGTGTTGACAAGGTGGGTCGTACTCTTTGACAGATGAGAGCTAATTGGTGTTTTTTGTTTTTTTTTATCTCTCTAATTTAATGTCTTTCTCTCTTTTTCATTTTATGATTCTTATTTATGTTTTGATTTGTTTTTATTGTGATTTTAATGTATTTCTTATTCTGTAAAGCACTTTGAATTACTTTGTTTACGAATTGTGTTATACAAATAAACTTGCCTTGCCGTGCCTAATTATTATTCATGTATTTATTTATTTGTTTACAGTTTTGTCTTTGTTTATCTCTATCCAGATTGCTGGCATTTATGATTGAACTTTCTTTATTTCTCAAGACCACATTTTGAATTGCCATGCTTAATTTTGATTTAAATTGTATTTAAAATGAAGAATTAAGCTTCGAATGTTACATTTGCTAAAAGTTATTGGTAAGTATCCATGTACATATGATTATACATTAGAAAACTTTGACATATGATGAATTTAAATGATGGTAACTAACTAGTGGGGATGTAACAATAACACGAAATATCGTGATATCGTATCATCAAAAGTCTCACAATAATATCGTGGGCTGACACAATATATCGAATTACAAGTTCCTTTCCTTAAATGCATGGTTTTATAGTAGCAACAGCTTATAAACATAGGGACTACATATCCCATGATTCATTTCAGTGCAGACAACATGAAGAAATATGTTTTTGACTTGAATTCTTGGGATTATGATGGAAATAATTCACACCAAAATCTTTTCATGGCATTTTAAAAGCAAAAAAGTGTCCTATCAAAAATGTTTGCTTATTATATATTATATTATATCCTGAGTAAGTAGGAATGTAACAATATGCAAATCTTAGTTTGTTTTTACCTCTGTCGACTTTTAAAAACTCCACCCAGAGTATTTTACAGAATATTTGCACATGTTTTTTAACACTTTTATATCTGCAAATGTTTCACTGTCTTATATCTCTATTCACTGTTTCATGTTATAGTTTATGTGTGAGTGTTTTCTGGTTGTGCCTTTGTTTTATACTGCCTCTTGGCCAGATCGTCATTGTAAATAAGAAGGTGTTCTCAACTGACTTACTTGATAAAATATTGAATAAATAAATAAAAATAAATAAAATCTCATGGTACGATATGATCACGATATGCCTCTGACGTTACGATAATTATTACGATATTTTGGAGGAGTTAAGAGAATTGTACATATGCTATTTTTTCCTTTTTAAATAACTTGACCAGTCTTCGATGTGAATCATTACTAACATATTCCAATGATATAATATATAAAAGTGCTTAATAACAGTTATTTTATTAAGTAGTAAAGTAAGTAAAGGATCATGGCCTGTGCAGTTTCCTCTTTTTTAATACTTTCAAGTCAAAAACCTTGCAATTCGATATATTGTGATGGCCCACGATATTATTATGAAAGATTCTGACGATACAATACCACGATATTTTGGTTATTGTTACACCCCTATGACTAACCAACTGTATTGCATGATGTAGAAAGTTCAGTTTTCAGTTCGTTCCCATTTTTGTTTAGATCGGCTCTTTGTTTTACACCCCATTTCCTGTCTGACTCTCCATTACTGTCTGGAATTCCCAAGAATATAACAATATAATGTGTCACTCCAGGACAGACCAAACATAAATCTTTGCTCAGCCTTGGAAATCAGACTTTATAATGGTTAACATGTCTGCTGAACTCACATGTAGTTTTGTTTGGTTTAGGTCTAATACGAAAGCATTTCAATTAATTCTTGTCATCATTCCTCACAAATCTCCTATTTCCTGTTTCTCACCCTATTCTCAAAGTTACTGCAAAATATAGTAAGTTCGTGACAGTGAAAGTAGTCAGTTATAAGATTATATAATGAGATATGCTGAGTGTTTCAAATTAATGTTTTAAAACTTACTGTAGATTTAGAACAATCGTCCATATCATTCATAAGACAAATTAGTTTTTATTATTTTACAGAACTGTTTTTGCAGTCAGATAGAATCTAATCACAGTTAAGATCTGAATAGTTGCACAGTTCAAAGTCCTCATTCACTTCTGAATCTGTGTTATCATTCTTTTCAGATCTCTTTCACTTCCTGTTTCCTGCTCTCCTCTTTTCATCGCGCTAACCCTCTTCCCCTGCTGTTGTCAACACTTTCTCTGACTAACCGTTTATTTAGCCTCTCTCCCGCAGGACATCTTTACCTAATGACCCACATCACGAAGCAGAGCCCACCTACCCAGAGCCGCACGGTTAGACCACTGGTGCTAAAACTGAAATTCTTGGTTGCACATGTTGCATAATCTAATGGTACTTTTGAGAGTCAGTTACATTGTTCATCTAAACCTGCTGTGAAAAAACTGAGCATTTAGTTTTAGTCCTGGTTGAGATTTAGTTTAGTCCAAGTGTATTTCTTATTTCGAGTTGGTTTAGATAGAAGTTCAGTGCTGTGGTGCTGGTTTAGCTCATGAAGTCTTTGTCTTCTCCTTGTTCAGACCTGGTTTACTGGTTTAGGCCTGGATTGATTCTGGTTTAATTTGAATCTGAATTCTTCTTCAGTTCAGGATTATTTGCCGTCTTGACTTTTTGCTCTTAAAATTAAAGTTATCTCTACGCGTGCATTCACACTTGTTCATAGGTCACATCAAAATTGAGAATAAATATGGAATAAATCTGGAATTAATCTGGCCTTGGCAACAATTAAACCAGGACCGATTCTCAGTTCCCAGTCTGCAGACTCATGTATTCTCCTCCAATGCGTCCTCTGTGAAACGGGCGGAGCAACTTCTCATCCAGGGATTTCAGGCGATCTTGCCGAGAAATGGACTTTGAATTGGAGCAAACGTGGGGTGCAGAGCGTGACGTTGCACAAGTCCACAGGCACACAAGTCTGTACAAGTTCGGGGATTGAGAAACTGTCCAGGACTCGAATAGGACCAAATCAGGTCTGCAATCTGGACTAAACTGGTTTACACAAGACCCAACCAGGACAAGTGTGAACATGCCCTTAGTTCTAAGTTTAATCCTGGGTTGATTCTGGTTTCACTTCAGTCTTTTTCAACCCTTTTTTGCTCTTAATATTAAAATTATCTTTGTTATCTTTAGGCTCAGTATAGCAGCGTACGTTTGCAATTTTAGTTGTTGCTTGGTACTAAAAGTTTGAGAATAACTACATATCCCCTACACACACCCATCACACAGACAGTTTGACTGACCACTTCCTCCTCGGGCTCCTGGGCTTGGGGTGTGTCGTGGTGGGCGGGGCTTTCACAGTCGGGGCTGTAGTGTTCACAGTAGTCGTGGGCCGCTCGGGGGTCCGCCACGATCAGGAGCTGCTGGATGTCGCCCTGCGAGAAATCACACAAGAACAATGGATTTAGCAACTTGCACTGTTAATGTGTAAAACTAAAACCAAATGCTGTGGACTGAATGTTAGTCTTGGCTTAAATACAGTTGTCTGTGATTTTCTAAACTTCATTTCATTGTTTGCTTGAGTACAATGACAATAAAAAGATGTAATATCAGCCAATAAATAACTGTAATAATTGTTCACATAAAATTACCAAATCAAGATCTGTAATGTTCCACACATTTTGAATACTTCCCATGAGCAATGATCAATTCTAAGCAAAACATTGTATCTTTTGAATGGTCAAAGGTCCTCAAAATGTCACCCATAAACTGTTAGGACCATGGAAGTATAATAAGATCTGGAAGAAGGTGTTTTTTATTATTTATTTATTTATTTATTTATTATTACCCTGTGATGTGCATTGTGCATTATAACCGGGAGTGTGCCTTTGTTCCCTCATTTCTAAGGCCTTTTTTTTGTTGTTGTTTTTATTCTCCAAAATTAGGTCCTTTGTTCCCACTTTTCCTTTATCATCAATTTGCATCAGATTTTATCCCTATTTCTCCCAATTTGGACTACAGATGTAATGTAGAGGTCATGGTGTAAAGGATCGTAGGGTGAAATTACTCTGAATCATACCTTTAAATGCGGTATAAAAATAAAAAATGACTTGAAGTGACTTAGAGTTTAATTTTGAGAACAATCTTAGAAATAGGAAAAATTTTAGAAATAAGGGAACATAGGGCTGAGGAAACATAGGGCTGAGGGAACATAGGGCTGAGGAAACATAGGGCTGAGGAAACATAGGGTTGAGGGAAACATAGGGTGAGGAAAATAGGGCTGAGGAAACATAAAGCTGAGGAAACATAGGGCTGAGGGAACATAGGGCTGAGGAAACATAGGGCTGAGGAAACATAGGGTTGAGGAAACATAAAGCTGAGGAACATAGGGCTGAGGAAACATAGGGTTGAGGAAACATAAAGCTGAGGGAACATAGGGCTGAGGAAACATAGGGCTGAGGGAAACATAGGGCTGAGGAACATAGGGTTGAGGAAACATAGGGTTGAGGGAACACAGAGCTGAGGGAACATAGAGTTGAGGAAACATAGGGCTGAGGGAACATAAAGCTGAGGGAACATATGGCTGAGGAAACATAGGGTTGAGGGAACATAGGGCTGAGGAAACATAAAGCTGAGGGAAACATAGGGCTGAGGAAACATAGGGTTGAGGAAACATAAAGCTGAGGGAACATAGGGCTGAGGAAACATAGGGTTGAGGAAACATAGGAGCTGAGGGAAACATAGGGTTGAGGAAACATAGGGCTGAGGAAACATAGGGTTGAGGAAACATAGAGCTGAGGGAACATATTTCTGATTCCTTATAACCAGTTCTGACCAATTAGCGTGACAACAACTAGAGTGGAGCTAGTACAAACTCAGAGTGGAGCTAGGTTAACACTTACAAAGCTAACTTTTAGCCGCTTTGAAGATTTACAAAATCTGAAAAGTTCCCATTATAAAAATACTGGGAAATCCCTACAAAAATCCAAGTTTTGTGAAAGCTGTGGATGCCCTGTCAGCTGAACACTTACTACAATGTGCACTATGGGAGAATTCTTTTTGGGCCAGAAATCCCTGGAGCTGCAGCACCTATTGAAAGGCCACTAATCAAACTCACAGCAGGATAGAAAGGGAGTGTTATGTTGAGTTCTTATTATGGGTTCATTGTTGAAACCCACTCAGTTATCAGCCAAAGCATCAAAACAAATCCTGGATATTGCATCTGCTCAAAAAAGTGTAGTGTGATTTATTCTTTGAAACCAGATTCTCACAGAGGTAGAGGTCTTGAACTGGACCAAACCCATTTTGACTTTCTACTAAATTAATGTGGCTTCAACTTTACAGCTCTTTAGAGATGGAAATACTCACGGTCCCTTGTCCTTATTTTTACGACTTTTAACCCAAACCAAATGTTCACAATATTCAACGAGTGTGCACCTTTTTACATTTCTTTCATTACAGCAGGTTTGAATCAGCTTCACGCCATCAATGATAATAAAATGTAACTAAAGCAGATGTTGAATCAAACTTAAAGGAACTATACTACACAAAATGGACTCTTGTGAACATTTGGGCATGTTGGAATGTTGTTATCTCATGAAAAACATACCAGGAGTTGTGTTTTGTTTCATTCGCACATGTTTGAATAACCCCTTATTATCAGTCTGTCTGCATCTGCAAAGCTCAAAATGTTCCACCTTGTGATGTCCTGAAGCGGTAGTTTTCAAGTTAACAGCCTTTTGTTTAGTAGAGATGAGCAATTTCAGAGCTGATAGTATTCAAGTGATTCTAGTGAAGATGTATGAAGTTTAAAAACACAGTGGAGGACGTCCTATTACAAAATGACAAGGTGGAACAGAGTGTATTCTGTTTGAGAGAAGACTCCGGGTATGTTTCTGACGAGGAAACAATGTTATAACATATTGTCGACGAGAAAATGGCGTAATATGGATCCTTTCAGTAATTCCCTAACTACAAATTAAAAATAGCAATAAAGATAAATAAAGTAGGGAATACTAGAAGGCTTAGAAATCGCTCTGCTACACAAAATTTACATTATAGAAGCCCGATAATGTCTGACTAATGCTATAGTCGATATGTAAAAGGTCTGTTTTGCATTTGGAAAAAAGGAAATTAGATACTCTCTGTAAGACTTTTCATTGGCAACGACAAATTGAATTCTTTCAGTAGGAACATGTCTTCACCAAATCTGTGGAGGTGGATTAAAATTCAGGGCTGGTATGTTTGTGGTATGTTATAAATCAACACATTTGATTGAATAAAGTTGTAAAGTTGCTGACTCAGAAATCACTCAATTACTTCTTGAAACATAGCTGAAATGAGCTGTTAAGAGATTGAAATGCAGAAAAGCCAGAAATTGTACTCAAGAGTAAAAATCAAATACAACTAGATACTAATTTGAACAGGTATTAATACTAAAAAGTCACATTCACAGGACAAAAATTCACCTTTCCTGAATTGCTTTAGAATAATCTTCAGCTGCATAAGAGCACGTAGACTTGTTTACGCTCATGGACCACTATGGAACGTACTTGGACGACGGAGGGATTACACAGATATAAGCCCACACAATAATATAAAAGAAAGCGCTACAATTTTATGTTGAAAATGACATTCTAATAAAAAGTGTTATTATCATTGTGGTATCAAGTCAATTCCTTAGCATCTATAATGAGTTATAATGCTAAAAAAAAGCTCTTTTCCTGCTTTAATAGTAGCACATAAAAATATTCTTACTTAAAAGGCCCATATTACGCTATTTTGTATTTATTTTTTTACCTAATCTATGTTGTTTTCTCATCATAAACATACCTGGAGTTGTGTTTTGTTTTATTCACACATGTTTAACACACAAATCTGGCGTGCTTCTCTCAAACTCTGTTCCACCCCGTGATGCAATGTGGTAATACAGGAAGTGCTTCACTGTGTTTTTAAACTCCATACACTGTCACTAGAATCATTTGGATGATTTCAGACCTGGAATTACCAATCTCTACTGAAAAAGGAAGTTAAAAGGAGCTATCAACTTGAAAACTACTGCTTCATGACATCACAAGGTGGCATTTTGAGCTTTGGAGATGTAGACAAACTAATGATATAAAGTTATTCAACGTGTGTGAATGAAACAAAACACAACTCCAGGTATGTTTTTGATGAGTTAGCAGCATTATAACACAAGCTTTAGTATCTTTCGCAACACTTTAATCGTCTAGTAACTCATTTGTGCACACACAATTGTACTATTCTTTCAAAAATGTCAACTATTTGCATAAAAGTCCTTTCCACTCCTTGTAGAGATAAATATTGGACATGTGTGGACCTCAGCTGACCTAAAACCACACTCTAAAAATACACCTGGTCCAGCTAACGACTGGGCGAATAGCTGAAGTTGGACGTCACAGCGGAGTAAAGGTGAGGGGAGAGTGCTAACAGGGTGGCCCTATAGGAAACTCATACATGCAGATTGTATTCAATTACAGGAGGCAACATCTGTGTGAGCTTATGGCCTCTGGAGCGCATTCACATTAGTCTATATGTGTGACCTGTGAAGCTCAGAGGGATACAGGGCCAAAATGACATCCAGAAACGATTACTAAACTGTGTATATTTTGTTTTATATGGTAAATCTGCAGCTTTCCCGTCAAAAAGACACCTAAATTCAAGTTTGTGCTGTTTTCAATGGCTTTTACGATTTCAAGTAGTTGGTGACATCACAAAAGACTGCCCTGATTACAATCTGGTAGGGGTGTGCAAAAATATTGAAATACCAATATATCGCATCGTTTAATGTGATGATACAGTATCGATATCGTGGGCTGCTGTATCCATATATCGCCAAGAGTAATTTTTGGTATATTTTACTCAATTATTCTGTTACAGAGCTACAGTTTTGTTGCTTGTTCAGAGCTTGCTGGTTGACATTTTCACTGTTTTGATGATTAAAATCAGAGTGTTTCATATGAACGTTGCACAAGAAGTGGTTTAACAAAGACTTTTAGTTTCACAGCCATGATTTAGCCTTTAGTTTTTATTGAACCGTATTGAATCGATTTGAAATATATCGTACCGTAGCCTTTGTATTGAGGGATGTATAGTATCGGCAATTTCTTAATGATATCCAGCCCTAAAACCTGGTGCTTCTGATTACAAATACCTGGCTGCAGGGGCTGAGTTTGAAGCGTGGATACCTGTTAGACCAATCACACTGTTCCTTATACCTCCAGACTCTCCTCCTCTCTCGCTCTCTTCTTTAATCCAGTTAGTTGTGGTTGTGGGCAGAGTTTAGGTGTTTTGTCCCACTTTAAAATCTTCTGCTGAAAGTTCACGCTTCACTGTGATTGGTTAGATCTAGATGAAACTCATTCAAAACCGTGCAGAGGCTAACCAATAAATGGAATAAAAATGCCTGTGTTAG